ACTTTTTCTTCGTTCTTCTCTCTCTTCGCTCTCTTTCGCTGATGTCACCTTCTTTGCTCGAGTATGAAGCTAAAATATATTGGTGATAAAATGAAGAAGTACAAAACGTACTTCTTTGGACTTCTGTGGACTTCAGTGGACTTCAGTGGACTTCAGTGGACTTCTTTGGACTTCAGTGGACTTCAGTGGACTTCAGTGGACTTCTTTGGACTTCTGGACTTCTGAAGTCCGAAGTCCTGCTTTTTCCCCCTTGCGTTTTTCTCAGCAGATTTTCATCATAGAGATTTCAGTTTACATTGTTTGACAGTTTCACTTCAGAATTACGACACACTTAGTCCTGTGGTTTCTCCCATCTTTTTGAATACGCATGACTCATAAGACGAATAACTACTATAATATTCTACTTGTTGACGGAATAATCCAGCTCATTAATAGGCTATACTGTCATACGCTAAATTTGGGCTTGACTAGATATGCCGAAAAGGAATAAAAGAAGTTCCATATAGGAGTATTTCCTCCTTTTGGTAGGTTTTTTTCTATTCGACATTTTCCGCCGAACCCGTCGAAGAATAAATTGTACTCATTAAAAGCAGAGAGGACTTGGTTCTTATCTAGGTAAATATTTGAGAATCAATACTCCATAGTTCTACTAAATCTTTTAACCGGCTTACATTCTGCCATCGTCTTTTGAGTATGTTGGAAAATGCCGAAAAGCAACAAGGAATTTTCTTTTCCAGTGTTTTTCAACAAATTCACTGCGACAAGTCGCTAGTATATGAAGTGATGTTCCTCTATCAGTAAGAGATAATTATCAAATTTAAATAAGACCTCAATATCTTACTCCTTTTGGTTAATTAAATTATGTCTCTTACTCCAGCGTTACCCAGATTGAATCTTTTGGCTTCTCCAAAAACTCACAAATTGCAAGCGTTTCTGGATGTTTATCGTCATATTTGTACATTTGACATCATATGGGATACCAACTTAATTGCTATTCCTGATGCGTCACCCGCACAAATTCAAGATCTTACTCAACGCAAATCAGATTATCCAAAGGTACAAACAACATTGCGATCAATGGAATTAGGCAGTGATCCTTATTTAGAAGTTACAATCGAAAATAATCATAGCGATAAATATGCACATGTAATACTTGCACATGGAAGAACCAACGATGGAACACGACGAATCGGCATATGTGAATTCCGGCAGTGCCGTTCGCTTAGTGCAGGTGGCCTTGTTGGACCACTGATTGCATGTGGGGTGGTTGGTTACTTCAGCCCAGCTGCTGGTATTATAGGTTTTATAACAAAAGTAGCCGCTGATTATGCTTTATCGAAACAAGATGTCTCCGCCGTCGTGACTATTAAAGAACTCGTACGCGCTGGTTTTTTAAGACTAAACGAAACAAATATGCAACTCTCGTTACCATAAAGTTATATTGAGTGAACTACATTTTTTACCACCCACGCTTAACATCTAACATTATATACACGTGTTTAGAAATTAAAAAAGTTTCTCTAGTTTTTTCTACATCCTCACAGTTTTCCCTTCTCAAGAAACAAAATCCATTTATAAAAAAATTAGAATTCTTCTATTCTCATTTACTTTAAAGTACGCATTTGTGTTTTTTTTTGGTTTATTTCATAACAAATAAATTTCAACGATGCATATTGAATCGAAATAGGGCAATCATAACAGATGTTATTGATATATTGATACAGAAAAAACAGATTCGATATCGATACTTCGGTAGTTCAGTGAAAGGCGACATGAGCAAAAATATTGCGACCGGTAAACCAAGTGCTAATAGTATTATGGAAACAGTAACTGTTTGCTGGAATAACTTCAATTGTTTTCGAAGACGGAATAATGTGTTCACTGGCGTGACACGTTTGCTCACCTCATGAACGTATCTCACCAATAGAAAATATAGAATTATAATCAACAATATTGGAATCATGTAAATACAACTGAGAGAATAGAGAACTGAATATGTAAATTGAATAAGTAATTGGCATATTTGATTATGCGGATTGTAGATGAGCTCGTTGCTTCGAATGAGTCTTATCAACGAAACATACGCGATAATCCAAGAGAAACAAATCATGTAAACCTGAAAGCGAATCGACTGACAAAGCAAATAATTCGGATATCTCACCGTTACGTAACGATAAAAAGCAGTTAAAAGAAATGAATAATTCAACGCGGCACATGACGAGTAACCAAAATAAGCTCGGAAAGTACAAAACATATCTTGAGAATAGATATGTCTTGAATCATTTCTCAATGCAAATATATACATCCATAATAAACTAATTTCACAGATCACGGCTGTCACACACGAATTGCAAATCAGCAACTTCGTTATTTGTCGGTAGCTTTCATTGAAAATAACGATTACGAGACAAATGCAGGTCAAAGAAATCGTTAAACAACTGCAGAAGATCATGGAGATATCCAAGCTGATGAACCATCTTCCAACTGGAGAAGTTGAGTTCATGTTCTGAAAGGACATTATGAACGGTACGAGAAAGAAAAGAAGGTAATCAAATATAGAGAATTAATGCGTATATAATTTTTATAAGAAAGAAGAAAAAAGAAATATCTACACGCTTTTCTGTGTAATCATCTTCCTTTCGAGCAAAAAATAAAAAAGAGTTTAATGGAAATAAACATATCTGAGTTCTTTTCAAATAATGAATATTTCACCCAGAAAAATTTTATTTAAGGACACATATTTATTAAGAAATTCTTTTGTTTCTATTAAAGAAATAATCAGCTTATTCAGAATAGGAATACAATATCTTACAGATAATCACGTTTTTTGAAATTATGATCGTCTCTCATTGAAAGCTCGTTTTAGGTGTTAGTCTAGGCGTTATATTTGAATAATTTATCATTTCGATATTAAAATATCTACTGGTTGATAAATTGAGAAATTCACAGAGCTCTTCAGAAAAACTGCCAGACTATGCGTAGGAAAAACCATTTATATCAATTAGTGATGAGCAGAAAAGAGAAAATATGAAAACCTGCGCGTCGCTATCATATATATTCTCGTTGTCATAGTATTCAGAATGACAGATCAAATTTCGACTATCGTACCGGCATTCGGATCAAAATTATGCTTGACAGCTGATCCATTCATTATCTTCAGATTGATGAGCAGACGCTAAACACGCTAAAAAAAGCCAGTCTTCTTTCAAGCACGAATAAATTCTAATGACGACTACTGAAAAAGCATTCTAGCAGACTTCTAGTTTGATTGAATAGAAACAAATAGAGAAGATATTTATAGAAAATCTACAACAACGAAAATCTGATAGAGCACAGTGGTGAAAGTAAAGTCCACAAAACCTATCGAAAGTAAACGATTAAAAAACGCATAATTTGATGCATTGATTACATGGAAAACTTCTCTTCTCAATTATGTTTATGATGTTTTTCTTCGCGTTTCGTCATAGATGTCGATGTGTGTTTATACAACGACAAGCTTATAACATAAGTATGATTCCTCGATGCGTTATGTCTGAAGCGTTTTCTCGAAAATGCACGAGCTGCATCGATTTTTTTCTAAAGACTTTTTTTTAACATATAATAGAATGTTGAACCAAGTGCCATTAACGGTTTAAAAACATGTCTTCTGAAGAGTATACAAGAATAATTGAAAAAGAAGGTGGTAACGAACCGGCAGAATGACAAAGAAGACAGGGAGAAGAAAAACTCTGTCATATCGATACGAACGTTTATGTCGAGACAGAAAAGAAAACATCATACACGCACATAATTCAGAAGAAAAATCCCCCACATGATGAACGTTTGGAATAATTAATTAACACTTCGGTGTTGAGTTACGTAGTTTTGTGCTGTCATATTCATTTTCAACACATTACCTGGATTTTACATACCTCGCCGAATGAGTGTCACCGGAATGTTACATCTAACTGATATCCTTGGTAAGGCATGCGGTAAGAACATTCCCACTTACCTGACTGGTGCTTTGAATGGATCCTAAGATATTAATTATCGTTGATAACAGAGAACAGATGGTCACAAGAAGAAAATCATGACTTTTCCTTCTAGTTTCAATAAAAGTAGATAGTAATTTCATATTCTATTAATAGAGTGTTCGTATTCGTATTGTTCTTTATTTGATGTTTAGAAGAAAGTGAACTATTATTTATGAAAACACCTGAAAGCTAGTAAAATTTCGTAAATCATCGATGTGATGCGTCACAAAAACGAATTTTTGTTCGTTTGCATTCAGTTCCGTTTGAACGTAGGTTTCCGCTCGTTTCTTATCACCCGTAAAGACTAAACAATGATTTTCAAAACCTAATTCTCGTATTGATTTTATCAATCGCACACCAGCATTGTAACTTGGATTTTCCTGTCTACGATTCATACACGTGATAATGCGGAATGTGTTCTGATTTTTCACACGTTGACCAAACGGTGATCGAAGAAATGCTAAAGCATCATCGGTCGATGTGCGTGGGATAAAATGCACATCTAAGTTGAAGCCGTCGCGCACAGCGTTCTCCATACACAGTTTGATTTCGCTATTGTTCGTGAAAATCTTGTCATCAACCCAGAGGATGGAATATTGACTCAAACCTAATTCAACCTGTCGCATGTAGATTGTATGTTCATCATCAAAACGGGAAGATTCATACTTGTAAACGAAAAACGTCGAATATGGTAAAAATACGATTTCGTCTACATTTGGAGTTTGAGAAAACTTCTTTGTCGAACGACCCGTGAACGAATCGATCATAAACTTCGTATTTTTCTTACCAGTTGCTGCCGAATCGTTTCGGCTGCCTTGACCAAACTGGACCCAAGTGACTAAACAACCCGGTTGACACAATTGCAGTTGATCATCTGTTAGTTGATAATTAGATGTCACCGTACCCCAGTAATAGGGAATGTGTAAAATTGCTTTGAATAAATGAAATACCAGCGGAGCAAGTTCATTCATTTTCTCGTCGTAAACTTTATCCGTGTATCTATTTCTGGAATGATTGGCGATGAGTTTTGCGCCTTGATTGATCACTTGACCTTTCGATCCAGTGTAAAACGATAGAGCGAGAGCAGCAGCTTGATTTCCGTCATTTGGTAGATCTTTTCTTGTGAAGTAATGTACAGATGATTCAATTCGTTGTTCATGTTCTTTCATGATTTCATCGATGTTCACATTACCTACTGCTTCGTAATGACGACAAATTTGTTTCATTGCTTCGCATGTTTTGTCTTTTCCATTCATTAATTCTAATAATCTCGCGTTAAAATGATCTTCAACAGGAAACTCTTTCCCATCTATTTCATTGATTGTAAGATGTTCCAGTAAGTTCTCCAATTTGTTGAATCCGCTTTTATTGCCATTTTCTATTTCTTCAACGATCCTCACCATTGCAATCAGATCTACACGACTTGCTAACCGGCCGATCAGTAACATATTCAACTCATTATTTGCGCAACAATCCGATGAGTGCAACTCGTTTGAAGCTTTTCTAGTGGACATTTGACCCAAAGAAGCTAAACTCGCGTTCACAAAACCATCTGGCACATGATCATTTCATATTGAACTTACCTGATTTTGTCATCGTATTGACTTTTTCCGCAGTAATATTCGACAACGAACTACTATTAGTTACCTTTGTCTTTTCCAATGGTGTATCCAATGAAACTGATTTTTCGAATTTCGACGTATGTAACTGATTGTGTTTTGTTTCACTTGAATCGTTTAAATACACATGACCTTTCTTCAACAAACCATTAATACTCAACGGCATTTGTCTGCCGTCACTTTCCTCATAGACATCACCAGCGACGCCTTGAAATATCTGTACGATGTCTTCGTTTGGAGTAATAATGTGTTTCAAGAGATGTTTAGTGAATAGACCATTGCGATCGGTTTCTAATCCATCACTCGCTGTTTTACTTGCTCCACAAGCGAATTGAATAAACGTTCCCGCTGGTGCATTGACGAAACTCAAGCCCTTTCCGTTGACACTGTCTTTGATTTTCATATTCTTCGGCCAATACGCTCGACAGCAGTCCAGAATGAATAGGGTCACATATGACGGGTTCCGTTTTGCCAATCGATTTAACGTTCGTTCAACAGGAACTGCACGATCTTTGATGTCATCTTCAGTGACGATCTTTTCGTCGTCTATGGGCATCAGATAATTCGCGTATTCGACTTGATATCCATGTCCAGAGAAGTAAAACAGGACTAAATCCCCGTCAGTGATTCTATGAGAGAAATCCGCAATTGTGTCAACCATTTGTTGATTGGTTAAATTGATGTTTTTGTGAACGAGAAAGCCAATATTAGTTAATGTATCAGTCAAATCATTTGCATTGTTGATGCAATGACGAAGTTTACTTTCCAGTCGCTGATAATCATTATTACCTATGACTAAAGCTAGTTTTCGACGCGGTCTCAACGTGGACATTATAATCTGAAACGAAAAGAGTTCAATTTATTTTTCATTCGGAAGAAAAATCATCGAAAATCAATTTAAATGTGTTATTCATCTTCAGTATCATCGTCTAAATAGTATTCGGCATCGTCTCCTTCGGCAGTTTGTGCATCTTCGTTGTCAAATACTGATTCATCAGCTTCCGGAATTGGTAGACTACATCGAGCACGACCAAACTAGAACAATCTGAAAGTAAACGACACTCTAATCGATATGATAGGACGTACGTTTTGTTTGACATGGAACACCAAACATAACATGTTGATTGCAAGTGGTATTTCCGATTGTATCTTTTCTAATTCTGTCTTGATGGGTCTTGCGGAGAGAAAATTTCGAATGCGAACCATTCTTTTTCCTTTCACACATCTAGTCAAGAGAATATGGAAATCTGCCGATTGATCATCACCCTATACCTTTCGAATAAGATCTTCGAACGAACCGCAATTCCATAAAGTTTTTTCATTACAAGAAAATACCTATGCTTATCTGCGGATGATTTATTTGTTTCATCAACCCCTTTTAAAATATCGTATATGATCTCCAAATCATCAGCGACTCGCGCACAGGCTTCTTTGTTTGAGGTTACTATCTCTACTGTCTCCATACCGTATTTGATCATTTTAATAACCGTGGAGATAGGTATTGGATTTGCCATCTTTTAGTTATTGGAAGACGAATGTGCAGATTCTGCGTAGAGTAATGACGACGGTATGATGTAAACGGTGAGATAACGGACTCTACCTTGTGTTATCATTGAAGCAAACGTGGACGCCTTTTCTCTCGCCTACGACATGACGAAATTTATGTTTCTTTTCGGCGAAATAAATGTCGTCAGTTCTGATTTTTGTTGGAAAACAAGATGCTGAAATTTCAAAAGTCGTCGTTGTTTAAAAAGAATCTCGGCTCTTGAAATTCATATAGAATCTTCCTCTTGCTGCAATACGTGTCAGCATCAAAGCTATAGTTAGTATTTATTGATGAGGAAAAGAGTGAAATTTACAATGATCGGTAGGCTTTTACGAAGAAAAAAAAAGAACATGAGTACGATTTGAATGAATTCACCAGTTTACCATGTCTTACATCCTAAATCTGCAATAGTTCATGCTGGGGGTTGAACTTGTTCACTGACTGGAACTACTCGTGATGACAAACATCGAAATGGTTTGACAATAATGATCGCTAATAAACGACAGATGATCAATAAACCGCCATAAAGACCAATCAGAGTTGTAATTCCTTCGATAATGTGGCTATTATCAACATATGAATATGTACATAGTAATGGTTTGCATTGATTGAAATATGAGTCATACGAAGCGTTACTGTAGAATTTTTCAATCATTAATTGATTTACAATTGATTCGATTGTTGAATCAAGAGAAAAACGAGTTGATGTCGAAAGTGAAAGATTCATTGCACTGAACTTGTTGCTTGGATCAATACATTGTTGATTATAAAAACAAGCAAGTGTTGACTGTAGAATGGTCTCAAGCGGATAACAACCAGTTAACATTCCACGGGATGCATAGACACACTTTGATGAGACTGAACAGCTACAATTGCCATAAATCATTGGTTCAGGACGGATAATTTGATCAACAATGAGATTTGGTGGAGTAGACGGTTTCCAATTGGTCGATAAAATAGTAATCAGCATATTTGCTCTCGTTATTTCTCGAATTAATGTGAGAGTGTTGAGAAATAGATTCGGCATGGTCGATTGAAACTCGCTCACCATCATCTGAATTCGTCGGTCGAAGAGAACTTTGGATAGAAGTTGATGATTAATGAAATTACTCGCACCCAATTGTAAAAGTAACATATCAACCGTTTCATTCGATAATCTACATAACGAACTAAGCATTTGAAACTGTCCAAGAGCGGAATAATAGAAATCAGTATGATTGAATCGATTCATTGGTTGCTGCAGATCATATAAATAATCAATCCATTGAGATGAAACAAAATGACTTGAACACAATTGATGAAAATGAGCAGTAATACTTAGAAACGTTTTATATTTAATTGAACTTCGTGAACAGGTGCATTGAAACGAATCGTGATATTGTTCGAGTAAGTTCTTGTACTTAGATATAGACGGCTTTTCAACCTTAACAGTCGTTACCGTTGGACGAAAAGCAGAAGATAGGTAAATCGTAAGAAGAGTGGTAAATACTAAAACGAAATGTAATCGTTGGATTACATCACGTTCATTCTTACAAAGGAATAGTTGTTTAAGCCAATGAAATACTGAAACACACGAAATACTACTCGTTCCTATTTTTTCCATTAATTCAAGTCCGATCATAATCAGAAGTTTAAGTGCAAGTGATAACCCACCGAATACGCTGACAATCGTTGATACAACGTATAAAAACGTATTATAACGTTCGTATTGGAACGTACATGATGATGGTGAACATGCATTGTAATATGAATCAAATGAAACATGCCGTAACCATTTATCAACTATTAGACGACTGACAATAGATTCGATTGTTTCATTGGGATTATTGAGATTTTCGTTAAGTGGGGACACAGTGAAATTGCTCGTTGAATTGATATGCTGATGAATTTGCGACAAACATGATAGCATATAGAAACATGTTAACGCTGATGCAAACAAAGCATCGATAGGATAACAGCCAGTGAAGAAGTTAGGAACGGAGTAGACTTGAACAAATTTTTTCAAAGTTGCATTATACTTGAAAAGGCCAGTATTTGTGCGACATGATGGGGAGTGAAGGCAAGAACAATTGGCGAATTTTCTCGGTTCTATGATGAGTTTGTTTGAAGAATCAAAGATCATTTGACCATTCCGCGGACCACTCAATAGTTGATTGCCTTGAATTGTCGCACGAATCATTTGGATCGTGTGCATAAAGTTATTCACCGTTGTTATTATCCAATCATCAATAAATGAGTTGACTTGAATTTGAAATGACTGAGAAGGAACGATATATGAACTTACAAACTGTGTTTCGACAAATATTTGTGATGCATCATGAATGAGTTGCTCAGCTTGTTGACAGAATATTGTCAGCGATTGAAATTGCGGTCCTGCCGTATCGCGAAAATCTAAAAAAAATCTCACGTCGACCGCGCTTTGAAGATATCTAATCCAATGTTTCGAAATGAAACCGCTTGAACACAACTGATGGTATTGAGCTCGTACTGTCGTGAATGTCGAATACGGCATGGATATTTTCTTACATGAACATGAAAGACTATGCAAGTGATCTTGTTCAAGTTGCATATATTCGAATTGGGTCGGAGAATGAACTGTTTCCGAATGAATGGATGCGTCTAATAACGTATAGAACGCTAAAATAGCGGTCGAGATGAAAATTAATAAGAAATACAGCCGAGTCGCATAGCATTGATGACGAATTTGTTGATTGGTGCTCGAATGGCGTCGAAACATATTCAATCTAAGAAGTTTTGTTCCAATCAGTAGGGTGAGTAAATACAAACGACGACAAACTGAAAAGAATGCACAGCTAAGAAGCTCAGCACCAAGTATTCCAATTCTACTTACGCGGAGTTCTCAAAGTTGGTTTACAATGTCGTAATCTGTGGATGAATTGAACGATAGGCGGAATGACGAATCGAAGTACAAGGACCATACTTGCCAAGAGGCCAATTAGTTTTGTTAAAACATATACTAAACTGTATCGTGAGACTTTGAAGAAAGCGCAAGAGGTCGGCGCACATTGAGCGTAATATTTGCTATAAGATATATTCGTTATCCATTCTTCGACCATAAGTTTATCAACAATAGATTGCACTGATGAATTCTGTCTGTAAAGACTTGGTTGGGTTCTGTCCATCACTCGAAAACTTTCACGAGTCGGAATAACTGACATGAGTTTTCTGAGACAGATTTTATCGTAAAAACACTCGAGCGTCGATTGAAGAATGGCGTTGACTGGAAAACAGCCTGCAGAATGTCCTGGTATCCTGTGCAAACGTGTAGAAGATAGTGTTGAAATCGATGTTCCAAAGATATCGAAAATGCCCGACACTGTCTTATTGCAGATATCGATATCGCAACTACATATCACGCCGTCTCTATGTACGTACCGTATTGGGGTGAGATAGAACTCATTAGATTTATCCGAGTGAGAAATGTATTTATAGTAAGCATTCGTTAATAGTCCCGACATGAGTCGATTATTCAATATTATTTGAATGATTAATCGTAATTGAGCTCGAAATGTATTGGGTACTATTGAGCGAAATTGACCGATCGAGGCGTTTATTTGAGAATGAAAAGCTATATCCGGTAGGACATACGGACTTAATAATGCGTTTGTAGAGAACACATCAATGCTTTGTTCAATATTTGATTTCGTCAAACGGCAAAAGCCAGCGAGTGCTTGGAATTGTGCACTACCGATTGCTCGAAAGTCGCGCACATGGAAATAAGATGAATTCGCTCCAAAATTAATAGCATTTATCCATCGATCAGAAACAAAATCACTCGAACAAACTTGATGATAAGTGACGTTAAGTGACATGAACTTTCCATACGGAAGAGATATCTGAGAACATTGACATTGCTTACCACTTGGCAGAGCATCAAATTGCTCTCGAGAGGGATTTTTGATGATTACCAATGTATTATTATTGATCAAAGATAGCGTAAGACCAATTGCAAAAAGAAGCGATATGATAAGAAAAAGATAGATCCGGGTTGCTATGATGTTCAATCGACGTTTTTGACAATCTTCGACTTCATGGCCAGATGTATCGGATTTGAAGAGGCATAGCTCGAGAAAGTATTTCTTTAAAAAGAACATTCTCTATACATTCAACAAAAGTGAAAATGATATTTTATATAGAGTAATCTTATGACATTTATCTATGTTATCTAACTTACACATGCTTCCACGGCATTTTTTTATAGATGAAAATCAACATTCAGGGAAAGTACTGCTTAAGAACGCAATAACGCCAACGGATATTTCATAAAAAAATCTCAAAATTTGAACAAAAACGTTTTAGTTCTTATTGAAAACAAGAGTTTTATCGCCATTAGAGTATCATACTATTTGTTAGTAAATCGTGAATTTCCTTGATAAATTTAATAGAAGCATCTGGTGACACACTGGTCTCACAATCCGTTAAACATGGCATTTCAGTTTTAAAAGACTATCCTATTATACATACCACCTTCTTCTAATTTCTGATCAAACTCGTTGGAATCGCATGAAATCAATCGAACGCCACTGAACAATGATCATGAAAATAAAAATATTTCACATTTGTAAACATTAGATAACAACTCCAAGAGTAACTCCTTACTAATTTTCTTACTAATATTGATGAGTTACCGTCTTTGTGAATGAATAAACGAAGATTTTTTGGAAGAAAATTCTAAATTTTTCTTTTGTTCTTCTTCTCATTAGCAATAAAGTACAGAAAAAAGAAAGATCTTGAGAGTCATTTCGAACTCTGCTGGATTGACGATTGGTATCTCATATAGGTCAAACCGATGCAATACATCCTTGTGTAGTGAGATGTTCGATCTTATTCGAGCTCGTGATAATATACGTATGCAAAATCTAGAATGACTAGCGAAGATCCCGTTATCAATCTGAAAATAATCAAAAAGACCTCATTAGGGGTAGCACTTTATCTTTACTTTACTGAGTAAAGTAAAATCAGTTACTTTACTTTATCCAGGAAAGTAAAGTAGGTTGGGTATACTTTACCTAATAAAGTAAAGTAAAATATTGCTGAGAATTGTGAGTTTTATCTATTCTCTTTCTCGTAAAGAAGAGTCTTAGAAACATAAATTGTTTGCTTGTATGTCCGCAGGGTCAAAAAAAACATCGAAAAATCGATTTTTCCAAAAAGACATTGCCAGAGGTATTTCGATGCGAAGACTTCGAATCTGATGTTAGTTTCTCGAAATTTTTTATAAAGAAATTTTTTTCAGGCAAAGAACCGTTTTTTTAAATTCTTATACGAACGAACGGAGAGTAATAAAAGCTGAGGAACTGGAATTCAAGGTTAGTTCTTCTATAGTGCATAAACAAAAATCTTGGTAGCATTGTAGAACAATATATCTACGAGAAAGAGCTGAGCGAGTCCACAGGCGAGCGTTACTTGTCTGATTGTATTTTATTTTTTTTGGTAAAGTATGTCAACTTTACTTTACTTTTTCAAAGTAAAATAACTACCACTACACTACCCTCCAACACATCGTGTTCGAATCTAACCAACACCGCAACCTTTCAAACTATATTTTTTTTCTTTTCTCTATGAGACATAAGTTATGCGTCTCTTTTTCTCTCCTGCCAGCTTTATAACCAGTGTGTCCGTTGTTTGTCTCTTCTCTCTCTCCTTTCGTTCTGTGCTTTCTTTCCTTCCTGTAAACTGATTGTTTAATTACGAATAAAGCGTTGACTCCAAAAAAGTAAAATAAAGTTAAAGTGCCACCCCTAGACCTCATTAAACAACTTATCATGTCTCGAATTGATCTATTCGTAGTTACTCCGAACTTCGCATTTGAGTGAGTATTTCATGTGCATATCTAAACTAGAAGTATATACGTTAAGAGTATAATTAGCTCTCGTTTATTTACACAAAGTTTTGTGTTTGTTATTTAACGAAAGAAGACAATGACTTTTTATGTATAATGAACTTTACGATAAAATATATTAATTTTGTAGTTCTAAGTATTTATTATAGTAAAACGAAGCCATTTCTCGATCTTTTAATTTGACGTAAACTTGGCAGAAGTTTAGGTAAGTAACATGAAGACTCGCTTGATTGGTTGGTAATTGTATATCTAAGGCTTTTTGGAAATATATCAATGCATTCGGATAATCTTCTTTATCATGATAGATCATCCCGATATTATCGTAAGTAATTCCCAAGTCAGGATGATTGGACGGTAATGATTGAAGTCGAATTTGAATGCATTTGTCATAGTTTTTCAGAGCTTTAGCATAATTATCTTTCTTGTGGTAAATCAATCCAATATTATTATAAGATGAGCCTAGTTCTGGATGATTTAACGGTAAGTGCAATCGTTTGATATGAAGCGATCTTCTATGATATTTTAAAGCTTGAGTATAGTTCTTTTGTTGGTAATGAACTAATCCCATATTATTGTAAATTGAAGCGAAGGCAAGATCTTTCTTCGGTAACGATTTCAAGCGTACTTGAAGTCCTTTTTGAAAGTATCGTAACGCGATGACATATTGTTCTAATTTACAATAACTATTTCCAATATTATTATAAGTAACCGCAAAAATCGGATGATTTTTGTCAAGAGAAATAAGTTCGATTGTCAATGCTTTTTGAAAATATTCCAACGCTGTAGAATGATCTCCTTTCTTTGCATAAACACATCCAATGTTATCGAACATAATAGCCAGATCAGGATGACTCAATGGTAATGTTTTTTGTTGTATATCAACAGCTTTTTGGTAATTATCTAAAGCATTATCATAACATCCAACTTCGCTGTATAATTCTCCCATATTATTTAACGTTGTTGCTAATTTTGGATCGGTCGGAGTGAGATATTGTTGTTGATTGTGTAGAGCCATTTTATAATTATCTAACGCATTTTGATAACTTCCTTTTTGAAAATAAATTTGACCAATATTGTTATATGTTATAGAAATATCAGGATGGTTCGCGGGTAAATTTCTTAATCGAATATTTAAAGCTTTTTGCAAATTCTTCAAAGCTATTTCAAACTTCTTTTGTTTGAATTGTAGACATCCAATGTTTCCATATGCTGCAGCAAGATCATTTTCCGTACTTTCAGGAAAGTTTCTATATATGAAGAGCGTATGCTGGTAATACTTCAAGGCAATGTTGTATTGACCTTTGTCATCGAAGAGATGTCCCATATTGTTGTATGTTGAAGAAAGACAATCGAAATCATTCATAATTATTTGATATTTCAATTGAAACTTCAGAGATTTCTTATAGAATTTGAGAGCTCGATCATAATCTCCCTTCTCGCTATACAATGCACCGAGACAATTGAAAATTCTACCTTTGTCAAGTGGATTCAAATATGCCTGACGAAGGATAATACGAAAATATTTTTCTGCTCGAGTAAAATCAGCCATTTTGTATAAAAATATTCCAAATGTGAGAATGTCCGTTCTTTGTCCAATAACATTTTTAAAATGCTCGATTAAGTCATTCAATTGTTTATTTTCAGTACTCAAGATTAATTTAATAACCCATATCTCTTCACTTAAATCTTNTCTACCTTTGTCAAGTGGATTCAAATATGCCTGACGAAGGATAATACGAAAATATTTTTCTGCTCGAGTAAAATCAGCCATTTTGTATAAAAATATTCCAAATGTGAGAATGTCCGTTCTTTGTCCAATAACATTTTTAAAATGCTCGATTAAGTCATTCAATTGTTTATTTTCAGTACTCAAGATTAATTTAATAACCCATATCTCTTCACTTAAATCTTCGACACTTTCAATTTGAAAAATATTCCCCATAGAAAATAGAACTTCATTTTCGGTCTTCAAATGACTGACCTTTGCAATGTTACCATACGGCTTAGCAACAATTGTCGAATCAATCTCGATTTCAAATAGTACTGATTCTATCAGAGGACGTCCAGATCCATCACCTGCAAATGAAAGTGCAAGTACGCTTGAAGTTGTCGCCGAAAAAAATGAGTTTATTGAAATAAATCCACCAACATTATTCTTCAAGTGTTTAAATTCATCGAGAAATATTCCTTGACCACGATAAACACGAAAGATTTTCTTGGTCGTTAACATCGATTCTTTATGTAATACACTTAATTGATTGTAAATATCGTTTATGATCAAACGTAGTTTGAAAATGGCGTCAATATCTTGCAATCGAAGCGCTTGGTTTAACACTCGATATAGAAAAGAGTCACGCGTATACCAATCGATAGCATCTGATGCCTGATAGGTTTTCTCAAATTCATCGATCTTTTGTAATTGTAATGTATTGTTATAGTAATGTGATTTACATTCATTGACAACCTCTTTAATGGCACTTTTTCTTGTTGGTAAACGTAATAAGATTTCTAAAAGTAATTGAAACCAGAGAAATTTTGCTTGTTCTTTATTTAAATCTTTGACTGACTTTTCTTTGTCAGTTAAACTAAATATACTTAAGGATGGACCGGGAGTCAATGATGCAGTTAAGTCTTCGATTAATTTATCGATAAGATTGGCTTTATTGCTGAAGATTCCACGGAATTTGTCAGTAGTATGAGAGTTTATCCAGGCAATCCGTGTCTTTTTGTGAATATAATAAGTGTAAATAAATCGAATTCGTTCTTGTTCGTATAACAGAGGAAAGAGATTTTTGCCAGACGAACCACAAATAATAAAATAGATCGTTTTTGTTTCGATTGTCGAAAGATAATTGAAACAGGTTTTAAAATTATTAAACTCTACTGTATCCTTTTTCACAGTATCCAATCGCATTTGATGATCTACTGCTAAAACATCTTTGGAATATTCTTCATTCATGTCGCTATGATTTGTGTAAAGCCATACGATAACGAAATTATTTTCCTGATTTCGTACAACTTTCTCTCGTGAGACTGAAAGCTTCGTTGAGAAAGTGTTTTTCGACGATGTAAAATTCGACCGTGTCAACAAATGTTTCCTTTTATATCGGTGAAGCATTGTCGACTGCGAATAATGACTTTCACGTATCAAATCGGCCATTTCAACAAGCTTTTGACTAATTGAACGACATAATATTGACTTGGACAAGTGTTTTTCAACAATTCGATTGGAATATTTTCCGGCATTAAATGACTTTTTATGAGAATAATTTTGTTGAATTTTGACCATTTTTTATGCTTTCATTAATGAAACTGTTTCTATATTTCGAGTGCGTGTTTAGAGACAGTTGAATTTAATGAATTCTCGATTCATATTCGAAAAAGCATAGGACTTAGTTGGNATTGAACGACATAATATTGACTTGGACAAGTGTTTTTCAACAATTCGATTGGAATATTTTCCGGCATTAAATGACTTTTTATGAGAATAATTTTGTTGAATTTTGACCATTTTTTATGCTTTCATTAATGAAACTGTTTCTATATTTCGAGTGCGTGTTTAGAGACAGTTGAATTTAATGAATTCTCGATTCATATTCGAAAAAGCATAGGACTTAGTTGGAATTCTCCAAGTATTCTTTTCCGTCGTTGCGTTCTTACTTACAAACATAAAAAAAGACGTCTTTTGTAGTGCAAAAATATAACTATTTGTCTTGTTCTACAAAGAAAAGAAGCAAAAAACAGAACATAAAAACGTTATAGCATGTAGTTGTACTCTACTCGACCAAAGCTTGAAAAATCGTGTCGGGAGAACGTTAAAATCATCGAGAGTAATTCGACCGTCATCTAAGCCGATAGCATTTCGAATTTGGTCTCATTGGAAACAATCATTAGCAAGGTCTCTTTGAACTATACGATGATGTGTACATCACTTCGATTTTATTCAATAAATTAGGTTGTGAGTAATGCACGGCGCTCTTTTTCCAACATACACGTGTGTTCTTTTTCTTTCTGTTCGATAAATTCTGTTGCCTATGATTAGAAACGATCAGCGGTCACACAGAGAGACTTCGAAAATGCGCTACAACCAATTGGTTTAACGTCTGAAGAAGCTTCGAACACGTGATATCGTCGTTTTTTTTGCCAGTTTTTCTAGAGAGATGGCTGCAGAAGAGGAGACACGAAAACGTATGGTCGATCAGGTGATTCTATGTTATTTTGATGTCAATACAAGAGATATGGAGACAAATGTGCAACGAATACGCGAAGAACTTCGATCAAATATTCATACTTTTCATCAGTTTAACGATTGGGATGCCTGTATCGATTTTCTAACAGATGCAAACGAAGCCGATATTGTTTGTTTATACACGAAAGATGAATATTTGAGTGATGATCTTCTATCAGTACTCAATTCAATTTATCAACTCAAATCGATCTATACACTGAATTATGGTATTTCAAGCCGTTACACTAACCATCGTAAAGTGATGCCGATTCAGTACGATATAGTGTACAGCAATCGGTTCACATTAAACAAAATCTCCGACAAAAAGCCAACCAAATGATCAGCTTTCAAACTTTTCGTTCGAGCGATGATCGTGCGGAAGACATATCTAAATTAAATCGTCTTGATGCATCTTTTATGTATTCCCAATTGATTAAAGAGATGCTTATTGATACTGAACTAGATTACGACGATGATTATATAGAAATGTTTATCGAAGCATGTCGTACGGAAAACAGTGTTAATGCAACTCAATTGGCAAATATAACACGATTCAAAAATACTTACAAAGAACATTCAGCACTTTGGTGGTACACAAAAGAGTCATTTCTTTATTCAGCTGTGAATAAAGCCTTGCGAACGCAAGATGTAACTATGATATTTATGATGGGATTTTTCATTCGTGATCTTCATCAAGGCTTAGTTGAATTACAAAAAATCAATAAAGAAAGTCAGTCGTTCTCAACAGTCTATCGTGGTCAAAGCCTGACAGTTCATGATTTGCAACGCCTACAACATCATGTTGGTGGTCTTCTTTCTTTTAATAACTTTCTTTCTACTAGTTTAGACTACAATGTATGTCTTGCATTTGCTCAGAGTGCACGAGATGATCCATTACACATTGGTGTCCTTTTTCGAATTCAACTACATTCGATTATTGCAGAAAAGCACGGTTCTACATCACCATTTGCTCCTTTGAAAGATGTTAGCTATTATCCACATGAAGATGAAATACTTTTTTCAATGCATACAGTTTTTCGAATTAAGAATGCAGTTGAAATCGAAGAAAATCTTTGGCTACTCGATCTAGATCTTACCAATGACCAAGATGAACAACTCAATGTTCTTCTCGACCAATTACGTTCCGAGATCTACGTAGCAGAGGTATTTAATGTCGACAAAGTCGGAAAACTATCTTTGTTGATGGGCGATTACGATGGAGCGCTAGATGTTTATAATACCTTGCTCAATATGTGTCCTGATAATTTAGTTCTTAGTTCGTATGTTCATCATCATCTCGGTTTAGTCTATCAACAAATGCACCGATTGGACGAAGCGATTCATCATTACTTAAAAGCGGTTGACATTCGTCGCTCATTTAGGAACGACGAAAATAATGATCGCTATTCAATGGCGACTTATGCAAATCTTACTGATATCTACAAGGAGAAAGGTGACTTGGGTCAAGCTCGAGCAAACTGTGAACGTGCACTGGTGTTATTCGCGCAAAAGAAAAATCCTGAAGAATCAGATCCAATTATGTATTGTTACCATTTGTCCAATTTGGCACTTGTTCAACATGCGGAAAATAATGTGGATGACGCTTTGAAAAACTATAAAAAAGTCATCGAACTACGTCTGAAACATCTACCTTCAAATCATCCTGACCTATGCGTAGCTTATAGTAATTTAGCAGTAGTTTGTGGATCGAAGAAAGATTATTCTTTAGCTGTCGAGCATCTTCAACAAGCATTAGAAGTCGCTGAACGATCGCTGCCAGATAAACATGATACATTAGCTGTAATCCATTACAATATCGGTGTAATGAATGAGAATTGGAAGAAATACGATGAAGCTTTGAAACATTTACAGAAAGCTGTGGAAATTGCACGAGCCTTACCTTCATTTGACAGCGAGAAACTCGCGAGCTGGATCCAATCCATGGATGAAGTACGCGAAAATTTGACTAGTTTTCACGAGTAGTATTCTACTGAACCAGCTGTCGTTCTTTTGCTATGCATAGTAGTCCTTTCAATATCTAGAAAATTCTAATGTATTAGCAGTGTCAACAGGAAAAATGTGTACGACAGTTGTAGTTTTGTGTCAATTTATTCTATTTGTCAAAGAAACAATGAACTTTCATGTTTCGAACTCAGTTAGCTATTTACGACTTTCGAATTTGACGCTCTTCAATGCGTTAAATGTTCGATGGATGAAAATACAAGCCATTTTCAGTTCGAGCAAGGCAAATCGCATGCCAATACAAGTGGGTGTCGATTTCGTTCTGCGGCTTTTATTGTTCTTGTTCTGGATGTGTCGCTCGTATATAAGTGCAAAAGGATAGAACAATGAAGACCATTTCCGTAACATCAATTAGAAAAATCGAAACATTTCCTAAGATTTCTTCGTGGATCATTCTTCCGCTTGGGTCGAGTCGTACCGGCGTTGGCAGATTTTCATCATCATTCTAACACATGAACTACAACAAAACTACGTTTCCTCGTGGCCTTGACTAACTACGATGTTTTCATCACCACTTGCTTCTTATTGATGGAACTGAAGAACTAAGTGCGCACTCGTCGTAAATAAGTGTTATTTTCATTTCGTTGTACATCCGTATCAGATGAAAACGAACAGCGAAGTTGTAGATAAATCAAATTAATGATCAACTACTTTTCAAATTTCTGTACTTACGCATCGTAGCCATACTCATATGTCCATGATTCTAGCTGGCGATAATAATTCGATGCTCGCCGACGTGTGCGTAGACTACTGAGTAAAAATGTCACGAATAGTCTGCGAAGTGTGAAAGTATTCGTTTTTCGTCATGATTATTATTGTATGATTGCGTTTGTATCGAAATAAGAAATCAACCTATACAGATGGGAGAAGAAAATGATCGTAGCACTCGGATTTCTTTATCGAATATGGCGTTCGAACGTCCTCTCATTAACATTGCTAGACTTAAGAAAATGTCGATTACAAGCACGTTTAACTAATACCAACGTTACTGAAATAAAACGTATTGTATGCTTAGGTGGAATTATTCTTGGGATACAGTATAGAAACTTGAAGAATCGATAGAGCGAATTGTGAGAGAGTAGATAGACTCTAAACAGACGCAATTCAATCGTAAATGAATAACAGGTACAGATAAAATAATGTGAATCCCACCTGTAAAGCTACACACGTCTTTCTTTTCATCGAAGATGTGAAGCAATGCATTTATTGCAAAAGGATTATTTCAACAATCGTTGTTATAGTCGTTGTCTGCAGTTCGATACGTAGTGACTCATCGGAGGGCGCAATTCACTTTTGTGAAATTACGTTTTATCAACTACGCTCGTTCGTTTGTACAGGCTGAAGCGACGAAAGAGAAATCGCATTTTTTGCTCTTTCGAACACATTTTTTCAATCGACGACATTTTGAAATTCGCTTTTTCAAAGTTAATATCCAACGATGGGGGTCAGTAATATACACAAATTCATTCATGTCGATTCCTTTTTGTTACTTCTAGTGCGGTGCATCGAAATCGAAAGAAAATGACGTTTTTTATGATATTTGCGCGTGTGGTGATGTCGAAAAAGTGCATAGCTTATTGCCAACAATGACTTCTCAAAAATTGAATCATCAACAAAAAGATGGCAATACTCCTCTCCATGCGGCTTGTATAAACAATCACAACGACATAGTTATTCTATTACTGAACAAGGAAGACATTTGCGCGAGACGTCTACGTAACAAAGAAGGTAAAACTGCGTATGACTATACAAAATCCAGTGAAATTCGACGATTATTTTGCCGTCCGGAAGCTGCAACAATCGCACGTTTGCAGGATGATCAACCAACATCATCTCTCCAACCCGTTCTCGCAACCAATATGGATTCAAACGAGACAATTCCTGANATTGAACGACATAATATTGACTTGGACAAGTGTTTTTCAACAATTCGATTGGAATATTTTCCGGCATTAAATGACTTTTTATGAGAATAATTTTGTTGAATTTTGACCATTTTTTATGCTTACATCAATGAAACTGTTTCTATATTTCGAGTGCGTGTTTAGAGACAGTTGAATTTAATGAATTCTCGATTTATATTCGAAAAAGCATAGGACTTAGTTGGAATTCTCCAAGTATTCTTTTCCGTCGTTGCGTTCTTACTTACAACCATAAAAAAGACGTCTTTTGCAGTGCAAAAATATAACTATTTGTCTTGTTCTACAAAGAAAAGAAGCAAAAAACAGAACATAAAAACGTTACAGCATGTAGTTGTACTCCACTCGGCAAAAGCTTGAAAAATCGTGTCTGGAGAACGTTAAAATCATCGAAAGTAATTCGACCGTCATCTAAGGCGATAGCATTTCGAATTTGGTCTCATTGGAAGCAATCATTAGCAAGGTCTCTTTGAACTATACGATGATGTGTACATCAGTTCGATTTTATTCAATACAATAGGTTGTGAGTAATGCACGGCGCTTTTTTTCCAACATACAGGTGTGTTATTTTTCTTTCTGTTCGATAAACTCCATTGCCTATCATTAGAAACTATCAGCAGTCGCACAGAAAGACTTCGAAAATGCGCGACAACCAATTGGTTTAACGTCTGACGAAGTTTCGAACAAGTGATATCGTCGTTTTTTTGTTAATTTTTCTAGAGAGATGGCTGCAGAAGAGGAGACACAAAAACGTATGGTCGATCGGGTGATTCTATGTTACTTTGATGTCAATACAAGAGATATGGAGACAAATGTGCAACGAATACGCGAAGAATTTCGATCAAATATTCATACTTTTCATGAGTTTAACGATTGGGATGTCTGTATCGATTTTATAACAGATGCAAACGAAACTGATATCGTTTGTTTATACACGAAAGATGAATATTTGAGTGATGATCTTCTATCAGTACTCAATTCAATTTATCAACTTAAATCGATCTATACAGTGTATTATGGTATTCCAAGCCGTTACACTAACCATCGTAAAGTGATACCGATTCAGTACGATAGTGTACAGCAATTGGCTCACATTAAACAAAACCTCCGACAAAAAGCCAATCAAATGATCAGCTTTCAAACTTTTCGTCTGAGCAATGATCGTATGGAAGATATATCTAAATTAAATCGTCTTGATGCATCTTTTATGTATTCCCAATTGATTAAAGAGATGCTTATTGATACTGAACTAGATTACGACGATGATTATATAGAAATGTTTATCGAAGCATGTCGTACGGAAAACAGTGGTAATACAACTCAATTGGGAAATATAACACAATTCAAAAATACTTACAAACAACATTCAGCACTTTGGTGGTACACAAAAGAGTCATTTCTTTATTCAGCTGTGAATAGAGCCTTGCGTACGCAAGATGTAACTATGTTATTTATGATGGGATTTTTCATTCATGATCTTCATCAAGGCTTAGTTGAATTACAAAAAATCAATAAAGAAAAGCAGTCGTTCTCAACACTCTATCGTGGTCAAGGCCTGGCAGTTCATGATTTACAACGCCTACAACAGCATGTTGGTAGTCTTCTTTCTTTTAATAACTTTCTTTCTACTAGTTTAGACTACAATGTATGTCTTGCATTTGCTCAGAGTGCACGAGATGATCCATTACACATTGGTGTCCTTTTTCGAATTCAGCTACATCCGATTATTGCAGAAAAGCATGGTTCTACATCACCATTTGCTCCCTTGAAAGATGTTAGTTATTATCCACATGAAGATGAAATACTTTTTTCGATGCATACAGTTTTTCGAATTAAGAATGCAGTTGAAATCGAAGAAAATCTTTGGCTATTCGATCTAGATCTTACCAATGATCAAGATGAACAACTCAATGTTCTTCTCGACCAATTAAGTTCCGAGATCTATGTAACAGAGGTATTCAATGTCGACAAAGTCGGAAAACTGTCTTTGTTGATGGGCGATTATGATGGAGCGCTAGATGTCTATAATACCTTGCTAAATATGTTTCCCGACAATTTAGTTCTTAGTTCGTATGTTCATCATCATCTCGGCTTAGTCTATCAACAAATGCACCGATTGGACGAAGCGATTCATCATTACTTAAAAGCGATTGACATTCGTCGCTCATTTGGGAATGACGAAAATAATGATCGTTATTCAATGGTGACTTATGCAAATCTTACTGATATCTACAAGGAGAAAGGTGACTTGGATCAAGCTCGAGCAAACTGTGAACGTGCACTGGCGTTATTCGCGCAAAAGAAAAATAATGAAGAATCTGATCCAATTATGTATTGTTACCATTTGTCCAATTTGGCACTTGTTCAACATGCTGAAAATAATGTGGATGACGCTTTAAAAAACTATAAAAAAGTCATCGAACTACGTCTGAAACATCTACCTTCAAACCATCCTGACTTATGCTTAGCTTATAGTAATTTAGCAGTAGTTTGCGGATCGAAGAAAGATTATTCTTTAGCTGTCGAGTATCTTCAACAAGCATTGGAAGTCGCTGAACGATCGCTACCAGATAAACATGATACATTAGCTGTAACCCATTACAATATCGGTGTAATGAATGAGAATTGGAAGAAATACGATGAAGCTTTGAAACATTTCCAGAAAGCTGTGGAAATTGCACGAGCCTTACCTTCATTCGACAGCGAGAAACTCGCGAGCTGGATCCAAGCCATGGATGAAGTACGCGAAAATTTGACTAGTTTTCACGAGTAGTATTCTACTGAACCAGCTGTCGTTCTTTTGCTATGCATAGTAGTCCTTTCAATATCTGGACAATACTAATGCTAATAGAATATCTACTTCATTCAAATGTATTAACATAGTGTCAGCAGGAAAAATGTGTAGGATAAGTGTAGTTTTGTGTCAATTTATTCTATTTGTCAAAGAAACAATGAACTTTTATGTTTCGAACTCAGTTAGCTTTTTACGACTTTCGAATTTCACGCTCTTCAATGCGTTAAATGTTCGAAGGATGAAAATACAAGCCATTTTCAGTTCGAGCAAGGCAAATCGCATGCCAATACAAGTGGGTATCGATTTCATTCTGCAGCTTATAAGTGCAAAAGGATAGAACAATGAAGACCATTTCCGTAGCATCAATTAGAAAAATCGAGACATTTTCTAAGATTTTTTCGTGGATCATCTTTCCGCTTGGATCGGGTCGTACCGGCGTTCGCAGACTTTCATCTTCATTCTAACATATCAATTACAATAAAACTACGTTCCCTCGTGGCTTTGACTAACCAGGATGTTTTCAGCAGTTGATGCTTCTATGAGAAGATGACACAGATACACCCGCATGAACATGCCAAGAGTGAAGGCAGTTAGCGTTTAGAATGCCAGTGCTATTTTTCATCACCACTTACTCCTTATTGTCGGAGCTGAAGAACTAAGTGCGCACTCGTCGTAAATACGTGTTATTTTCATTTCGTTGTACATCCGTATCAAATGAAAACGAACAGCGAACTTGGAGATAAATCAAATTAATGATAAACTACTTTTCAAATTTCTGTACTTACGCATCGCAGCCATATATACTCATATGACCATGATTCCAACTGACAATAATAATTCGATGCTCGCCGATGTGTGCGTAAATTACCGAGTAAGAATGCATATTTCGGTCCGGGAATGTTGCTTTCTTGGAAGTACCGCTGTTTCCGTCGAGTGCTGATAGCAAACAGTAGAATTCCTAAGACTATAATTATACCAATAAGGGAACAAATAAGTCTAAATGTCACGAATGGTCTTCGAAGTGTGAAAGTATTCGTTTTTCGTCATGCTTATTATTGTATGATTGCGTTTGTATCGAAATAAGAAATCAAGTTTATACAGATGGGAGAGGAAAATGATCGTAGCACTGAGGTTTCTTTATTGAATGTGGAGTTCCAACGTCCTTGCATTAACATTTCTAGCCTTAAAAATGGTCGATTACAAGCACGTTTTATCTAATACCAACGTTACTGAAATAAACCGTATTAAATGCTTAGGTGAAATTACTCTTGGGATACAGTATAGAAACTTGAAGAAGCGATACAGTGAATTGTGAGAGAGTAGATAGACTCCAAACAGACGTAATTCAACCGTAAATGAATATCAGGTAGAGATAAAATAATGTGAATCTCACCTGCAAAACTACACACATGTCTTTCTTTTTATCGAAGATGTAAAGCAATGCATTTATTGCAAAATGGTTATTTCAACAATCGTTGTTATAGTCGATGTCTGCAGTTCGATACATAGTGACTCATCGGAGGGCGCAATTCGTCTTTGTGAAATTACGTTTTTTCAACTACGCTCGTTCGTTTGTACAGACTAAAGCGACGAAAGAGAAATCACATTTTTCGTTCTTTCGAAAACATTTTTTCAATCGACGAGATTTCGGATTTTGCTTTTTCAAAGTTAATGTCCAACGATGGGGGTCAGTCATATACACAAATTCATTCATGTCGATTCCTTTTTGTTACTTCTAGTGCGGTGCATCGAAATCGAAAGAAAATGACATTTTTTATGATATTTGCGCGTGTGGTGATGTCGAAAAAGTGCATAGCTTATTACCAACAATGACTTATCAAAAATTGAATCATCAACAAAAGGATGGCAATACTCCTCTCCATGCAGCTTGCATAAACAATCACAATGACATAGTTATTCTATTACTGAACAAGGAAGACATTTGCGCGAGACGTCTACGTAACAAAGAAGGTAAAACTGCGTATGACTATACAAAATCCAGTGAAATTCGACGATTATTTTGCCGTCCGGAAACTGCAACAATCGCACGTTTGCAGGATGATCAACCAACATCATCTCTCCAACCCGTTCTCGCAACCAATATGGATTCAAAGGAGACAATTCCTGACGATTGGGTTCGCGGTTATACGAATGCCAAGCAAAATTTCGATGGACAATTCATGCTTGCTTTACAAAATGCTCCCTTGCCATTGAAAGTTCTGATTAAAATGCGAACAAGAAACGAAGCTGAACAAACATTCGAAGCATTTTTGGAAAAATGTAGTCAACTTCAACCAAACAAACGCCATTTGCTCATGACAGAATTTGAACGATATAAAAAAACGAGGAATATCGAACATCTACTGACAATTTACACGTTGGAAACAGTTGTTTACAAGAAATTACAAGACGAAATGAATGCTTATACAACTTTGATCTTTCTCAGTTTGAAAAAACTAGCCAGCCGAAGGTATAAAGGAGTGAGTTATCGAGGTGCTGCAATGACTCAACAGGATGTTAATGCGTATAAATGGGCACAAAAGAGCAAAGACTACATATTAGAAACTCGTGTATTTCAATCGACATCTCTATCCGAAGAATTCTCGAACTTATTCGCAGTATCTCGTCCAGACGATGGAAAAATATGTGGTGTTCTATTCGAATATATTTTCGACATAGAATGTGCAACGGCGATCCAACTGGGAGAAATTTCATTTTTCGAACAAGAACAAGAAGTTCTGATATTACCATTTACATTATTCAAAGTGGAAAGCGTCAATTTTGATGAACCATCGAGTCATTATCGTATCACTCTTCGGTATATTCGATCGACGGAAAAATCTTTTCTTTCATCATGGTGGAATGCATAAAAATACACTTTATTAAAAATAAACAATAAAAAAATCTTTTTATCAATCTGAAGATGCAATCGAACTGTCGGCGTGTAAAGTTGTATCGAGTTTTTTCGGAATTTTTTTCAAAGGTGGTAGATCTGTCGATGTTTCATCACATACAGACACTTCTGCACTACCCGGTTCATCTTTCGGAGCATCTGAAGGTTCGACAATATCTTTCGGAACGTCAGAAGGTTCAACAGCATCTTTCGGAGCATCCGAAGGTTCGACAATATCTTTCGGAACGTCAGAAGGTTCAGCAGCATCTTGCGGAGTGTCGGTAGGTTGTACCGGTACAACAGTTGCTTTGTTGTTTCTTTTCCTTGTGCAACAACGCTTCCAAAATTTGTACGCGCAATATATACTATAAACAATTGAGCATATACACAAGATGACGTAAATAGCCGTACAGTAAGTTAATACAAAACCCAAACAATCGCCTGAGCTTTGTGGTAGTCTGAATATAGCATTTGAGCCCTAGAGAATAGAAAAGATTTCATTTTAGTTGAATGCTAGATTTACTACGTGATTTAGTTCTTACCGGTCCAACTGACCAACTTAAAACCCCACCACCAATGCCAACGATGACAATAAATGCGCGACGAAATGCTTTTTCACTGGTGTTATATTTAATAACTGTGGCCACCAAAATCTACGCAAAAAATCCTCGTAAATCCAACTTTTCATACAAAAGAATTCAACTTACCAAAGTTACCAAAGCAACAACAAGAATAATGCTGGAACCACCCAGTACAATCAACCAAATCGGAATCGATGGTTGACGTGGTAAATAACACCGCTTATTGAATCCGATGACACCAATAACTAATGAAGCTAATCCAATGATAGCAACGATAAAGAGAAAAATGATCATGAATAGTTTTCCCATGAGAAATTTCACATGAGATTTGACTGGATTAACATCGACGCGTCCTGGTTTATCTTGAAGTTGAGCGGCATCACGAGCCCGTAATAAATCAATAATCGGTTGCTGATCCTTCGCGTTGAACCTAAAGTTTGCTGTCTAAACAAAATGATCATAATTCTCAGAAAATTCGTCATACGCTCAACTCTTACCGCCATCGTTCGTCTTAATATTCTTGAAAATAAATTTATAAGGGTTGTTTGCTTTCTATATATGTCAAATTGTTCACTTGTGCAATCTCTGAGTCAATAGAGAATGATGTTTGCGTTCGAATGTAAACAAGACCAAAAATCACGCAAAAATCTATGATTATCGCAATGCTTTCATCGAATTAATAGAACTCGATAAAGAATGTAAACGTACGTATTGATTTAAAAAATCCGAAAGAAAAACATTGAAATGGCACGCTGAGGCTGATTTGAATCAAATTATGTCAATGTTTTGCTCGTTGAAGTGTGCGCAACGATCGAAAAAGGAACATTGTAGTAATCTTTCATTGAAATTTGCACGTCAACGCAGCCAACAGACAGTCAATATAACCTACTTTGAAAACGTGAATCAATGGTTATCCAATCAGAAAAAAAAAGTTGATGGATATTTCGCACCAAAAACAAGAATATTACTGATTTGTTTTAACTTCGCCTCGTATCTATTGCCAAAAATTGTTAATGATTATTTCATAATTAAATCTCAATCGATCAAACAATGCCATCATCTTTGTATTGTCATACTTTTTCACAGAGTTATGGATTCGTGATTGTAAATTGTTTGACAATAGGCGTATTGTCAAGAAGAAGACAAGTAAGCTTATTAATAGATTTTATGATAGGCATGCTTTTGGTTCCATCTAAATCATAGTTGGATTAGTCAGTAGATGGTACACAGAAGAATGGAATATTGAAGTGAAACATAAAGTAAGAGTTCTTATGTAAATTAAGTCTATTAAAAGAGCTTCGTTTCATGATTTTTATCGGAATAATTGAGAAAAATTGATTTCCTTGGTTTTGATCAAAAATTCCCCCCGACCTACTCGAAATTTTTATCCTACAAGAAGCTTTCGGATACGTGCATATTATAATTACAACACTTTGTTTATGAAATTCTGCTCGATTTATCACATTCTCTATTGATTGTAGGAGTTATTTCTTTTGCCGTATGTTCGAAGATGGTTTTTTAATAAAAACGACAATGAAATATATAGCTTAAATTTAAGTCATTTGCTTGGTATTTGTATGTTTAGAAAAGCAATAGGCGCAGCAGAGTATTATGGTATAGCCTTGTTCAAATCTTTGGATACGGAAAAGCATGCAAATGAGTTGACTTCATGAAATTTTTTATCGTTCTGTGAATGATACGTGTACAAACGATGTATTTATTTCTAAAACTCAACGCAAGAACAACTTGCATAGGAAATTTTCGTATAGACTCGTTCGTTTGTCTTTCAGAAAAACGAAACTAAAACACACAAACATTATTATTCATTATACTTTTTAATATCAATTGTCTCTAATTTGTTTACCACATGGATCATTGTTCCTGTACATTTATATACCAATAGTATATTCATAGATTCAGCAAATTATAATGTTTTATTTTCCACGTATAGCCTTATGTTGGTTGAATGTAATAGTAATTCTTAATCGATATCTACACAGTTCACTTAACATACGATTTCGTCGATTTAGTTCAATGATAATGATTTGAATATACCATTTATGTCTATACGCTTGTTTATTTTGAGATAAAAACAGTAAAAGATCAATCTGGTGTTATTGTATCGTTGTGTCCAGATCAAAATGGATTTTATCGAACATTCATTGGACTTTTTCATATGAATCATCTATCTGGTGAGTCCATCATTCTTTAGTGCTAACCAACAACATGAATCATCATAAAATGAGACCATCTGACATTCACTTATCTATTATGTTACTTGCTCAAGCATGTATTATCATTCTTTCCATTGTACCAATCTCGATCAATGGTAATTACACATCGATTACATTAAACGTTCGAAAAGATGCACTTCGCATTGCTCAAGAAAATCTTAACACCCAGATAGTGAACAACATGACATTATTTGCTCATATACAACTCGTTTTAATCTATACACATTATCGGGAAGATTATTCTGTAAAGAACTGTTGAAAGTTATCACTCGCATTTCCTTTTCGAATGTGAATCTTACTTATCCAATGATTTATCATCGAAAAAACACTGCATCTAAAGTATTTAACTCTTCGGGCGACTTCAAAAGTGGTGTTTGGTCTATATCGTCCCCTCGCGATTAAACAATTGTCTTTAGTTGTGTGAAATGAGAGAAAATAGAGTTATTTTTTGGGAAATTTCTATTGAAAAAATGTTTGTCAACGGTATTCGGAAATTTTTTTTTTAATTTCTAATTGTTTTCAACTAGAAAAATGAGTTAAACTCTTGGAAATTGTAAATGCCAATCCTTCTTAAAGAACTCTTGATGACGATTTTGAATGTTTAATTGATGTTTAACATGGAAGACTGATGATTCTTCATACATTGTCGATTTGGTTTGAATATCAACTTGAAATGATGATGCGTCCGAAAAATAATATTTCAAATTACGTTCGATTTCGACTCGTGCTGATTGAGGATCAATCATTTGAATTTGATAAAGACTTTTCATTGACTCGTCAAATCTTAATCCATCGGGATATTCTATACATCCATCATCGTCAGTCGTCTAAATCAAACAACCGAAAAAGTCATTCGAACGAATTGGTTCTTCCGTTACTCTCAATGTGACAAATTGACGAATTTCATCAACAAACCGTTGGCGTTGATTTGAACTATTTCGTAAAACGTTCACCGGAATGCTCGGGGCAACTTCCGGCAAAGCAAAATCGTTTCTTAATGAACTGAAATACATTCCATTGAAACATTCAACCAGCTCAAATCATCTTACTATTCTCTCGTGAGACGAGGTAATTGAAGAACACATGGTAATGATTGATCAAAATGAATCCTACAATCAACTGTAAGATCTTTTTCATCAAAAACGATCATCTTACGTTAAGACTGATAGGTTAGTCGAAGGCCAAACTATTGGCCAATAAGAGGTTGATAAACTTAAACGAAGACGACAACCAATTGGAAGAGAAACACATAGACCGGATAAGGTCACATCAATCCTTCAAATAGAACGTTCGATCTTGGAAAACAAAGCGAAGAATAATACGAACGGGTAAACTTGATCGACGTTCAACTTTTCCGGATGTTCATGTGATTTATAATGTGTTAAATTGAGAATTCCACGTGCAAGAAGAATCGATACCGATGATTTCTCATCAATCATGTTTAAACGAACACAAATCAAGGCATCTGGTGAATTCGAACTCAAATTGAGTCGAACACGTGGAAATCCAAATAAATCTACGAACTCAAAGAAAATGATTTGAAAAGTTTCAGAAAGAGTAATGATACCGTATTGTTCCGTTAAAGGAAGAGAATCAAAACATAAAGAAGTACCATCATCGAGCCGTTGATCGATTGGATTAGTTGGAAGATTTGCTGCTCCGTATCCTAGATAGTTTCCACCAGCCATGCCAGTAATCTGTGGTGATAGAAAAGACATTTGTTTCGGTAATTCTTCATTGACACTTGGTTGTCTTTGTAAGGATTGGTAGGACACATAATAGACAATCTTCTCATCTGCTTGTTCGTCGTTATTAGTCGGCGGAAGACCGTTTCTTTCGTCATGTTCGATCGGAAACGATGGAAGTTGATTGAAATGGATCCATTCGCCTTTTCTCTCATGTATAACTGAACTAACATCTTCCACATTCGGATGTAGTCGATAAACCGAAAACATTTCCTTCTTATCATAACCATTTTCAGCGCCTATATGAACATTCGCTTTAAACACCTTTCAAAATTACATTCGTACCTTTGGTATGATAATCCAACCAAGCAACAACTTCTTGTAGAAAACCAATTTGTGGTCCTGGATATGCACTGTCTCTAAAACGAAAGAATTGGTTTCGATTTCTTCGAAGTTTATAACTAACGGCCATTGATGTCCCCACGGGCCAATGATTGCACGTTTCGGACACGTCAATCTCGTCATTAAGCGAAAAACTGGATCTGTATAAAGATCAGCATAGCCACCAATCAAAAGAACCGGACACGAGATTTTCGAATAATCTTCACAAACACTTCCATGTCGCCAGTATTTATCCCTAAACATTCCTATTAGTTTTTCTGTATCTCTCTTTTCGTTATGAACAAACCGAGTTTGATGTTTCATCCAATAAGTATCCAGCGGTACTAGTTGCTCCAATCGACCTTTCCAGATCTTTTCGAGATCACTATCCCGATCGATTCCTCCTTGATACGTTGGATGTGGAGGAATCGATAGCCATATTAGCATTTGCGTCGACCATGCCAATGCTACGAGACAAAAGATGTTCTTCCTTCAAATAATTTCGAAACAAACCTTCCTGTGCGGGTAAACATCCTCCGTAGTAATGAATGTCATCACTATAACGATCATCTGTTGAATAAGCCGATATAATTCCAACTAGATTCTAAACTACCGAAATATCTTTTCTAATGAAGCATTTTCGACTCGAAATACTTTAGGTTGAAGCACACCGACTTGTAATCCATTGAATCCACCCCACGATTTTCCATAAATCACAACCTGAGAGAAAACATACGAAGATCTATCCAATGTTCAACATAAAATTTTACTTTTCCGTTCGACCAAGTTTGGTTTTGTATCCATTTGAGAATTTGTAAAGCATCGGACTGTTCTTGTGGACTATATTCATCATCAAAGATTCCTTGAGAATTTCCCGTTCCTCGAATATCCACACGAAGTGCAACATAACCGAATCCCGAGAAATACTTCAGACGAAGTTCATCGCGTCTTGATCTAGTCGCCTCAAAGGTGAAAACGTTTTCACAAATTCGTTCTTAACTTACGTCCAATCAGCTTTTCTGTATGGTATATATTCCAAAATTGTCGTGAACTTTTCATTTGTACCTAGAAATGAATCATTCGAAAGAGCAAATAAGTGGAAAATATCCAAACTTTTCGGCATCCAGATATTCGCTGCTAATTGTATTCCATCGTCGAGAATTATTGTCACTGTTGTTAATTTGTCAAGTTCATACGGAAAATCCGTACGAATCGAACAGTTTTCCTTCAAAGTTTTCGCTGTTGACTGCATCGTTGAATAAATGACTATTCTTATCTTTCACGACCTCATATAAACAGAAAAACAAAACAAAACCTCTAAACTATCACACACTTCGTTCTGCATTTATTCTGTTTCTTTCTAATCAATTATCGACATCTTTTATGTATTGACAATTTATTTTTCGAGAGTATCAAAACAAAAACTATTCGAACAAGCTGAATTTACAATTGAATAAACTGATATAATATTGTTTATAGATTAGATTTTTACATCTCGATAATAACATCGTCCACTCTTCCATGTTGGAACCGGTTTATGACAGTACAATCCTTTGCAACACCCTCCTTGATCTTGATGATCAGCCTCGCATGCACCATCGTGTTTAATACACTACGAAAATACAAAAATGAGAAACTCATGGAGAAGAACTAAATGACTTACAGAGTCTGACATGTCTATACATGCAATGAACATGAGAGTGAGAAGAAGAACATATACGAACGTTTTGTTCATTGTTCAGATGAATTTTGTTTAGTGGAAAGAATGTTGTGATATTTTATAGACTGACGATCTTTGTCTATGAACATGATCATGTCATTGGTCAAAGTGGCTCATTGATTTATTTGATATGATGATCAGTTTTAACTGAAGAAATGTAGATATTGAACAGGAGAAAGAAACGAATCGGATGACCTCATTCGATAAGAAGCATATCCAATGGATGGACAGCGATAATATTTGTTTTTTTTGTCAAGACTTGAGTTTCATAACAACGGCAAAATGAATTTGGAATCATTACCAAATGAAATTCTGCTCATATGTTTCGAATATGTCAATACTATTGATCTTTTCTTGACATTCGATCAACTTAACTTTCGATTTCGTCAACTCATCCGAACAGTTCGACTGAGTCTCGACTTGAACTATGTTCACAAATATCGATTCCATCGATTTTGTCAGACGATGTTGGAAATTCCTGAAATCAAATCACAAATTCATTCGCTACACCTATCCAATCAAAGCAGCCCTGGCGAAATTCACGCATTCTTATCCTTATTTTCACTCAAACAATTCCCAAATCTGCATTCACTATCATTAACTTCCGTTCGCAGACACGATTTCCAATATCTTCAATCCATGCTACCATCACTATCAAAATTGACTTCGTTTCGACGAACAAATCCTTCGTAGTTTGCCTACAATTCATTTACGTAGATTGTCATTATCAACAGAAAGTCGTACACACTATGTGCTCAATGTTCCCCAGTTACGCTATTTGGATATCGAAAATATTCCATATCATTTTCATGTTTCTGTTCATTTAACAACATTGATTCTAAGCCAACTTATGTGTAGATTCGATGATCTGGAGAGTTTTCTCAGTTGTGCACCCGCTCTCAAATATTTGACGATCCTTGCACCTAAAAATCGACAACTAACCGATGCAAACCGTTGGCAGGATTTGATCACAAAATCATTATGTCAACTGCAAACATTCAAATTCATATTTGCCAGTCATTTGATCGAACAATACGAACAATTCCAAAGTAATTTTTGGACAATTGAACATCGATGGTATACCGAATACATTCAGGATGGAAAGTTCATATATATTTACACAATTTCATATCCGCAGATTTCACTCGGTGTAAAAATCCAATGATTAGCGATGTTGACGTTTTCGATAACGTCACAGAATTAACATTATTCATAAACTTCGATATGAAAACAGACGAATTCTATTTCTATCATATTCATTCGGTAATATTGAAAATAGACGGTCGAATAGCGTTACAGCACGAACAATCTGTTCAGCCAATAACAAAAATGATAAATTTGTTTAATTTGAAACACATCTGTATTCAACAGGGAATATGTGCAGGTGTTGTAATAGAACTTTTACGACAGTCGCCACAATTGACTTCGCTGAGTATTAGTCCGCAAATGTTGATGTTATTCATTCGAAATCGTGAATTATTTTGCAATCGTTAACAAAATTAACATCTCTACGAACCAGTCTGGATCATGCACATGTCAAAGAAATATTTCTAAAGAAAGTCAAGGAGCAGCGTCAACAGTTAAACTTATCATATAAAGTCGAATATGAAGACAACGTCAACGACGTTTTATGTTTTTGGATTGATAGAGAACCAAAATGATGTGAAATGTTGTACACATATGTAACATATCCTTCCCAGGTTGAATAAAGTCAGAAACAAGACAAATAATGATGTTATAGATGTGTAGATGAAGATGAGAAGAGTTTCATTAGTAAAAATGTGATCTATTGTGTCGAGAAGAATTCATATTTGTATTATCGAATAAATAAACGAAAAGTTTGTCAAGATGAATCTCGTTATCTCAAAAGCCAATAGCAGAAAAAGACGACAATAACGGTCAAATCGAATACGTTTAAACAAGCTAATAATCCTTCATAGTATTTTACACATTGAGTAATATGATCATCGGTTCGAAAAAAGATTTTAAACACTTGAAATTCTTGTCCAACCATCGCTGATTGTGTCGCTGGATTTGATACTCCATCTCGCGCTACGATTAATTGAAGAATCGAAAACATACAGGACAGCCCATACATCGATTGAATCCAAGTAGTGATCGAACGGGGTATTATGCCTACTGGTCCCAAACTTAGGAGCGTCAATACATGAGGTATAACATATTTAATCACTGTGTAAGCGGCGACATAAGGCCAACTAGCAGTGAACCAACTCAAGTAAGATGTTTGACCACGTGTTTTACCACACTGAGTGTTTTTATATTGAAGAAATAGATGAGCAATGGCTGATAGTGTAAAAACGAAGAAAAGTAGAAGGGTGACGCATCGTGCCATGTGTGATTTGGACATACGTATGAAAAGATTACTCTGTGCGTTTTTTCGCCAGTCGTATTGACTTTGTCAGAATGAAAGAATAAAAAAAACAATCTTCATCCTCCAGATAAAATGTTGATGCTGATGTTGTGAAAGGAACGAGAAAAAAATCGGCGAAATTTTGCCATTATAATACTCGCCGTTTGTCATTCTTCTCTCTGCAAAAAAATACAACACAAATTCAGTTTCCTCTGTGTCATACCTTGAACTATAGATGATGATGCGATCCCAACTAAAACATCATCGATTACATAAACTTTTATTCACATTGAAAATAAAGTCTTATTGGACGTTGTAAAAAATTGTATTCCTGTTATCAAATATATTACCGTTTCTGCTTTGCCAAACACACAATTTTGTGACGCGTCTGACAATTGATTTCCCCATGAATGGAACATATAACTTCGTTTTTCGTGCTGTTAGAGGTTAAATAGAAGAAGCGAATATATATTCTAATGGTTGTTTCATTCACGATCGACTCGACTACACTCAGGTGATGCAAACACGTAGATTTATTCATCTCTTGACATCGTAGTTGTTGTCGATACTCTAAAGATCATTTTAACCAACGCTGCGTAGGAAAGAAGAAATGAAGATCTCGATCAAAGAGATTTTCGACAAGAGTGAGTGTACCACGTATTGTTGCATAATTCCGAATTCATTGTGGAATATCGTTGCCCATAAAGAAATGAAAACATTATCGATCACTATCGCTCAAGCGAGTATCTAATCTCAAAATAATGCTACATAATTTATGCTGATCCATAAGTAAGAACCAATCTGAACGAACACTACGACGAGTCGTCCGTTGCTCGAGAATGTGAAAATAAATAAACAGAATCCAATGCTTGTAAACTGTCTCGCTTCTTACACTTCGTATCTGATACTACCGAACACACGTATATTAATATTCTTTGCCCGTTTTGCATGTATGCAGAAAATCTAGTTTTGAAATTCTCCGCACATCGTATTTGTTTACAACAATGCAAAAAGCAGCAGGCACAGAATTTACTTATGCTATGACGTGAGTCTTAGACGACGAGTAAAATAAAAGGTCATTGATATTCTTTATCATTTTTCACATACCTTAGACTCAATAACATAGAGGATCATTTGAAATATGGCTTCTATCTAGATTTACAAATGCGACAAACATACACAGTCAATGTTTTCAACTGTCGTATGGGGAAAAAAAGAAAATCTGCGTCTTACATTGAAGATATCGCGTGCAGTTTCTCTTTCTCCTTTTGTAACTAAAGAAAGTCTTCTTTTAAAACTCATAGTTCCCGAAAAATTGTTTAACATAAACCTAATTGTTATGTATGCTGTTGTTCATAAACAAGACAAACTTGAGAGATTGTACAAGAGTAACAACTGTTTGTTCTCGATACGTTTGAGTTGATATGAAAGAAAGACAATACTGAAATAACTGTTCTGGTTTATTTTTTCAATGTAGTCGTAATTATACAGAAGAAAAACGCATGACAACGTCTACGCTTGGTACCAAACAAACTGCAACTGATTTAAAGATGGCCCATATTTGCCAGTTGCATAGCCTAATGCAGCGCCATTGAATTCTTCAACGAACCTTTCTCCGAAAGCTTCTCCAAATATCGGACTCGACCTTCCCGATGTGGTGAAAAATTGCAGCCCAGTAATTATATTCAGATCGTTGGAAGGATCGTTAACAACCTCCGTATGTTTATTTACATAAACGTGAACTGCGATAATTCTTTCATCTTTCGTGAGCATAAAGATTTGCGACTGTTTTGAAAAATCATTGAAACCGTGAAGTGGACTCACAATCGTATGGTTCTCATTTTGTAAGGATGAATAAGAAAATCGAATGTAACTCAACACCTCGCCATGTTGTGTTCCTTGCATTCCATTAAGATAATGATAAAAGGTAAATTTATCCGTTAAGGAGTCATCAAAAGAACCGCCATGATTTCCACCAAACGTCTTGCCTAATTTTTTCGAAGTAAATTCTAGAAGAATCAATAAGTCAATACATAAAATCTTTTTTTTGAGAGTATCTCACGATTCTGATTGTAAAGAGTGTTGAGTTTTTCTTCATACAGCGAGATTTGGTTAATCTTCCAAATTAAGATACTTGTCAATGTACCGACTGCAATCAATGATGTAAACATAAATAATGACACGAAAATATATGTCCATGGAAGTGAACTTGGCCGGCAGTTTTTAGTTTTATATGATGGAGTAGCATTAACCTCTTGATCACTATTCCAACTTGCTGTTTCACAAATGAATTCTAAAATGAGAAAAGCAATTGAAAATTAATAGAAGCTTCTTTATTTCTCTTACTATTCAAAGTGATCTCATCCGTTTCTTCTATTGCGTTGTCTCTTTCTTGATCATCCAAAAGATCAGGTAAGATTTGACGTGTTTTCGGTAATAGAATTGATCCTAAACTTCGAGCTGATTGGTTTAGACCTTGCAATTGTAATTCTTGTTGATACTCTTCACAAGAAATGATAAATCTAATTGTTAATATCACGTAAATATCCTACCTCGTAGTAGATGAGCAGCATTAAAGCATTCGATTTCCTCAAATGCATCTATCAGATAAGTAAAATCTCTTTCGTTGATTTTATCTTGATCAAAGAGGCAATCAATAACAGCGAGTGTACCATGTAATGTTGCATCATCCCGAACTCGCCGAGGGACATCGTCTCCCAGAAAGAAATGAAACCGTTGTCGATCCTCACTGCTCAAACGATTGTCCAGCTTAAGAAGAACACTGCGTAATCGATAATGATCCATCTATTCGAAGTACGAATAAAAAAAAAATACAATACGCTGTTTAATGTGAGAAACGTTGAAAATTTATAGAAACATAGTAGCGCACGTTATAGCACATTCTTCCAAATAGCTTGATAAAGGGCATCGCGTGAGATTTTATCACTAATCTTTTTTGTTTATTCTGTCGTTCGAAATCGAATAACATCGTTGGAACAAGAAATATACCAACATAAGAACCCAGTATGAAAAATTTCGCTTTAGCGTGTTATAGACAAAACAACAAAAAAACATGGCTTTTCAATCTTCTTTTTTTATAATTGAAAACTATCAAATCGTGATTTGTAAAGGCGAATGATAATATTTGTTTTTCTGAAAAAGTTATTATAACTATATCGATGTTGGTCCTATGCCGGCAAGGTGAAAGAAAACGGACTATCAAGAATTATCACTTGAGCGAAGCGGTCATATAACAAGAGATACAAATATACATGAATTTATGCACGCACTTGATTTTCAAAATGAATAAACACGTTCCGATCGAGATAATTATAGGTGAAAGTGCTTTATGAAAATATTCAACCAAGTTTAAAAGAAAATCAACTGCCGAAGTTATTTCTAAAGAACATTTTTATTTAGACTATAAAAGTACATTTATAATATCAATTCGTCAGCGGAATTACAAAATGTTGAATTATCATATGATTATAGTAAGACAAGTATTTAGTGAAATGTTTAACGAAAAATATTATTATCTAGTGTCTGTTATCTATTATGTATATGATGTTTTTGTTATAAATGGTTTAGCTGCGATGATACCTATTGGAAAAGAAAAGAAAAAATGACAATTTGCAATTGGCACAGCATCCGACACCGATATTTACAAAATCAAGAAAATGTTTTATTCTGAATCGGAAAGTTTAGTTAAAGATTGTAATCAGATGCTTTTTTGCTGTTTCTGTAAATCAGATTCAATAGAATATCGAAAGATTATGCTATCCCTACTAAACTTCTGTTCTCGTGAAATGTACCGACGACGAGAGATCGAAAAACTACCTACTAGGACTTGATCGTATAACTAAAGTAAAAAATATAAAAATGAAATTTCATTTTTACATGTTCCATTATCTTGTAAAACTCTTTCGAAGACACAATAAATGCTATACAGGAAATCTATTTTCCAAGATGTTTAAAGAATACTGTGATTAAAAATGACGACGTACGGTTAGATTGATTAGTATGACCGGTCGTTTATTTGCACGATAACTCGCGAAAGGCCAATCTGTAATATCACGGAACTTATCATTCGATCAAAATCTTGGTCGAATTCAACAAAGACATATTTGGATGCATGTAGGAATAATCACTTCTTGAATACATCTATCAGAGATATTCATGGTGTTATGGCATGAACACAGCTTGCGAAAGATTTTGATTGAAAGAATTCATGAATTTTCACAAAATCTGTGTTTCGAAGGGTGCTACAGTGCAAGTTAACTTGATTGTTTACAGTCGTCAGTTTCAGCTTAAATCATCTGCAGATTTGCATGTCTAGGAGTCTCTAAACTCGATATCGTGTTGAACATTTTGGGAGCGTAAACCATCCGGATTTGAGTCGTGCTTTTCAATGACGAATTCTAATAATTTGTTGGCGACTATTTTGATTCAAAATGCTAAATTAGAGGTTCAAGAACATTTTTCCCTTTAAAAAGAAAGGGGAGAAAACAAAAAGAATGCATTTTATTATTATCAGAACAATAGTCGTTGGTAATTTCTAAATAAAGAAATGATATGAAGTAGAGATTGGAGTGAAGTTCTCAAAAACTCTCGTATAAAGAAAATAATCATTGAAAAATCAATCCATGTCAATGGTTTCTTTTTTACAACTAACATGAAAAAAAACAGTCGAAAAAAAGCTGGAGAAAATTACAAAGACGATAATTAGAATTTGTTTTCGATATTAAATGGTATTTTACAGCCTCCAATGTTTTACATCTGACCTACGTTTAGTACAGTAACTCAAAGAATGGACTTGCTAAGAACATTGTTGGTATTTTGAAGACTAGAGGTCGCATTACGGCTAGTGAAGAGAACGCGTAGGCGATAGAAGCAACATTCTTTCGAACATAATAATCCATTCTGAGTTTTATTTGCAGCATATGTTGATCATCAGTCATCTTTCCAAATGATCGTCTTACAATGTACCTCAACTCTTTCGTTTTGGATTGATGAACATTATGCAGATTTTGAAAGAGTGTTCAAATTCACCAAACGTATCTTTCTATAAAACTCTTCAGATTTATATCCAAAAGGCGAGCACGTAGTACTCACCATTGTAAAAGCTGTATCGAATCAATATTTTCCCCCAAAAGTCTCATTATTCTCTGTGTACCTTTGTTAAAACATGTTCTCGCCTAACTCTAAAACATTTCAATTTCATCTACCAGACAGGCAAATGTTTATTTATCGGAGTAGAAGACTCGTCACCTCATCGCTGTGCAAAAAAAGATTTTCTTCATATTTCTGTTGTTTGTCGTCCATTCGATTTTTTCCATATGCTCATGAAAACATTTACTGAATTAATTCTCACAACACCGATCTTTCGGCGAACAAAAGAATAGTTCTTTTATTTGAAAAAAAATGAAATTTTTATACAAGAATGTCTTACTTAATTACATAATCAGATCATGTTTAGTGTGGGTCACATAGACACTTCAACTCATCATCCAGTCGTATTTCACATCTGACAGACTTCTTTCCGTTTCGATTAGCAGATTTATACCTTTTCAAGTTTATTATAATTGACAAGAAAGATTGAAAAAGACGTAGATCTCTTATATATGTATTCAAAGTTCAATTTACAAACGACTGTTCCGTGAAATTGTGTGGACTCCGCAAAATCTCAAAACATGCATCACATTTAAAAGATATATTTTACATTTTGTAAACGAACTTTTTTCACATGTCTAGTCTAATGTTTCTTATATTCCTTATTTGCGTTATTCGGGATGACAAGACAGAGGTGTAGATATGGGTGAACACATGAGTTTACTTTAAGAATCCTTCTGACATTACACATGAGCTAATTTTAAAATAACTCAAGGAAATTTACTGTCTTTCCAGGAAAAAAGGGAAAGCTCTGTAAGGCAGTTTTACTATATTACCTGAGTGAAGAATAACGCAGAGTTGACGATTCGCGGAATAAAGGAAAGTCTGATATTGCATTCATTTCCTTTACAACTTTGGTCTGGTTAATGATGTTTGTGAGAAGAATCTTGTTCTTAGTTCTATTCGTGTTTCTCGGACAAATTCCAGTACAACAAGCACGATCAATGATCATGACTATAATGAATGGATGGCGTTTTCAATGTGCAACAACAACTTGCTTATCTTTTGTGACGGTTTCTCTGTCAAGTATTCTTCAATGTCAAACGAAATGTTTACTTGCAGTTCAATGCAATGCAATCACTTTTCAACAATCATCATCGACTTGTGAATTATTTGGTAACCTAATGGATCAAAATCATACGCTAGCAAACGATGTGAATTCGATTACTATGATAGTCAGATCGGATGCACAGATGGAATTGGGTTAGTATGAGCACAAGATACTTTATGTACAATGTTTATCTTCAATAGCACTACCTGCATAGGGTGTTAACATTGTTCTTTTCACACTCGCGTCCATTCAAATTTAAGCATAAGAGCCTATACATAGACACACATGAATAGTCAGAATTCGTAGTATTGGAGATATTTTTCACAATGTTTAAATGCTTACGTCTTTTCTTTCTCGAATTAGAATCAACTAGTACATTAGGAACTATGGCATTTGCATCAACATCAACGTCAACCACGAGCTCGACAACTTCGACCTCAACAACATCAGCGACAACAATCACGAGCTCGACCTCAACAACATCGATGACGACAACCACGAGCTCGACCTCGACAACTTTGACCTCAACAACATCAACTACAACTTCAACATCAACGTCAACGACGACAAGATTGTGTAGTATGTAATCAATTATATAACTTAAGCTCGACATCCACTCGAAAACAACTTGCCAGACAAAATCATAAGGATTTCATGAACAAAGAACATCTCATTACATAGAAATACGATTTGATTAGACATACAAAATGTCTATTCAATCAATTTCATGCCAGCACACTACTTTAATTAAAATTAGCTGTAGTCTTACAAGTTATTTCCAAAATAGAAAGAATGATACTGTGAATTCGATCCAGTCCGATTCGCTGAAATCTGTAGATAGATGAGCTCACCAAAATTTAAGGAAGCATTTCTTGACCTATCACAAACAATCATCAATGAAAATACTCCGCAGGTTTTCGCAGATAAAAATAACTTTTATTTTTTATTGTAGCTTCGATGTTCTTCAATCAAACTGTTTATACAACTGACGCTAATCCACAGTCGGTAGCAATCGGTGATCTGAATTCTGATAATAAACCTGATTTAGTTGTGGCAAATTATGACTCGAACGATATCGGTATCTTTTTCAATCAAGACAATGGAATATTCTCAAATCAAACGACTTATACAGTTGGTACTCATCCAACATCAGTGGCAGTTTCTGATATAAACTCCGATGGACGACTCGATATTGTTGTCACAAATTACAATTCACCTTACATCAGTGTTCTTCTCAACACAGGCAACGGAACATTTCTCAACCAAGCCAATTATCCAACTAACAATGGTCCACGGTCGGTCACCATAATCGATATGAATTTTGACAACAAATCTGATTTTGTTACTGCAAGTTCTGCTTCGAATACTGTCAGTGTCTTTCTCAATATAGGCAATGGTTCATTCTATCCTCGAACTGATTATACAGCTGGCAATCACCCATATTCAGGAGCGGTCGGTGATCTCAATTCTGATGGTACACTTGATATTGTGACCGCAAATAATGGCGATGCCAGCATTTCTGTTCTCCTGAATAGTGGTACCAATACATTTCCTACTGTAACTTCTTATTCTGCCAGTAGTAATCCATTTGGAATCGCAGTAAAAGATTTGAATTCGGATGGTAAACTTGATATTGTCGTTGCCAATCGAGGATCGAACAACGTGGGTGTTTTCCTCAATCAAGGCAATGGTACATTTTTCAGTCAAGTCACTTATACTACTGCACTGAGACCACAAATGGTAGCATTAACCGATGTGAATTATGATAATATACCTGACATGGTCGTCCCACATCAAGGAGTGAGCAGCGTGGGTGTTTTTTTTAATGCTGGTAATGGAACATTCCTCAATCAGATTACTTATACAACTGGCTTGAACCCATATGCATTAGCTGTGGGTGATCTAGATTCTGATAACCGACCTGATATTGTCACTGTCAATCCAGGTACAAATACTACGAGTATTCTTTTCCATTGCTGAACAATCGCTGTTCAGTCAATTACACATACATTTTATTTTTCTGCTGTTCTCTTTGCTGCATTCCGAATAAATTTTATGTTAAAGATGAAGCGTATGCTTGCCTATTTCAAGATTTTAGACAAAGCGAATGCGATATCATTTATTGTATATATCAGTGAGAAAAAGAATAAGAGTTGCGAGTAAAAGTGTTCTACATCGAAATATGATTATTTCTATGATTAATCCTGTGCCTGATGATTGCGCCTGTAATATTTGAATAGCCATATGAGTACAGACCAATATATACAAAAAAACTCGATCAATTTCAAATAAAATAATAGAGATAATGGATTTATCATCCCTTACATCGATTGGGTCCGAGCAGGAATTGTATCGGAAAGTATTCCTAGTTAGCCAAAACCTGAGAGTAAAGTATACCTAATTATATCAAAAACAGGAAGACAGGATCAATAGCCGGCGCATATATTCGTAACTACAGTCGTGTTTTTCTCAGAATCAGTGCTCTTTTTACAAGAACTTCTAATTAGAATACACATTTCATAAAAACGTGTAGAAGAATTGACGACTTTTATTTGTTTTATTTTAAAAGACACATCGATGTGTTTTATCAAACGATGATCATATCATTCAATCGACGACATAAAATGAATTACCATTGTTCGAAATACCAGAACCATTCCAACGAATTGTTCGACGACTAACAGGATGCTTCCTCCACTAAAAATATTTCATTATAGAAACTGATTTATACTTCATACAAGTGTTTAGTAAAAGAGAAAATCTGTTTTTGAAAGGCATCTGCATATTTTAATTATCAACGAATATTTACCTGATCGTAAACTTGAATTCCAGCCTGATTCTGTCCAAGATAAATAGCAGCATGACCATAATATTTACCATTCGGAAACGTGGCTATAGCTGTACCATAAGCAATGTCAGCTCCTCGAACCTATTATAAAGAACAACAATAAACAGTTTCTTACAAAAAAAATGTTCACTTACTTTTTGTCCTTTCTTCCATTCCTTTGTCTGTCTTCTATCACCCGTACATATTCTACCAAAAGTATATAAACAACGAATAATACATTTAGAAAAACCTTCTAATTACTTACTTGATAAAGCTTACACACTGGCCACATTCACCACCTATGAAAGAGGTACATAAAATATAATAATCAGAAAGCATAAACTTGCCCCAAAAGTCGCATAAAGATTGTCCTTCATATGAATCTGGATCACTACAAATGATACCTATACCACAGTATAAAAGTATAAATTAAACATAACGCACTTTGTAAATGAGTAGTCTTACCGTGGGTAGTAATGATAAATCCAAGACAAAGGAGAAAAGCAAGTGATAAAAGGTTTTTTGACAACATCTATCTGTATTTCAAATAATTGACCATAGTGCATGGAATCATTTGCCATATTTATAGTGGTGAATGTGTATGAAAGTGACGCCTTTTATCAAAAACAAAAGAGAAAAGAAGATTTACATTACTAAAATCTAATATAGTTTTATCTCATTCACTCAACTTCTCCGATTACCAATTTATGATGCTTATCTCAATTTTACTTCCCAAAAAATAATGATCATCGTTTGCGTCGAGTTACAAAACAAGATGCATAGTTCCTAAAATATGATATAATAGTTCTTTTTATTATAGTAATTCAAACTTTCATTATTTTGACGAAGAAATGTAGACATATCGGTGAAAAATATAACATTCGCTCGGCATTCATACTTCAGCACAAACAAAAGACAGCAGTTTTAATTGCAATTGGAAATATCAATTGTTATTTTAGATCATACTCATACGCTTATTCTATTCATTCGTACAGTGTTCGCTAGACTATTGACGTACACAAAATCTGAAAATATAATCAGTCATGAATCTCTATCTTTGAGATGTTATAATTGTGATATTAATAATTTTTACAAACATCTTCAGGTGAATCCATTTTTCAGTTCTTTGACGACTTCGGGTAAATGACATTTTTCAATACCGTCGTATTTTAGAAGTATAGTTATTAATTTCTTTTTTGTAAATAGCATTGGGTAGAACATATATGGGAAATGTTGCCATCAATGGAATAAATATATGTATTTCTGTCAATCGTCTTTTATACAAATTAACTTAAAAGAAAAGACGTGGTGTGTAAGATCAAGTACACTGAGACATAATGGATTATGTTTTTGATGTTATAAAGTAACTATTTTCAGCATTTAAAGTAGTCATGCTTAATTAAAATGGGAACAATCAATTTGGCGACAGTTACTGTGAGTCGATAGTATCTCAAGAAAGGATTATCCAATTTGACAGCACGCTATAACTGAGACTTACTCCGAGGATCATCAATTAATTGTCACATGACTAACTCATTAGCAGACACACAACGAACAATGGTTAGCATAGACAAGGAATAATACGTTTAGCCTATCATACACACTTGTTTCTTGCAGAAAGAGATACCGTCAAAGACGTTTACACTTTGTTCATCAGCTACACAAGTTGTCAACCAGTCATAGATAGTAGGGCAAATATGAATAAAATGGTCGAGAATGGTACAACTACAATATGCATTTCTCTGACTTCTGACAGGAGTCAATTGTGTTGCAAAGATAGAAGATAATCGACCACCTAACATCAACAATCCTGATTGATCAACAATTGGTAAATAGAACAAATAATAACTACAATTAAATTCTCGGAAGTAGTGTCGCTTGTGCATATAAAATTTGCAAAAAAAAGAACATAATCAACCTCTTGTCGTTCTATGACTCTGCTTTTATTTTGATAAAATACGAAGAAAGTTAGTTTTGAGTCAATGTAAGTTATTCCAGAATATTTATTGGCATCGAGGTTGTATATTTTCCGCGTATGACGAAGATATATCACTTTCCCAAGCACACACTGTGACAATGAACATGGTTTCTTTGTCATCGGTAAATGCTCGACCAACAGCCATCTTAGTCGACGATTTCCGGAAAATGACTTGTGTATAGAAGATCAGGATGCGTAGCAATACAAAATCTTCCTTTGCCATAAAGCGCATCAACCGGAACATCACCAATAAAGGTCGAAGCAGCAATTTCAGTGTGAAGAAATTTGACAGTCACAAGTTTTCTTACCATCGAGATTTTGATCGCTTTTTTTTGAAATATACAGTCCGCATTGGACTAAGATCATAATCAGGTGGAGTTCATCATCAGCTGTCAATTGTTGAGCTTGGTCGTTCAGACTTTGATCTAATTCCGATTCCTGTACGCAATGCTCACTTCGTTTCAAATTATGACGATCTACAGATTCTTTTCGAAAATTCGCCAAGAGATCAGGTTGAACAGTGCGTTGTTGTTGTACCGTGAACCGCCGAAAATCTATATTCATCTTTTAAATGAACTTACCGATACAGGTACCAGCGACACTTTGATCATCCTCTAAAAGTCCTTCACTACTTCTATAGAGATAACAACGTTTCTTGTCATTTATGTAACTCCATAGAAAACACAACCTCGTTTGATCGCATTTAGTCATACATTTTTCTTTAATGACAATAGTTGAATACGTTACCGCTATATCTGCCTTTCATTTTGGTGCATGAAAATAGCAATTTCAAAGAGTAGAACGTTCGAAATCTTGCCTAATACTTACCAATAAAAGCTCCAGTCTCAAAGTATTTTGTGTCTTGAACACTGATAATTCCAGTGAAATCTATGCAAGTGTGTTTTGCTGAATCATATGACCATCCCGTGTATTCGATTTTCGTTTTACATACATCTATAGAAATTTGAACGCTAACAATGTTTGGAGTGTTCATAATTTTGTTTCCTGCCCATTGGTAATCCTCCAAAACATCTTCTGTGCAATCGTCTATGGCGACAACTCCTAAGCATCAATCAATCAACGTATTTATATAGAATCCTTGAACAACTCACTTTTATATGGAGCAATATGTCGTTATTGCCTCTTATCTCCATTCGACGAAGTTGTTGACGAAAATGATTTACGACTGAGAAGTCGCAATCCATGAGAAAAAGAATGGATCATAAAAATCCGCATGGGAATGATTCGCACCAGTCGTATCATTGTAGAAGGTAATACATATCAAGAGAAGTAAACTGACCTTTCAAATATTTCGATGATAAGTACCCGAAAGCAGAATGAGTCGGACAATTTTGAAAAGACGACTCCAGTTATACCTGTATATATGTCGCATGTAAATCGATCAAGTTTGACGAAGATTGAAAGAGTATAAAAAACAATGTCGTCGTAATTTCTCTCTTCTTCTTACGACCAGAAGACAGATGCATAGATCAAAAAGATAGAAAAAACGAGCAAGTCTCATGATCCTATACTAATCGCCAGACTGATCAATTAACGGAGACAAGCAGAATCGTATTTTTAGGTTGATCAAATCAATATTTTTCAATATTGTCTTGTCAGCATTATTACGAAGATTTTCGAGGTATAAACTAAATGAGATTGCTCACACTTGGATTCGTAGAGTGGTTTTATCGAATAAGTATTGAGTCTTGCAAAGGAAAGTATCTTGCACGATCACACGTTTTGTCTTTATGGTCACTGCTTCAAAAAACCAAAAAGAGTGGCGATACAAAATGAGTACATCTTCCGGCGCAGTTTCAAATGACATTCACAAGCTTAAGAAAATCTATGGATACTGAAAATGTAAACATTTTCTTTTGTCGCAAAGTTATCTTCACGTATTTTATCGAATCGAAAGAAGGCATGAAGTGTGTTAATCAACAAGCACATTCGAAGCGTTTTATCACGACTGATTCTGTTTTGAACGAAAATCTGAAGATATTTATAACCAAAACTCGACGCTAAGCAGAATTTTACGATTTACAGAACGAGTGAATTCTTAAGAAGTGTTTTATAACAGAATTTTACTACATCGACGAGAAAATCTTGTTTTTTTCTTTAAAAAAAAACTAGAATAGAATTGCTCAACACGTGAACAACGACTCATTTTCTTTCCTTTTCTCTCTTTACCAATATGACACATTAGCAACCGTTTCAAAGTAACAAACGTTGTCATACTTCCGCTTTCCCATGAAATGTCTGCTGAAAAAGAAGAATCACCACAATCCTGGGATGACCTAATCAAAACGTATCTTAGCCGACAAAGATATCAATCACGTACATGTAAAATCTACAACATTCAGCTACAAAACTCTTCCAACAGTCAAAATACGACGTGTGTATGTGGTCGACTAGCTCAACGTCATAGTTTCTCTGGTGAAAGTCATCAATCGATAGCTGTTCGAGAAGGTAATCGACAATGGCAACCACCGAATAAGTTCCGTGACTTAGTGGATGGTGTCAAAGTGCCAATAAATGTTTTCGGGCGATTGAAATCTACGAATTGTAAATTCGTACGAATCAACATTCAAACAGAACTGAAGGATATCTATGATTTGCTTGTCGTTGATTGCAAAGAATGTAAACCAAAACTTGTATTAAGTGTGTTTGGTGGTGCAAAGTATTTTACAATGACCGAACGATTAGAAAAGGAAATCATTCGAGGTATAGTCGATGCTGCCAGTGCGACAGGTAGATAAAGACAAAATTCATGGAAAACTTTGTTTGTTCGGAGAATTCATTTAGATACATGGATTTTAACTGCAGGAATCAGTAATGGCGTGTCAAAATTAGTAGGTGAAGGTATTTCACATTATCGTTTATTGAGAGAGTATCCAAATCGAGTCAAATGTATTGGAATGACAATGTGGGGAACAGTCAATGAAAGTACAAGATTTGAATTAAAACACTCGACCAATGTAATTTGATTGTTTAACGAAAAAAAAACCTGTCCCATTATTCTTTGAATCTTTTCAGAACTATCCAAAAGAAGCACTTTATCGACAGATATCTGATACTATTCAAGAAGATAAAGAAACAATCGAATCAAATCATACACACTGTATTCTCTTCGACGATGGACGATTGAATGGTTATCTTGCTGATCGTGAGCGTAACGAATTAGTTACACACGCAAGCAGTCAAACAAATCATACATGTAAGGAGCAAATCTGTAGGAATTTCATCTGTTATAATTCGAGTTTATTCAAAGGTTATGGCGTGACAATCATTGTCGAAGGAGGTCTTAACACACTCGATGTGATTGAAAATGATATTAAAAATCATCGACCTATCGTTTTGATTGAAGTTTGTGGTTTATTTTGAAAAAAAAAAGTCATATCCAACTTCACTGTAGGGTAGTGGACGTTTAGCCGATGTTCTTGCAACGTTAATCGAGCAATGTTCCAGTTTCGAAGACAATGACCAATGGTAAATTGAATACGTGCAACAAATCATTAGTCTAGATTTGTCTTCTTCCAATAGGACTTTGACTGATGATGATATCCGGAAGGTTATCGAATATTTTCTTCCAAATCCGCATACGATCGATATGCCACTCGCTATTCATCGAATAAAACGGATTTTACAAAAGAAAAATCGTTATCTACTGCATGTTTTCTCATTGAATCGAGATAATAATGTCGCTGAAACGATATTCCGGGCAATTTTCGGTGAAACGACGAGGAGTATTTTGAATCCGTCATTTGATGAAATTGTTTTTTTAGTTCAAATTGAGACGACGGAAACTGACACTATGAGCGATCCGTTGACTCAAGCGCAAAGACGTCGGAATGATGAAGATCGACTAATTGATCTTGCCGTGGAATGGAATTACTTCGATGGTGTTTTACCAATATTAAAATCACGTGCAGATGAGAAATTTCATCAAGATCACACTTCTCCGGATGTAATACTGAATGAATGAACAGGACTTTTTCGGATTCGCTGTTCTTTGTAGATATATTTAAAACGCGAAAGAGAACTATTTCAACGATCGATAGAAAAAGATCGTCCATTATTTGTGGAATACTTTCTAGCTGCTATGTTTGATCCGATAATTCTGATTGGATCCGAAAACACATCTGAACGTCATCGAATTCTCTCCAATCTATATCGAGTTTGCCATGACCAAATGGAAAGAGTGAGCCTTTCCCAACTTTCTTCTTTTCTATTCGATTTTTTTCATGTTAAGAATCAGAGACGATATATCTCAACTTTATTCGGCGACATTACCACGAACACCGTCGAGCAACTCGACAGACGGCTAACGAAGTTCATTGGTTCTTTCATTGAACCAATTTACACTGGTGAAAGAGACACGATCCGACAGCGTGTCTGTATCGATATCAAGGAACTTCTATGTCGTTTTTGTAATGTTACTCAAACGAGAGATCATCAAGAATACCAAAATCGATACACTAAAGACCAATCGTTACGCGATCTATTCTTCTTGGCAGTTTTTATGGACATGACCGAAATGGCAAAAACTCTCTTGATTCATCTACCCTCACGTATCTGTGGAGCACTGATTGCTTCAGCTATATTCAAACGTTATGCGAAGTTATCATCGACTGTTTATCTGAAAAATAAATTCGAAGATCAAGCGTTAGAATTTGAAACTTACGCAGCATTTTGTACCGATAAATGTTATGAATATGATGAACGAATTGCGTGTGAGTTGCTTCTACGGCAAATACCGCTTTTTGGTAATGTAACATGCATGCAGGTAAAAATGCATTTTCAACTGATTTTGTGAAATGTTGACGATACTGTAGGTGGCGATTTCGAGTCAAAGTGGAAAATTACTTAATACAGCATGTTTTGATCAAGCGTTGAATCAAGTTTGGTATGGCAAGTTGTCTATTACTAATTACCGTACGTCGAAGAAGCTGGTACAACTGATAGCTTTTGTATCTTTGGGCTTCTTAGCACCATTTTTGATAGCTTATCGAGCGCATGAATCGGTAAGAGCATTTTTCTCCGAAAATCATTACTTCTTACACTTTTATCGTTGTAGGAAGTCAACGATGAGTCGTAAGTAAAGAAAGTTCATATGAATACAATCGACTTTGTGAATATGTGCATCTAGTCTATCATCGGTTGGGATTAATTATTACAGCGAGAGAGACGTTTGGACAGGAAAAGCATGGAAAAAGTACTGGTTACGTTTCAAATATTTTCATCAATGTCCTATGGCGAAAATGGTTTATCATTTTGTAAGTTATCGTTTCATATCGCTAATCTTCTGTATTGTTCATTTAGGCAAGTTACATCTTTTTCCTACTGGTGTTCAGCTACATGATGCTTTATCGTTTGGATCCTCCGGGAACGTTTGCTATTCCCCATTGGACTGAAATCTATGTTATTATCACCGTTTCAACGATGTTCTGTGATGAAGTTCGAAAAGTAATGATAACTGATGTGGTGATACGAGTATTTCTTAGTTTAATTTCGATTGAAGTTATATCATGAATACAAAACACGAATGACTGAACAATGGGGTTCGACAGGATCGGCTTTGTTGACACTCTTATCCATCGGGTTTTACATTGTTCCGTATTTTTTGTTTTATTTCGGTTTAATATTTCGCTATCGGGGTTATGATGAGGGTTTGATTACTACAGCAAGGTAAATCACTTCATTTCCTTATTTTCCTTTCTTTGATTGTCGAAATTTCAGAATTATTTGGGCATTTGATTTGGAATTATGGTATCTTCGATCTTTAAAGTTCACCATAGCTTTAAAATCAATCGGACCGAAATTATTCATGTTAAAAAACATGGTTTGTATCTTCTCTATCTACTCTACTAACTAATCAATCTCTCTCACTCCAGCTTCAAGATCTATTCGCATTTGTTTACATGATTTTCATTGCCATCGCTGCCTATGGTGTTGTATCACGTGCATTGATACTTTACAAACAAGTACCTTTTACAATTCATGCTATTTTTAAAGAAATTTTCTATGAACCATATTGGTTCATCTACGGAGAAGTGTCAGATAAAGATTTACTTGATAGTACGATGATAACTTCTCTCATCTCTGTAGGATTTCATGTTGACTACTTGTTTAGATATAATTCAAACCGATTCTGATTCGGCTGCAGCTGAAGCAACTGCTACACACGTGATATTGGCATTTCATATGTTGTTTATAAATATCCTCATATTGAATTTACTCATTGCTGTTTTTTCGTAAGGCGATTTTGCTTTTTTTAACGAGATAATCGATCATTCTATGTTTATTCCAGTCGTTCCATTGATAAAGTTCAAGACAACACCGAATTCTATTGGCGCTATCAACGTTACACATTTGTTCGTGAATATTTCGAACGCCCTCCACTCGCTTATCCACCACTCATCTTCTTCACACATGTTATACTCCTTTGTCGTGCGGTTCGTCGTCAACTTTGTTCAAAATTGTGCCGGAATCGAGTTGGAGACGAAAATGTCGAGTCGACATCAAGTATTCTAACATCGATATTTAGTATGAATAGTTCGACATTAAAAAACATTGAGTTTTCTCTTTTTGTAACCTTTAGAAATGGTCCCTGTTGAGAGATTTCATTTGAACGAAAAATGGAATGTCTTCGAAAATGCCGCTACGCACAGTTACGCTCGTTCAATTTTAGAAAGAAATAAAAAGAAACGAAGTTTGACAATCGATGATAGTCAATCGAAAAGAAAGACAACGACGGAATCAAATACGAATAAACAAGCAATCCCTGATGAACGACAATCAATACCGACTTGGCAGGAAGAAGTCACGACGTTAAAATCAATACTTTCCAATACGCAAAAGAATCTCGATGAGGTATGAAATGCTTTTCGTTCGTTTTTCATCCATCAATCTTTGTTTAGAACAATGCACGAATGGAGAAATATGTCTACGATGTAAGTGTTAAGGATGCTTTGAAAGGAGAGGGGTAGGATGTAATATTTTTAGATAAATAAATCACTTGATTGGATTATGCAAGCTATTGCACGAGTGAAAATGAACGATCCGACAAAACCACCAGTGACAATGAATCTTGACGCACCCGTTATTCAACGACGTTTATCAATAACTGCTCCAAATGCAATAAATCCTGACTAGCAGAGTGTTTTCTTTAAAATTTTTGATAAATAATCAGGAAAATAAGGATTGTGTTGATGACAATAAACTGGTGACCTCTGCCCATCTATTTCGATGCTATAGATTTCCTTCGTCTTAACTATTCGATAGTACACTCTGTCAATCAAAGTTTTAAAGGATCGTTTGTTGATTTTTTACATAATTAAAATCATTGGTAGTTGAGATTTCCTCTTCAGATGAGAAGACATATCGGATTACGCACTTTTAATAACAGGTTACTCAAGTTCGATGACGAGTATAACACTAAGGCACTTAAATGATGATTCTTCATGGTTGATTATCTTTGACAATTTCACAATTTTACTCGATCCATGGTTCTTCGGTTCTCAAACAGACTATTGTACATGTTTTTCCTCTCAAGAGCATGCAAGTCCATCATCTATTCAGGACATTCAACGTGATCTTGCCATGAACATAGACGCAATTGTCATCTCTCATGAGTTTACCGATCACTGTCATGAACAAACTCTTCGTTCCCTCTCGCCAACCATTCCTATCTTTGCCACGACTAACGCTGCGAAACGTATTCGACGATGGAATCATTTCGAACATGTCTATACAATTCCGATCTTAGATGGTCAACTGGTGAACTTAACACTTCACAATCTAACAAATCAGCGAACACAATCAAATATGCCCAAGACAATCAGCGTTGGATATATACCAGAGAGAAAATTGTTTTCCTTACCATCATTGCACGGCGCAACGTGTTTGTCATTTCTTGTCAATGATCAACAATGGCATAGTATTTTGTATATCCCACATGGATGCGAGCAAAGTTCGATACGTGAATGGCTAAGTCAGCAATCAAATGTGAAGATCTGCGTGCTTTTGCAAGGATTTGATCGAGTTTTTAATCCGATATGGCTTGGAGGTTTACTTAATTATGGATGCCGGCAAGCAGCGGAATTAGCGGTTGCTATTGGAGCAAAGTATTGGATAAATACGCATGATGAAAATAAAATTGCGCGCGGTTTCGTTTCAAAATTTCTCAAGCGAAACAATCACACAATCGAGAATGCAAAAATTGAACTCGAAAAATATCAAAATCAAACAGAACGGACGAAACTTCATAGTATCGCCAATGGAAATTCTTTTGTCATAGACTTAACCGAATAAAGTTCATGCCGAGCAACAACTTCTGTTGTGATATCGTTTGTACTTTAGTCAAATCTGCCGAACAAAGATCTTAAATTTATTCTTATAATCCTAAAACCTATCAATTATATCGTTTCAAATAATCTTACATAAAAACGATTCTAACTCTCTTTGTTGAGTTGTTGTTAATTCGTTTTTATTGAGTAGAATTATTATGCATATGAGCAATAATCCATTCGGACAATGCCTCCGGGTTTCGAGTCTAAAAATGTCAAAGAAATAGAAAATCCAATCGTCAGTTTGTTCCCTTACTTGAATATAAACTATTCCCGGTCCAGTAAATCGACAGACAAGACCTTCACCCGAGTGCATGCCTGCAGAGACACTTCCACCAGCTCGTTCAATCGCATACGGACAACTCCACGCAACTAAATGGCCGTTATCAACAATCAATTGCTCGTTTGCTTTCAATTGACGCGTAATAATTGCACCGAGCGCTGTGACGAACAGTACGCCTCGACCGGTGAATTGTTGAACAAATAAGCCTTCGCCCGAAAACAAAGCTTTACTTAAACCTTGAGACTTCGTTTCTTTTGTGATTCCATCAGACATCGCTAAGAATCCTCCTCGACCCACAGTCCAACGGGTATTTCCATCTAAAGATATTGGCATAATATCACCCCTGTTTGATAAAGACCATGAATGTGAACTGTATATGTTAACAAACATATGCTTACCAGATTGGTGGTGCAAGAAGAATTTCTCCAGGACCGGTGTAAGTTGTTTGAGACATTTCTCCGCCTGTGATCATTTTCTTGAATGAGAACTTCAATTTACCTTTCAATTTCACATTCGGATCCATAGTCATCATTGCACCAGGTTGAGTAAATATTTGTCCATTTGGTAAAAGAGTCACTGAGAGCACTGTATTCGTATCTCGCTGGTCAATTTTGAAAAAGCCTCCCGGAAAATCGCCCGTTACGTCGTTTGCACCACCGCGTGAAACTGGTTGAGGAAAAGCAGCAGACGCCATTTTGTTATCGTATTTTTCGCAATATGATCGACAAAATATCGATACACGTGTTTATAAATCCGAACTCAAGGTAACTCGACAGGTAGACAACAAAAGAAGCAATATATCTTTCTGTACAAAAGAAAATATCTTATAATCTTTTCTAAATAAATCTATTGTCAATGCAACATATTATCGTTGACTGAGAAAAAAACGAATCTCATCGTTGTCTAGCTGCTAATAGTTGAGTAATTCGACATGAAATTATGTACTCGTCATACTTGTAACGTAACTTTTATGACAGTTTTACAAATCAAATGAAAACTTTTGAACTCACTTTCTAGAAATGCATTAGCAGAAAAACTAAACCATTCATTTGCACTGTTTCAAATCAGTATACAGATTTCATCATGACAGTCTCTCCAACATTCTCTTGCGCTCATTGTTCGTTACATTTTGATCTACGGATGTTTCTTGCTGATTCTTATTAGTATGTTCAATTCAGAAATGGTCATTTTGATCTTCACTCGCCAGCCATTATCTCGAAATCTATTCTTAACTGACATCATCACCAATGACATTCTCATATTTCTGTTCCTTCCGTTGTGGTTACTATTTACGTACTAAATATTATGACCTTTTTTTATTTCATTTAACTGCTATACAAGCTCGTCGCGAGCGACAATCCTGTTCGATAAATAGATCACCCGACTGTAGCTGTGTATCAAATGGTCGCCAACGCAGTCGCATCGTTCCCATTTGCTGGCATCAATCTTTATCGTGTGGGGTAACAACGTAGGCTCTCCGGACAACGGATCAAGAAAATGTAATTCAATCCTTCCGCTTATTCGTCATTTGAGTATTTTACGTTCAATATGATACCGATCTTTATATCTATATGGTCACATCTAATGAAGTTTTTATGTTTCTGTCGTGAAAAATGGAACGAGTCTGTGACTATTATATCCACCAACACATGAAACATGAACAAGACATCTTTCCTCATGTAAGAATTGACATATTCAAAACATCTCTACGAACTCACTCAGATGTCAATAAGTCTGTATGTGATGTTGTGTAATATTTATCTAAATATAGTTCTCGTAGAAATAGTTAATTCAATCAGATTTTGGAAAACAGAGCAACAGTATTTGATTCTGATAAATAAAGTTTCAAAGGGATTACAATCTACAAAACGTATAAGATCCCTATATGTTTACGAATCCTGTTCGAAGAAAGTTATTTCGTATTTTTCATTTTCGTACACAACAGCACTACTGGAGAGCTTCGTTAAGTTATTTTTGAAAACGTCGTACGAATTTGGAAAAGTTCCTCATGTAGATGAAGTCTCACTTTGTCTTCCCTAGAAATAATCGAGGCACAAAGAAAGAAATAGTACTGTTATATTCTTCTAACAGATTATGTCAATCAACTGTCGACATAGACTTTAACTGAACAAGTAGTCTGCTTAACTAAAAGGAATGTTATTGAATAGGTAATCGGGAACTTTATAAAGAGGCTATTGAGTACGATCAAGCTCAAGAATTAACACACTTTAACTACATGCATCATCGCTCGAATCTTTAAACGATACTATGAATAAGAAATCTTTTTTTAATCGTTAAGTGCGCACCTTGACCTCAATTTCTGTCGCGATTGAGCATTAGCTTTAAGTTCACACACGCGCATCGACTGATAATCGTTCAGTAATGAATGATTTCGTGACAGCAAGATGACAAATAGATATTCCTCTTCAAAAATTTGAATTTTATTATACTTAACGATCCATCTCATGCGGACCCTAGTTATTTCTTGCATCGTATCAAACGAATCGTTTCCAATCTACGATTCGGTAAATCAGAAAGGTTCAATCGAGTACAAAATCAATAATAAGACTAAAATCATGACGTTTACCTTTCCTACAGTCTGGATAGGACTTTCTTATTATCTTCGGATAATAACAACATCAGCGACACTAGTAGCGTCAAACAGAGTTGCCGACATGCGTTACATTAGATTTAAAAGCTCAACACCGGATAAAGCTAAAGTCGACTTTTTTTACAAAGTCATAAATAGAGAAAACAGAACTAAAGAAAAAGATTGTGTATGAGTGTTCTATTTTAATCATTCATTTCAATTAATAAACAATATAGTCACATAAGTAAACGACATATACTTTCATACAACACAATGCCGTTCTCAACATCGGCTTTACTTTACATTTCTCGCCAGATTTTGATCTATGGAGGCTTATTTCTCATCTTCATCGGAATGTTTGGTTCGTTAATGCTGATTTTCATCTTTAGTCAACGCCCATTAAGTCGAAATCCGTGTTCAATATATATCGTCACCAATGCCATTCTCGCATTTCTGTTCCTTCCTCTCTTTTTCCTGCCAAACATCGTCACCTTCGGTTTTCAAATCAATTGGCTTGCAATCAACACTCCGTTCTGCAAGTTTCAAATGAGTTATGGCATATTCACCGTCACAGCCGTGTTCATCATCAACTGTTTGATCTCATTTGATCGCTATGCCATCTCATCACGATCCGCAAGGATCCGATCAATCAGTACGAAGAAGACATCCATATGTCTTGTGATCGCTGGTGTGACGTGTGCCTTTTGTCTGATTGCTTTGCCGGCGGCAATTCTTTTCGAAAACGTACCCATAGGTCCAAACCTACCGGCGGTTTGCACATCGAAATCAACGATGTTCCTGTTAGTTGCCGCCTTTGTTTATTATCCAGTGCTTGAAGGCGTTCTACCGATCGTTTTGGCGGTTTATTTTTGGTTTATCACTCGACGACACGTTCGAAACTTGCAAAATCTTGAATTCGCAACACGATTCGATAAACAGATCACTCGAATGCTTCTGTATCAAATCATTGTCAGCGCCATCGCGTCGTTTCCATTCGCCGCTATCAATCTTTATCGATCCCTAACAGTTCAAGTCGTTCGCACAGCAGATCAAGAGAATATTGTTCAATTCATTCGAGTCATGTCCATATGGTTATTCTATATTCAATACTGCACTGACTTTTACATTTATATGAAGACGTCGAGTGAAGTTCGTGTACAGTTTTGGAAAATCATGTGTCTATGGTGCAGATATCGAAACAATCGCGTCGTTCCGATCGCAACTCGTACGATCACAACGCGAAAAACTTTTCAAAACAATAACACGAACAGACCCACACCACTCAAATATTAATCTGTCTACAAGTTCTTGTCTCGTCCAGACGCAAAACCCGGACGCCCTTTAACCGTTGAATTAACTCACACACTTTCACGTAATCGTTTTACTGACAACGACAGAAGTAAAACACGCGAGTAATGACATGCAATTTTTTGTTCGTGGGGTATGGGTGATTAAACCGAAAGAAAAATTAAAAAGTTCAATTCACGAAAGGAATTTTCGGGACATTTACAGATGTCGCCAGTGATTAGTAGGACACTCTAATAGAAAAATGTGATATCGGAATGATTTTATCGAAACTTAACAAGAGGAAACCATTGAAGGGGAACAATAGACGACGATGTCGATGATTTTCATAAGAATCTTAATTTCTTTACATTATTGAGCTTTGCAGCTGCAGCGAGAATTCTCACTTATCATCTTATTCTTACGAAAGGGAAGTCAAAAGAACAGTAATGACTTTTTGTCGTCAAATATAGGTAGTCCAGATTTCTGTCAGACATTCGTTCGAATAGAAAACCTCTATTTATATCGTCGCATCACAAAGAAAATACCTATCTGACATAATGACCTCTTTTTCTCTATCATATTCTTTCATAGGTGAAACAAAGTGAACCAATAAGAAAATATCAAGTTTAAGCTGAGGTAAATATAAAAGCTCCCTATATCGATATAAACACACACACACACTTGATCTTTGGTATATTTCTTATCTTGCATACCACTTTTTCAAAGATGTATTCACGGCCAGCAGCTCGTTTGATTAGCACATTTGCTCGTCGAACATTAACAACGCAAGCACGCAATAATGGTCGACAACAATATCAATGGTCACGTGCACGTTGGAACTATGCTCGTACAGCCACAACCGGTTTCGCTGCTGTGACACTTTCCGGTGGTATTGCTTTTGTTTTACACGCATCAACAGCTCCCGGTGATAACAAAAGAGCAACACCATCGAAAGTTGACTATGACCAAGTACGAAAATCCATTAGTGCCCTATTAGATGATAACAACTATGATGATGGAAGCTATGGACCATTATTTGTGCGATTGGGTTGGCATGCTAGTGGTACATATTCACATATCGACTCAACTGGTGGTTCAAATGGTGGCTGCATGCGATTTGAACCGGAAAGTGGTTGGGGTGCAAATAAAGGTTAGTAATTTTCATATAAAGTAGATCATCGCACTTTTGTTTGTATTTTAGGATTAAATTTGGCACGTGAACGTTTAGAAAGTGTTTATCGTGCTCATCCCGGTTTAACTTATGCTGATTTGTATACATTAGCTGCTGTTGTTGCCATTGAAGAGATGGGTGGCCCAACAATCAAATGGCGTCCAGGTCGAGATGATCACAAAGATGGGAAAAAATCGCCAGCTGATGGACGTTTACCTGATGCTGCTCAAGGTGCACAACATATTCGAGATATTTTCTACCGTATGGGTTTCAACGATCAAGAAATAGTCGCATTAATCGGTGCACATTCACTTGGACGTTGTCATCCAGATCGAAGCGGTTACGAAGGACCTTGGACAAATGCTCCAACGACATTCTCCAACGAATTCTTTCGTCTTTTGTTAGAAGAAAAATGGCAATTGCGTCGATGGAAAGGTCCCAAACAATATGAAGATGTAAAAACCAAGACCCTGATGATGTTACCAGCTGACATGGCATTGATTGAAGATCCTGAATTTCGTAAATATGTTGTTCAATATGCTACAGATGGTGACAAATTTGCCAAGGATTTTGCTGCTGCTTTCGAAAAATTATTAGAATTAGGTGTGGAATTCAAAACCACAGATGGCAGCCGCCATGGCAAAAACGAATCATTTTGGAAACGAATTTTTGGTTAAAAGGACATTTTCATTGATTGTGAGGCTTTTTTTTGGTGATCGGGCTCTTTTTTTTTTAAAAACTTTTATCTAAAGTGTTCGTATTTGATGATTGTAGTTAGACAAAACAAACAACCATAGGTAACGAAGTTCATCTTAACAAAATAAACATTCGATGTCAGTCTTTTCTAACATAAGTATTGCAAGAATCGATCAAGTTTTAATTGATATCATTCTGAGAAGGAATTCGGTAGGAAGATTTTAAATATTTGTTTGTTAAATATGTAATTTCTTGATTTGTCAATACGGCAGATGTGTTTCGTAAGTAAAGATCAATAAAAAAATTAAAACCTATTTGCTTTTTATATAAATGTTACTCTAAGTTACTCATTTCATTATTTTATAAATTCAGGACAAAACGAAGGTTACTTTCAAATTTGCGTTACATCACTTCCGACATACATTGTTCATTTGATCGTTCAGAATCTAAATAAATATGTTGATTTTTGCGATTTTCATTGCATTTCTTCTCATCACAAATAAGATCAACGCAGCGGACGATGAAGGAAAAGGTAGAAATATGTTCTCATTGTATAAGACAATAATTCGTTAAAATATTCTTCAGGAGCATCGGCTAGTTCGACAGATGTTAGTGTCGGATGTTTTTCAGGCGACTCATCTGTTTTACTTGTGAATGGTGAACAAAAATCAATCGGATATCTTCGAACAGGTGATCAATTACTTACAGTTGATCATTTCAATATCAGTTCCAGCGAAATGTTTCTCATGTTAGATAAAGAAACATCAAAGATCGGTAGGATCGAAAGATTTATCATTCTCTAGTGTTATTCCATCGCTTTAGTAATGTTCTATACATTTACAACTGCTTCAAATCATCAAATTAGTTTAACAGGTCTTCATTTAATGCCAATTGCGTCTTCTAATGAGAAACTCATGTACATTGCCGCTCGTAATATTCAATTAGGTGATCAATTTTACGTGTCAATCAACAATCGACTCGAAACATCGCCAGTTGTAAATATTACAAAGGAACTTAAACAAGGATACTTTGCTCCATTAACAATGACCGGTAAACTCGAATTAGGTTCGATTTCTCTCGTTTAGTTTTCTCTTCAAGGAACCATATTGGTCAATAATATCTATGCAAGTTGCTTCGCGTCTGTAACAAATCATGAATTAGCTCAGATGTTTATGGCACCATTTCGTTGGTATTATCAATTGATGAGATACACGACTGTAACTGATCCATTCGATAATAACCATTCCGATGGAATTCATTGGTTCGTTAAACTTATTTATGAGTTTATGAGTTTTCTTCGACCATCAGGTTTGCAAGTTTCATAAACAGTTTCATTTATTTTTTATTATCATATCCACATGTGTTTTGATTCGTATATTGTAATTCACGCTTCTCTCTGCTTTTTCAATAAAAACAAATCTGTCGACTTGAGAATACTCATTCGATTCTTGGTTTTGTAACTTAAGCATCGAAATGGGTATTCGTCAACATATGACTGAAGTTCTCAAGATTATCTTGATACTTTCCTGAATATCGACGTAAAAACGATGCCGAATAAACTTTGGATATGTTTGAAAGTATTCATCTTTCGATGGACAAATGTTCTGATAAAGAAGTGTAGTGTCAAAAGTTACGTTGCGTTTTTTGTGCCTCGTTATCTGACTTACAGTACGAAAAAAGCACTTTTATTAATCATTATTTCTTGGTGAAGGTTAAAGAGCAGACAAAGTTATGGTCTCCAAACTCAGTAGTTCGTCCGATCCGATCGATCGGTATATTTTTGAACATTCTATTCGTTTAACTGATGAACAAAATGAGATCATTCAGTACACATCAACTCTTCCAGGTTTGGTACCCATCGTTCTAAAAAGAACTGTTTCTCTTTTTTCTTGATATAGGTCGGTTACCACACATGCTCGGCTCCGTCGACGAAGCGCAGTTTTTTCAACTTATTATTCAATCTATGGAATGCAAACGATGCAGTAAGATTGTCTTTTATCCTCCTTGTAAACCTGACCTTTCCGATTGTAGTTGAAATTGGAACATTTACTGGTTATACCGCATTGGCTATCGCATCGGTTCTTCCATCTGATGGTCATCTATTCACGTGTGATATAGATGATCAATATATTCGAAAAGATATCTGGAAGAAGACTGGTGTAGACGAGAAAATCACTGTAAAACTTGGACCAGCGGTTGATTCACTGAAAACCTTATTGGAAGAAAATGGTCCGGGATCATTTGATTTCATCTTTATCGATGCTGACAAAGTGAATTACTTGGAATATTATCAGTTAGCTGTAGAATTAGTTCGTGTGAATGGTTTGATTGCAATTGACAATACACTTTGGGGTGGAAAAGTCATCGATGAAACAAATACCAGTAAAGAAACAGAAGCCATTCGAAAAATCAATAACTTTGTACGAGATGATCCACGAGTCGACATTAGCTTTCTTCGCCTTGGCGACGGGACAACACTATGTCGAAAAAAATAAAAGAATCGATTTCAAATCGATGACAGGAGCATTCCTTCGTGTTTTTCTATTTTCATTGTCTTAATGGTAACGTTTGTTTTCAAATAGCACATTTCAGACTAAAGAGCGAAGAACAGTAAACTGACGCGGTTACCAAAATGTATTTGCCACTGAAAATAATTTTGAGGGTGCGGATGGACATAAACTACGTTGTATTATTTTTGCCTAAAAGCAACTTTTCATCTTAGTAATCCCTCCAACTAATTTCACACTTCGTGCGTTTTGTTGCTACGACAAGACAGAAAAAGTGTGTAGGACATTTCGACAGCGTCAATGAATCATCAGATTCCATCACGACAGATACAGTTGAAACAAAACATGGCTTTGCTAGCGTTTCTCTTTTAGTTGCAGACTCAGTCACATCCTGCGAAAAACATAACATCATCACGACAAGTACACGTCAATATGAATCAAGTTCGCCGGTTATATTACCTGGCGCCATTTCTGCTCCCGGATTCAATACTTCAGCTGGTACTATCGATGACGACAGTATTGTTATCACTCTTCACGTGAATATCAGTTTGTGGAAATATACAACTAATACTGTTGTTGTCAGAACGAATGAAGTGCGTTGTTCTTTCAATATCAAGTAAATATTTATCGAAATTTAGGTTATTCGTTTGAGTACTTGTTCGACTATTTAGACGAATACGAATTTAGCAAGCAGTACTTTTGGTGGACCAGTGGTTTTCGGATATTGGTATGACCTTGTTATTGCCATTTGAGTGTACCAACGCAATATTACCGTTTCCAAATCATTTCCTACAAAAATTAATCAAATGTCGTCAATTTTTCCTATTTCAATGCGTTTAGCGAAAGCACATCTGCAACGATCGATGTCCAAGGTACGTAGCTCAACATTTACTGATGATTCATCTAATAATGTTTTTCTCTTAATAAAAATAGCATCGTCTTCAAGCCCGGAGATACTTTACTCGTAGAATGTGGCAAATACCGTGTCGTATAAAACATCAATAGTTTTCGATACAACTGCTGGGACATTTTCTGGTTAAAAGGCGATGCACTCTACAATTTATTTGTGTCTTTAAACATAATAAATAACGTTGAAATGGCGCTTGGACTATAGCGAGAATTTGACATAGATATAAATGCGGAAACTTCGGATTTCACGTGTGAGAGTGAGAGCGTCAGGTAGTGATCAGATGATGCTGCGTAGAAATAGAAAGTTTCAGCTCAATCTGATTGTTCTACCGAAAGTTATCGTGTAAACGGACGGACGGAGGGTCGCACTCATCTGATCTTAGTAATGACTCACTTTTTGGGTACATGGAAAAAAGACCTGTGCTTACCTTGAATATTATATTTCTTGGCGCATGTTATCAAAGTATGATTCATCAATAATATTTACCGTAGGATATATTCTTTCGATTATTCACTCTGTTAACAACACATAGTAACTTTGACAAACAGAATGATATTATATTAAGCTTGTGTCGATGAAAAATTTGTTCGAGATACGATCAACATGAATCTGAAATGGTATTTAATGAGTATAATAATTTTCATTGGTAAGTACATTCATTGTCAAACATGTACATCTTTGAATGCATGGCCAATCGTGAACACAAATTGGTCAAGCTGTCCGATCCTTTCTGATGGAGTAATTTGTTCTAATTATTATTTTATTTACAAGAAGTGTCACTTTTCAGACATTAACCACAAATAATGTCTATGCTGAATGCATGTTTTTAACTGTTCCGATCGATTGGAATTCCAACAACCTAACAACATGTAGTTCAACCATCGAAATCTTCGTTAAACGCTATTTTGTATCTGGACATCAAAATACATCTCATCATTTATGGCGAATTCCAGGTTAGTCATTTGAATCTCTCCGGAAACCTCAGTGTAACGTTCTCCATCTGTAGGTGGTGGTGGAATTCCAATTTCCACCTTAGAATTCGAGGCCATGAGCGTTGTCAGTGCACTAAGTGGTTCCGTTTCAATTTACATGACAGACAAACGTGGCGTTGGTCGTAGCAGTTTATTAGAATGTCCGAAATCAATCGTCGCAAATCTTACAAATTGTCTACCATTCATCGAGCAAAATCAGTATCGACTAAAGCACAACACATATACCAATACTGCATATGATTTAGAATATGTGCTGAATGTGATTATGGGTAAAAATCGTGAAAACATCCAACGGAATCAACGCGTCATTTTAATGCCATCAAGTCAAGGAACTTATCTTGTTCAACGATATCTTCTCGTTACTGAAAATGCTGAACAAGTCGATGCAGTTATCTTCGATTCAATATTACCGACCGACGCAACTATATTAACTCACGGCGATAAACATTTAAATTACGTTTTCTTAGATTTATTCGGACGCTGTGCACAAAATCAACAAGACTGCGCAAAATATTTCGAAGATGAAAATCCTCTCCGAGCTTTATACTCTTACAAAATGAACGAAGATCTACTCGATCAATCATCCTGTCTCTATTTATTAAACACCAGTACAACCGAACTTGCGAATAAAGTAAGAGACAACGAACGAACGAAATGAAAAATGAGATCTGATATGTTTAGATGTCGTTTATGTTATATCCACAAACGATGCCACTATTACCAGCATTGATCTTTCGAATCAATCGATGCAATGACAATGATCAACGCGTGTTGAAACATTTTCTCAATGCTACCCAACCACCGCAACAAGATGGAGCTGAAGGCTTTTCGATTTTAGTTGAGATCAATAACAATCTGGCCGAATTGTGGTCTTCATTGGATACGTCGAAGGGAAATGATTCTTCTTGTGAATATTTGAAAGGAATATCAATGAATACGTTTGCTTCTACACACGTTATGCCAGATACTTACTGTCCAATTCAACAAACTGGACGACTAGGATATCCAACCGATAAATTCTATCGAAAATATCCAACGAAAAAAACTCAATTACCCGTTTTATTGTTACACGGTAGAACTAAACAATTCGATCTTATTTCTGTTAAATAGATCTTTTTTGAATAGGTGATATGGATCAAGCATTACCTGTTTCGATTCCTCGACATTTTGCTAAACAGTACTCACGCGTGAACTCGAAATTCACTTATATTGAACTTCCACGAACTGGACATACGCCTACAAGTAACTCATTCTAGTTTTATAGAACAAATGAGCATTTTGTAATCTTATAGGCGCCTCACCGACATCAGACGAAGCAGTTATTTGTGGCTGGAATCTGGCTATAACGTTTATCCAATCCGAAACGTTCGAAGCTGACCGTTCGTGTTTGAAAAAGATCAACGAAATTGATTTTGGTGGAAAGACGAGCAGTACAAAACAAGTAGCAGTGCAATATTTTGGAACTGATGATATTTGGGATGTTGACAAATCAAGTCGAGGAAATACAATGGAAATAACGGTTTTGTCTTATGTATTTGGAATCATCTTCATTGTCATTAAACATAATGAATGAGAAATTTTTTCTCGCTTAAGAACATGTTCGTTGAAACGAAATATAAATTTCTTCTCCATCGATATTTCATCGTGCGATACAATCGTATTTTTCTTTGCTAAGAGCTTAGATAGTTGAATGGTTTCTGAGCTATTTCATCATGGTAATTCAAGAGATTCAAGTAACGTTTGATTTGTCATTTCTTTGCTCTTGCGAAATTAGAAATCTGTTGTGTGAATTTGTATATAATATCAAAGATAGAAGCAAATGAGCAAAAAATCTCAGTTCGATCTTATGTTTGAGCACTCATCAGATTCTCAATCCAATGGATCAACACTAATGGCCTTGACAATCTTCTTGTGAACGTCAAAGTTTGTACATTCAATTCTCATTTGGAAAACGAAGAAAGGATTTCGACATCAAAATAGTTTTGACTTCGTTAGCTGTATTAGTCTGGTCATTTGTCTGGATATGTGTTTGACAGCATGAATGCACTTTTGGAGGGCCGACAGTACTTGGTTATTGCCCAATGATACCTCTCAAACAATGTCTTATGTTGTTAGTGGAATAGCACTACGAATCGAACCGCGACAATTGAATTTTACGAAAGTTACTTCAGTTCATCAACACAATACTCTGGTTTTCAAATCATCTTCGCGGAAAGTCAGCTGAACATCATAAAGCATATTTATTCTAATACGTGTTTGACCGAGGTGCATCTGCAAGAATAGATTTAAGTTGAGATTCGCTTTTCTATTTTGCTACAATCCTCAGGATTAGTGGTAGTTTATTTATACAATGTAGTAAATGCAGAATCAAATAGTATGATTTTAGGATTTCGTGGTTGAAAAGAAACACACAACTGAACGCTATGTTGTTGTTTTTTCTCATAATTTCTCGTTAAAATGAATAAGATACAAAATTGAATGCATTAGTCGAAAGAATACAGCCTTTTAAAGCATACTCATCTTATGACAAATATATGAGACAATTTGACGTTGTAATCTTCATGTATTCACGTACTATAAAGAACGAAAAGGACGATAGCATACAACTTTCTATTAAAAGAATACAAAAACACGTGTCACTTTTGCATGCGTTCTCTTTTTTCACCTCGTTTATTCTGTTGCATATATATTTGACTTGTTTTTCTCTTTTTTACATTCGTGGACGTTACAACACAGTTCATTTCATTCGACAGGAAAATGTCGGCGCTTTATACATTAACTAACCCAGTTTTTCGCTCGTTTTTATTCTATGCCGTGGCATCAGTTCTCAAGATGATGGCCATGTCATTACTAACCAGTCGGCAGCGATTCCGAAAAGGTGTAAGTAATCAAATATTCTGAAGAAAAGAACACAAAAAAATTGGTTTTCATTTCTTACAAGGCTTTTGCTAATCCCGAAGATATTCGTCCAAGTAAAGGCAAGAAGATCGAGCCAACGTTTTCCGATCCCGATGTTGAACGTGTTCGCCGTAATCATCTGAACGATATCGAAAACATTGTTCCATTTGTTCTTATTGGATTCTGCTATATTGCCTGTAATCCAGCTATCAGCACAGCATTGTGGCATTTTCGAGTGTTTTTCTTCTCGCGACTTTTTCACACATTTGCCTATCAGGTTGTACTGCAGATTGTCTACAACATCCGATTTTATTGCTCGTCTTTTTTTTTCACTTTCTAGATCCCATTCCCACAGCCAAGTCGAGCTTTGGGTTTCATGGTCGGACTTGTTGCCACATTATCAATGGCCGTACAGATCCTACTTCAAGTTTATTAGACAATCTTTAGTTTGATGATTTCCTATGTTTTTAGTTTTTTTCAAGACATCGTTTACATGTTTCATGCTAAAGGATCATTTTAGAGTGATTCATGGACGATAATTACTTCCATCTATATAATATAATACACATATCAATAGATCACGGTTTTTCTTTATGCAAAATGTTTCTCTAATCTGTCATGACTTGATGAAAAGACACGTATTCTTATACTTTAACAGCATATCCTTCATTAAGATTTAATTTATCGCAGCGCTAACTATCGCTATCCTTTAGTAAATCATGTTTACAATGAATCTTCAAGTAGAACAAACTTTTTGCCTGGTGATTGACGCAAAGAAAAGTTTCATTTTCATCTCATAGTTTTCTCTTCACATACGCATACTTATCATCTTCTCCTTTTAATTTCGCTCTGTTAAAAAAAATCAAACCATTCACATTGTCATTTATCAAAAATTGAACGATCTGACTCGATTGAATTGCATACGTATTCTCGATATCAAGTATAAGCATATCGCTCGAACAGAAAAACTTGCCAGTACTTATTTAGATCTTTACCAAACAATGCAGTAGGTAGCTCCATCGCAGATGTATTGATGCTAGAATGACCTTGTGTAAACTATTCCTCTTGTTCAATATGACGGTGTTAGACTCAGTGGCGAAAGAGACAACGTATCAAAGTCACGCACTAAAAATGAATACTGTAAAACTAAGATTGCATTTTCTTGATCAATATTCAACGTCTTATGAACTTGTAGACTCGCACTATGCTTAATTTGAAATATAACCAGGTTGATATGTATGTACTCATGCATCTGATCAATGAGTTACAACAGGACAAAGTAACGAGAAAAAGTTTTGCTTATTGCTTCGAGAATTTTACCATGTGTAGATGTTAGCTACGCTTAAACTGATTCATAACAATGTTCATCCTCTAGAATTGCATTATCTTATTAAACTATTAGGAAAAAATACATTGCGACTATAGAATTTCCTAATCGTATCAATCCACTTTTAAATATAGACACTTACAACATTAGATCTCAATCGAAACTGTATTGATCTATGACAGTTTAACAAATTGAGTGACGAAATACCGTGACATTATTCGTCAAAATGATATTTCGATTTATCGCGATGGGATCTATGATCGTACAAGTTCAACATAAAGTTTATTCAATAAATCTTGACGAATTCTTTATTTATGCGATTGAGCATACGAGTATGAATACAATAGTTGTACACGGCATGACAGTAGAGTATATTGAAACAACATTGAAAGAGGAAGGAAAATTTGACAAACAAACGATAATAAAGAACGTACAGTGAATATCTTTCATTCAGAAAATATCAATTTTCTTTTTCTTTTTCTCGTATTTGATTGTTTCAGTTCTTGTAAAATTTCATCCGACATACTACAATGTTGTATAGAAAGTTCTTTCAATGTTTCATTTTGCATAACAATATTCAACAAGGCTTCCAACGATTGATCAGTGATGAATTTATTGAATGAAATATCCAATTTTTCCAATGTCGAACACATAAAATCTGTATTGATGCCACAGAGAACATCAGCTAACAGTCGAACACCATAATCCGTAATACCTGTTTGTGGTAAAGCCAGAAGAGTTAAACAATGGTTGATTTCTAAGTAACGAATTAACTCTACAACAGCTGAATCACCTACATTAGAATTGTTTGCTAGAGAAAGAAATTTCAGGTTGGTTTTTGTGAGAAGTAGCTCTTCAACAAGCATTTTTACTCCAGCAGACGAGATGAAATTATTGCGAAGGATCAATCCGGTGCAGTGCTTTCGTTGATTGTAGAATATTTGTTGAATAATCAATGATAAATCATTGTCGATTAAGTTCATCGAGGATAAATTAAGGATTCCAGTCATGTCTAGTTCTTGATCGCCCTTGAGTTTTTCTTCCAAACGCGTCATTTTCTCTTCGACTTCTTCCGACGAGAGTATTCGAGTTCTGATAAGATTTTCATTCATCTTTGTTTCGTCGAACTTTGAAAAACGATGTTATTCAATCCATTCAACACGAAACAATCTCTACATTACCGACATGCGTGCCTGACGTATTGTAGGTCTCTGAACATTGTGCGGATGTTCGCCGGCGATTTGATCAGATGATATGGATTTAAGATGACATTCATCTACAAAACGAATTGCATTGGACATGACTTGAGTGGTTCGCGTGAGAGGAGGTCGATATTTTTTAGGTCTAAAGAAGTTGAATGAACGACATGTAGAAATTCAGAATGAGATTCACTCTTACCTGCTTCGTGTGTTTTTCTTATCACGTGAAGAATTGGTTTTGGAATTTCGAGTGCGCGATGTTGTTCGACCGGGACTGATCTCTCGCTCATCTTCCGACAAAGCGATTGTTGGTCGTGAAAGATTGTTTGTTAAACTCGTAGAATGTCTGACTTCCATAGTTGTCGCGAGATGAATGTTATTTGTCTAGCAGAAAGAAAGAGAATTTATCATAGTTTTTCTTTGTTTTCTTGAGAAGAGTACTTTCTTGATTTTCAAGTTTTGACTTCGACTGTTATCGATGTGTATTTAATTGTTGAAGGAAATTATTAAATCTTTGGCATTTGAAAAGAAACTAATTTATTTGACGCACGAACTCTATTCAAATGGCTTCGTCTGTTGAGTGTTTTCAAATTACAGTTTTTCTTTCTTTGTATTCATGAAATACTCAATGATTTTCAACGTCTGAACAAAAGGAAGACATCGAGGTGGTTCTGAAAACAAAGTCACATGTTATCAGAGTCAGTGTCTTATATTACTTTAGTCATCTGATGATGTGCCTGAGGTGATGTAATACTCGTTCAACAAGGAACTGCTCGTGAGACTGACGGCTTGTTATGGCTATATTCGGTATGATTGCGATGAAGTGATAGGTTTCTATCATGTCACAATGGCTGATCGTATCGCTATCCGTTTAGATTCGATGTGTACTTATTGGTAATAGCAGATTGTACTTTTGAAAGCGAGTAAAAGTTTTGGTATGAACATATGTGGGTCTTAAGTGTGCCGGTAGGTCGATTACTGATGACTTTTTCGGACTTATTTGAAATATTATTATCTTTTCTCTTGCTATTGCTAAGATCAATGAAAATAAGTTTTGTGAAAAAATAGCATTTGTCACAATCATTTGTAATTAAGAAAAATGAAATATTTCTCTCGAACTGCACTTTCATGTCTGACCGTTATCGATAAGAAAGCGCTGAAAAGTGAAGTCACTTGATAGCAAACTTATTATCGAAGTCATACACACATCTTGTCTTTTCCATGAAACGACTGGTCACACCACTGACTCTTGTTGCTACCGCTCAATATTCCCTCAATCTTTTCGTTCCGATGACGAATATGCACTTAATGTCGTACACGAAGGTCTTTGCCATCAAGAAAGTTGTTCATGGGTTATCGACGATGGACAATCATGGTGAATTTGCTGCTGTAACAAACATTTATGCAACAAAGGAATTCCCTAATCGCCATCAACAACAGTCTCTGCACCAAACGCTGCATTAACAATAAAAATAACTAATGCTTTATTAACGATGACATTGTGGATTTCTAAAAAAGCTTCTACTATCTATTTGGTTTAGATAAGTTGCTTGTTTGTCATCAAGTCGAACTGTTAACAGTTGAATAGAACTTTATATTTGTAGACTTTGATATCGAATGCTTTCGATAATTCCATTGACATGTAAAAAATAAGTGCTTAGAAAAACATAAAATAACCGAAGCATAAACAGAGAAAAAGAATAAATAAATAAATATGAACATTCATATGAGAACAAATTGAGTTTGAGTCGAGTTTCGGTGCGTTTTTCATTTGAATTTGCCGCGCAGTGACTTCATCCAATGGTTTCAATTCTTTCTTATCATCAATCTCCATCCAACCGTAAATCTCTGAGATATCTTGAACGTAATAAAGTCCATTTCGATAAGTTACCGGAAGTTCTCGCGAATAATTCTTCGTCCAATAATTAAAATAATAATTCTGTTCAGCAATTCGAATGGCATTCGGTAAAACGTCAACAATCACCGCGACATGTCCAAATGGTGCACCTTTATTGATTGGATAAATCAAATATGACTCATTTGTCGGCGGTGTTGGTGAACCGTTTGGATGATGTTTTAAAGAAAACTGTTTCTTATCAGCAACTCGTTCGACATATTTTAATTGTGTCCACATGTTATTTGCGCCATCGACACTTTCGAAAACTGAACTCTTACGAAGAAATGTCCAACGACGAGCGTATTCAACGCATTGCCATTTCAGTCCCATGTAGGTACCGTAGAGATAACTGTCTTCACCGGAATAATACGAATCATTACCGTTGGAATAAGCCGGGACGTTGGATGATGCAACGCCAACTTTTGCATTGAATGGCGCGAGTTGTTGTTCAGAGACGGATCGTTTTTCTACGAGAAAAATATGAAATTAAAAAACAACAAGTAGGCTTGGAAAAGATAATCAACCTTTGAAAACTTGTAAATATTGTAGTTTCAAAGAATTCTCACTGATATCGCTATTCAACGATGCACGAGATAATTCTGTGCATTGAGAATATTGATAAACAACGATTAGTAGACAGGACAGAACGAGAAGTTTCATTAGAAATCGCATTCGATAACTGGCAGCAAATATACATCGCAAGGGCATCAGGGGAAAGAAAAAGAAATGATCCAAGCGGATAAGAAATCCGATTGGTTAACAACTCATACGAATAAAAACTATGGCGACAAATATTGTCGATAGAAAGCGCTAGATTGCTTCGTGGAACTATACATTTCAAATCTAAGGGAAACGAAAGTAAGTGTGATGTACATACCCATGATGATAATAAACAAATAACGGTCGAGAAAAATACACATGGTGTTTTCGTGATCGATCATATTTGACACAAAAATAGATACAGGTGATACGTGTGTTTTGTTTTCGTTTTCACTAATGAGGTATTTTTGTTATTAAAAAAACAAATTGAAAATAGATTTTTTCAGCAAAAAAATCGATGCTTTTATCTGTTCAAATTAAGTCTGCAAAGTACTATGAACTTTCCTTTCGATGAAACTGAGAATTATCGTAGGAAGAAAACTAATTGGACAAATTGCACTTCATATGAAACAACTGATTAGCTGTCAATCCCCGCGAAAACTTTAAATCTAATTCATATAAACGATAATAGAAGGAATCTTCATCTATCAAACAGCTTTCAATCTGACATCGGCCGATTTCGTTATTTGTGGAAAGTTACAAAGGTGACTGTTTACTCAATTTGTTGTGCAATGATGGCGACTACATTCAGTAAAAATACTCTATTGTTCCGTAAGATGTAGACTTTATCGACGATATTACAATTAATAAATTGTTAATCCAGATGAAAAAAAGTCTTTTTCTAGTACCAAAGCATTGTTAAAAGTTCGATCCCTTGGGTCTGACAGTCAGCGAGTTTGTTGTTTGTTACATCTCAACTTTCTTTCCTGTAGACAACGAAGAATTTGTCATTCTAATTCTATCTGACAACTGCTCGATTTTCCGTATCATTCACGAGAAAATCCTTGACGAATTTTCTCTCTTTATCGAATCAACAAATCGTCGAACACCAACTAAAACTCTGCCTTAAAATCACATCTTCATTAAACATTCAGTTCTTTCCCAAACACGCATCCTGACTCAGTGTTAACTCGATTGAAATATGTCTACACATCCACGCAGTTAGTATAAAGTCTTGTTACTCGTAGGCATATGCCTATATTTATTCTCAATATCACGATAAACAAACTCGAAAAGGAAGAAAAGAAAAAATACATCCACCCTCGTTGATTGTGGCATATACATAAACTCCTTGTCTGCTTTGTCCTTTCTACCAGAAAGATGTCGAAATTAACTCCAGCAAAGAAGAAAATCATGGTTGCTTTATCACCGAAACTGTTCGCATTTGGCGGAGGAACAAAACCTGTTTCACAATTGTTGTTTAACAAATACGACACAGATCAAAGTGGTATGCTATCGATTTCCTTGTTTTAAACGATCTTTTTATCCTTCGTTAGTTGTTTAGGATTGATCTCCGTCGCTGAACTTCGATTTCTTTGTTATGACATGGGATATTTCCTATCCGATGCTCAACTTGATTGGGCACGAACTCTGATTGATAAAGATGGAAGTGGAGAAATAAGTTATGCGGAATTCTCTGCTTGGTGGCAAAATCCGTTACGTTTTGACCATTTGTTACTATCTGATGAACAATTGAGTAAATTACGTCGAATCACCGATTTATTTCGCTCGTTTGATAAGAAGAATCGTGGCGAATTGGATAAGAAAGAATTCGAAGAACTTTTTAGAGAATTAATCAAAGAGAAACTGATGGAAGAAAATCAAGCGAATCAATTCGATGAAATCGATCGAAGTCATGATGGACATATCAATTTCAATGAACTAATCGCTTGGTTCTACGACCAAGGTGTTTTACAAAAGATGGGTGTTCTACCTGAGAAAAAAGATGATTAGGGAAACAAGAAAAATACTCAAATTGTTTTATCTTTATTCAGGCTTTTGTATAATAAAAAAAAGGTATCATATCTGAAAGAAAACAAAGGTATAATAGCGGCCGTTCTGTTCGAATATTTGCATTTGGCTCTTGCACGTGCAAGGTATATATCAGTTTGTAAGTGGAAGAAGGAGAAAAAAAAAGCACAGAACAACAAGTTTTCGTTTTTCTTATCTGAAGGACGCGAAGAATCTTTTGATAAATAAATTATCACAAACAGTAGAAGAATTAAAGTTTTTTTAAGAGTATTCTGTCAAGTGAAATTTGTTTGTATTCTTGAAACTCGATCCAATGACTACATATGATCCCGGACATATTAGTAAGTTGAAGTTCATTGTGACTGGAATGCATTTGTCCTATGTAGATAATCTTGACAAGAACCAAGTTAAGGCTTTGAAAGATTTATGGTTGCTTTTGGAGAGGGAATTTCGTGATCCGGAGAAACCGGTTAATTCTACTGTTGAAATGGAAATTTCTCTTGCAAGTGGATATGATAATCCGGATATGATCTTACTTCGGTGGCTACGCGCAAAAAAATGGAATGTTCAAAGTGCATTTCAACAATGCCGTGATACGATCAAATGGAGACAAGAATGGGGAGTAAAAGAACTTGTTGCTAGAGGTGAAATGGATTTATGTGAAGAAGAAATACGAACAGGAAAGAGTTATTTTACTGGTCCTGATAAAGCTGGTCGACCGATTAGTTACGTTTCAGTTAAGGATCATATCAAAGGACAATTTCCACCTGAATCAACAGAAAAGGTAACTGTGTACACTATGGAAACAGGTCGAAAGCTGTTACGACCACCGCACGAATCAGTTACCGTTATTTTCGACATGACTGGTTTCGGTCTAAAGAACATGGACTATCCGCATTTGAAATTTCTTATTAACTTGCTAGAGAACTATTATCCGGAGTCATTTGCTCTAGGATTGATAATCAACGCACCTTGGATATTCAATGGGTGTTGGTATATCATTAAACCTTGGCTAGATCCGATTGTTGAGAGTAAGATTCATTTTATTAATAATCTGAATGATTTGACTGAATTTGTCGATCCATCGATGTTACCGAAACAATTGAATGGTACTCAGCCGGATTTCCAATACATTCCACCAAGTGAGGAAGAGTTAGCTAAGTTAGCTGTAATTCGAAATGATCAGAAAGGAAAATTGAAAGCGGAAGAAGAACATCGAAAAGCAGCGGAGAAATATCTTCAAGTCACAGAAAAATGGGTTCGTGGAGATGATACGGATGAAATTTTAGAAGAACGAAGACTAGCGACACAAGAATTACGTGATGCTTTCGAACAACTAGTTCCGTATGTGAGTACACAAACTCATTATCATCGAACGGGAGCTATTCAAGAACCAATATTTGATATTGTTTATCAAAGAATAAAAGAAAATTCTCCGAATTAACTTTGTATTTTCTATTCATTGTGATTTATTTAATTGTAATTCTTCTTTTCCTTTCCTGTATTTTTGATAAACCTTTTCATGTGAAAATGTATTAGATGTTCTTCTCTTGAACATTGGTTGTTATTACTATGATACCATTCTCATGGTTTAGTACGCATAGGTAAAGTCACTTTCAACTCTGTTTTTTGTACATTGCAGCTATGAAAATTTCTTAATACTCTCAACCATCTTTGGTTTATTTATTTTTGTCTGAATGAAATCTGATAAACTAAGAGACAAAATTCATGATAAAACTGAATGAAGAAATCCGATTGAAGACGTCCGAGGGTTTATGCTCTTTTTGGAGCAGAATCACCAAATAGACGAGAAGCCACTTGTGCGGGATAACGATCACCTTTGACATCCGCCTTTTCACAAGCATCGCGAATTTCTTTCACTTCTTCCTTAGTCAATTTGATTTCAGCAGCAGCTGCGTTTTCTTCTAAATTCTTAATCTTCGTTGTACCGGGAATTGGAATGAAGTCATCACCTTGCGCAAGAATCCATGCTAATGTCAGTTGACCTGCCGTGCAATTTTTCTTCTTAGCGATTGCTGTTAATTCATCGACTAATTTCAAGTTCTGTGGAAAGTTTTCTTCAGAAAATCGTGGCATTATTCGTCGGAAATCATTTTCTTCGAAGTCCTTTGGACTCTTGATTTGCCCTGTAAACAATCCTCGACCCAACGGTGAATAGCAAACAAGTGCAACACCTAATTCACGGCACGTTTTCAAGAGACCAATACTATCCCGTTCGATATCCAAACTAAATGGCGAATATTCAATTTGAACACAAGCTATTGGATGAACTGCATTAGCTCGACGGAGTGTATCGCTAGAACATTCCGATAGACCGATATATTTAACTTTACCCGACTCGACCAATTCTTTCATAGCGCCAACTGTTTCTTCGATGGGGACAGTTGCGTCAATACGATGTGCGTAGTAAAGATCGATATAATCGATGCCGAGACGTTTGAAACTCTTGTCAAACGCTTCTCGAACGTATTGAGCATCACCACGAACTGAAAATTTCCCTTCCGGAGAGATTACATTAGCAAATTTGGTTGCCAGAAATACCTGTACAGAGAAAATCAATACACTTCCAACCTTCTCTTTATAACGTATAATTAACCTTCTTTCTTTGCTCGGGATATTTCTTGAAATATTTTCCTAATAAATCTTCATTATCACCATAGATATCTGCACTATCGAAATACGTACAACCGAGTTCAATAGCGCGATCGAATACTTTGAAACGTTCTTCATCTGGTGCTGGTGTTCCGTAAAATGCAGATAAACCCATTGCACCAAAACCAATCGCAGACACTTGTGGTCCATTTCTGCCTAATTGACGGGTTGGAACTTTTACCATTATAAATTTTATACAAGTGATTCTAAAAGAAATGCACAAATGGTTATGCTCTTCTATTATATAGTTGTTTATGCAGAGCATGACAAGGCAAAAAAAATGAAAACACGTCATAGACTTCGCACAACTATGTTGAAGGAAAGGAAAGAAAGTAAGCACTTTTTTGACCCGAGAATACACAAAAATAGTATTATTAATAACCGATGGCTTTGTGTGCCATGGAAAACTATTTGAAACGTTGCAAGTCGAAGATGTGTTAAGTTCATCGAATGAACCGTTCGCCAATAAACAGCAAGTAACGGATCTAAGAACGATAGGTAATGATTACTGGAGACACACAATTAGAAAAGTGATCAACACAAGGAATACGACAGAACTTGGATCTGTTTGTTTCTAACAGATAGTATTGATCATTATCCAATGATAGAATACTTTTGTTTAAGAAACGAGCATTTCATCATGTCAATATTCGTAATTATGAGCCAAAGTTTAATTACTAAATTCATGTGTAGTGTTCTTCCACGACGTATTTCCCAGTAGATCTAATTACAGTCATTATGACGTTTATAACGACGAGAAATGACTGAAATTTAGAGAGAGCGTACGCTCATCGCTCTATACCTCGTTTCTTTTTGTTCATGTGTGAAAATAAAATAAATTAAAAAGATCAAAATGAGTTTTATTGAGTGGGAAAAAAGTCGTACAGAAAGGTTTCAATAATCAGTGAGATGAATATGCGGAAACACAGAAGTCCATGATGTGGTGCATAGACATTATTTATCGCATTCACGACCGTTCCTTTCATCACACAATGATTTTCGGTGTCTGATATATAGACGGTCTATTATTCATTGATAAACAGATAAGACGGTAGAATGGGTTGATTAAGATTAATATCTTCAGAAATTTCAATAACAAAAACATAGAGATTTCTTTCTATCATAATCGATTGTTATTTCGCACACTTCATCTTGCCTAGTTTTTTCGTTACAAGGCCACTGAACTACTGTTCGACTCTCTATGTCACGGATAATAATAATAATAATGTTTTATTTATCAGTATCAACATCAGATGAATAATTCAATTGACTTTCACATCTATTTTCCATTGAACGATTTGACATTCTGTATCGTTGTGTTGTATGTTTTATACTATTGAATCTTTTTCACATACGCAAATACTCATTCCCATATAGAAACCCGGGCATTGGATGTTTCAAATGACAAAACTCTCGTCCGTGTTTATCTTATTCAAACAAACGTTTTACTTGGAAAGTTTCTCTATGAAGATTGCGCTTTACTTTCCCCATAAAGAAGAAAGAAGAATCGTTTGCATCTCAAAACATATCATCGGTAAGCGATAAGAACGTCTTTGAAACACGTTATAAGGGTTTGTTCCCATTAGTGAGTGTCAAAAGAAGATCCTTAAATACCTGTGATGTCTTCTTTAAGATAAAAATACCAAGACAAACAAAGATCATTGTGGGTGAAGTGTGAAGTAAATATGTTTTTCTTATCAGTTCTACTAGTTTATAAAAAGACATTGGAAGATTGAATTCTGAGTTATTTTGCGACTCACGATCTTACCAACATTGAGAATTCTTTTATTTCGAGTGGGTAGAATACAGGTAGACGAAGGTTGATGTTCTCGGGCAAACTTTTTCTTACGAAAAACAATTACGTTTTCTTCCTTTACTCTTTTCAATAAATAAAACGAATCACTGTGCCATTTGCGAGATGAAAAACTCACATCGGCAACTTGTTTGCATTACTTTTCATAGTTTTGCTTCTGTTTTTCAGATTTTCAATTCGTTTACTACGATTATTTTCTATTGAGCAATATGACGACTGGTTTTACTGCCCTGGTTGAGAATGTCATCACTTGTCCCGTATGTCTGAGACATTTTGATGAACCACGTATGCTGCCGTGTAAGCATACGTTTTGTTTCGAATGCATTCAACAAATGGCCTCGAAAAATAACGGTCTGTTGGAATGTCCGAAAAAGGATGGAATGAAAGTCCAAGGTAATGCTATCAATGCATTACTTGTGAATGAAACTGTTCGGGATCTCATTAAATTTTTTGGTAAGACATACGACAATTTTTATTCTTATTACCTGTTTCCTTTTCTTGTCTCAGATAATCCCGAACCTGCTGCGGTTCAATGTCATAGATGTGCGACCAATGAAGCTGACTATTGGTGTGATGGTGATTGCAGACACTGTTTTTGCTCTGACTGTTGGAATACCATCCACGAAGTAGGTCAATACCGCACTCATACGAGACGTTCTGTTGGAGACAGACCTCGTGAGGTACCTCAATGCCAAGGTCATGGTGATCATTCCATACAATTTTGGTGCGAACAATGTGCGAGAGAGATTTGTGGTGAGTGTCAACAAACACAACATGCGGGCCATACGTCTACTGAAATTGGTACTTATGTGAGGCAATTAAAAGAACAGGTCAGTAGTATAGTAGGAAATCTATATTCCCAATGCATGTCAGTGGTTTTTAGTGCGAAGTTCGTTTGGAAGGAGTTCAGGCGTCGTTGAACTACCGATCGGATCGAGCGGATAAACTGATTACCGAAGTGGAAAAGGAAAGTGAATTCAATCAAACTCGGGTCCGTGAAACCATGCAAAATCTTCGCAATCTGATCGATCGACGAGAAGAGACTTTGCTGGGTGAAATTCGTCAAGTAGAGACGGCTGATAAAAGCGCAATCGAAGAACATAAACTTTTGCTTCAAGACGAACAACAGAATTTAATTGAACAGGTGTTAAATTTTGCTGTTGTTTCCAAAGATGAACAACCGCAAAGACTTTTGAATGCTAGAAGACCGTTTGACGATTTTATTAGAAGGGCAGACGCGAGGCTGTCAGACCTTAAACCACGGTCAAGAATCAAAAATCATGTCACAGGTCTCGAAGATTTGGCTACTCTACAAACTAAAATTGAAAATGTCAAATTCGAACCACTAAGACACACAAACCCAAATGTTGAACAGATTTTCGATAATAATCCGAACAGTACAACACTCAACTTGAGTTCATCGAGACTCAAAGATCTAGATATAGAACTTGTGGCGAATAGATTAGCATGCCACAGGGTATAATCGAAGATCTCGCTCGTGGAAGTAGTGTTTTGATTGTTTTCCCTTGAAATTTAGACACTTACAACGTTAAAATTGTATAGCAGTGAAATTAGTGAGATGGGAGCACAGTATTTAGCCGACGCTCTTCGAACGAATCAAGTAAGAATGTTGCTTTATTCATGATTTTAATATTAAGTTATCTCGTAACATCTATAATCATGTGTCCTTATTGATGTAGACACTCACTAATCTGGAATTGCATAACAATAAAGTCGGAACTGAAGGATTGGAACATTTTGCTGATGCACTACGGACGAACAAAGTAAGTTTTGTCAATTTATGATACAAATACTTGAAAATATGTTCGTTTTCAACTATAGACGCTAACGATACTGACTTTGTATCATAATGGTATCAAGAATGAAGTAGCACAGTGTATTGCGGATGGACTGAAAACTAATAAAGTGAGTTTTGACATTAGAATTCTCGCGTTCATTCCGCAGATTTTGTTTGTTGACCTACCAACCTGAGAACTTCAACTTTTACTGAAGATATAGGAATGAATAATAGGAGATATATGTGTCTTGTACCAATGGCATTCTCCCAATCTTTTTGTCTTCCGATAGAATACGACTTTTGTAAAATTATAGAGAATGGAAACTCAGATTCGAAATGTTAACGACATACCAGTACCAACATGTGCCAATGAAGTTCTTTTACGAAAGATCACTGATAATGGAAACAACACCACTTTAAATTTATCGTCTTCCAATCTAACTGATCAAGATATGGAATTTGTAGCTTATACGCTGAAAACAAATACGGTGAGATATTCTTGACTTTAATTTATGAATTTTCAGTATGACAACAGGACCTACTGCAAAGATTCATGTCAACTATTGTTAAAATATGTTTTCTGAAAATAGAATTATGTTGAGTTAGAGATCAATCTATTTATCCGAACAGATTTTATAACGAAAAGGCATATCACAAGTTAATTACCATTGATCACAGCTTATCGATTAACTTTCACATTCGATGTTGTTGTTGAGACAAGAAATTCTCAGCTTACGTTATTTGTAGAATTTGTTTCGATTTAGGTTGTCACTACATTATATTTGAATGACAATCAAATTGGAGTTGTTGGGACAGAATATCTAGCCGATGGTTTACAAATGAACAGAGTAAGTAGATGTTTTTACAGATTAGTACCTTCGCTATCCCAAATATCTGTTCCTTTCGTCTTAAAACTTTTCTCGCTCGGTTCGAATCATCATAGAAGTGCAGCTAGACGTATCTAATGTGAAGTTTTCTATGAATTCGAGTTTAAAGTAAATAAAACATCTTCGTTGACACACCTATCAGCATTATCGATTGATTTCGTTTATTCGTTTTTTGGAGTAATAATACAGTATAATAAAGAGCATAGTGAGCTATTTAAGTATGTCATTATCTTTCTCTCTAGACGCTAAAGGAGTTATATCTAAATCAGAATCAAATTGGAGATGTCGGGGCACAACATATTGGTAAAGCATTGGAAACTAATCGAGTGAGTTTTCTTCCGCCAAAATCAGTCTATTTTACTTGACAAATGAATGTGAAACTATTCGATAGATATTTCAGTGTAAAGTTCAAGACTTTTCTAGTTACAAGTGTGTTCGTCTATATTTATACTATCTCTCGAATTTTTGAGTACTCCACTGAAATACAGATTATTTCTATTGAGCAGCAAATTCTTTACTTCTTCGAAGTACATTAGTTAGATTCAGTTGTTTAATTTAAGATATGTAAACTTTAATTGCCTGTAGACACTAACTCGCTTGGATATTTACACCAACCAAATCGGACCTATCGGAGCTGGACATCTGGCAGAAGCATTGAAAGTTAATACAGTGAGTTGATTTCCCAAATAAGAATAGGATCATCGAGAAAATAGATTACTTTATTATATCCACAGCGTGAGTGAGTTTTTAAAATAATTATTCGAATTATGACTAACCGTGAAAGAGTTACGTTCTTTAAATTTTATGTCAAGCATAGTGTCAATCGATTACACTAAATATTTTACAGACAATTACTCGATGTTATCATCTTCTTCTTTTTTCTGCAGGTATTGAAGGACTTGCGTTTATATAATAATCAGATTGGAGACATCGGAGCAAAACATTTAGCCGACGCGTTAGAGAGAAATCAAGTGAGTTTATTTGTTTTGTATATCCTTCAAATAAAGATGTCGATTGCATTTTAAAAAGCTTTATGAAACTGTTAGAAATGGAAAATTGAGTTCGATTACAACATAGAGTAGCTTTGAGAAGGTAAGTGCGAGAATTACTAGATTAAGAGATATACTTATCGAAGAAATAAGACTTGAATAGTGAATAGAGTGATCCATAGTTCAGACTGTTCATATACTCTCTAATATAATCTCACCTAAATCGATAAATATAGACACTTAATATTTTGGATCTTCGAAATAATCAGATTGGTGAAAATGGAGCTCAGCATCTAGCAAATGCTTTAACGGTTAATAGAGTGAGTATTTATTGTCATTAACAGTAACGATGAACACAGATGTGACATCAATCATGACATAAACATTTACTCCATTGTTTCGTATTTCTTTTGAGTTATTTTTATGTTTATATTTTGAGTATAGTAATTGTGTTTTGAATTCAGATTTATTTAACTAAGTCAGTTCAGATTTCAGTGAGATAGTGATAGAGCTTTCGATATCTTGTTTAATTGATTTATTCAAGCGTGTACCATAGATAACATATGACTTTTGAATTTCATTCAATATAGAGTTTGACTTACATCGATTTGCGTTGGAATCAAATCGGAGATAATGGAGCAGAAAAATTAGCCGAAATGTTACGAACAAATCAAGTAAGTTCGTTTCAGAAATTAGATTAATTAGTGCTGATATCTTGTAAATCATAAAAACAGTTCAAAGATATTCAGAATGAGAAAGTTTACGATCAGATTACTAAACTTTAGGTTTATATAAATAAAAACATTTGAAGAGATGATCTCATTTCGTTAATAATAAAATAGAAGAAACAATGACAAAAGCATAGAATAGATATCATTTAATATTAACTCGGAAACTTTGATAAATACGATACATTGAAATTTGAAACGATATTTGAGGAAAATCCATAAAGTGAAGTTAATTTCTTCTTGAGAAAATATTTACTGTACGATCATTACTATTTCTAAACATGTCTGGTGTTTGTATTACAGACACTGCAGCAGCTTTGGTTATCTAATAATCAGATCGGAGACGGTGGAGCTCAGCACATCGCAAATGCGTTAACAACTAACCAAGTGAGTTGAATTTATCAGTAATTATTTGAATGTGGAGAACTATATTCTATAACACGCGTTCTTTCTTTCAATTATTGAATACTTTACAACCACATTTGAGTGTCAACGAGTGAGAGTTGAAGATTGAATTCTCAGTGACTGAATATCGATTTTTCTCAATTTTATGTTATGAAACAGTAGAAACGCACCAAATTCAAATAGATATTCGTAAATAATCACTTTCATTATTACCTTGAAATCTCTATTTGACTCATTCAAAAACTCCTCGCGTCATTTTTCTCAAAAAATTTCTCACATTGGTTAAATATATGAGAAACGATTTGAGACACTTTTTCTCAGTTTGAAAACAAATATATCGAATGTCTTCATCTTGCCCTTTACATACACAACCGACTTTTACAAAATCTTCTATTTCGCTTTCTTTTTCAGAAATAATATTTATGATTAATATTATTTTCATAGTAGATCTACTTGTGAATTCATTGGAATGATTTATGTTGTTTCAAATCATTTTCTTGTATTAGATGAGCAATCGAATGTATAAATTTAACTCAGAAGAATTAAAATATCAGTTGCTGATTTTGATTTCAAATTTTATTTATCATCTCGATGTTGATTATAAATATTAAATTTTTTAACTTTTGATAAACATCAAATGATAAATAACAAAGTACATTGTCTCAATGATGAATTTCGGAGGTATTAGGTTATACGTACCATCTTCAAAGTGTTCTGTTTTCACTATGAAGAATAATATTAAAAAGTAAATGTTCGTATTCAAATTGATCGTTTTGTGACTTTATTTGATAAATTCCGACAAGATTCGAATCATTACAAAAAATTCTGATGAAATAATTCTTATTCGAGTAGAGAATATTTTTTCGTAGTTAAACAAAGAATTAGTTCACTGTTATTAATAATCGAATAGATTATAAATTCGATTTCAATTCTTATTCATTTCTTCGTTTTCTATCCGTAGACTCTTAAAGAAGTTTATCTCGGTGCTAATGCAATCACAGATGTTGGAGCACAACACTTCGCAAATATGTTAGAGAATAATCGAGTAAGAAGTTTTTCCATTAAAATTAACTCTTTTGATCGATATATGTATAAGCGAACAAGTTTCGTAGTGAGAGATATGAATTTTATTGAAGATATTTCTTTTGTTCTTCTACACACCTTCTGTAATCATTTCTATTCTATGATTTAATTTAATCTTGTCCATCGGACTTATTTGCGATTGTTTTTTCACGGATATTTTTGATGAGATAAGAATATTTGAAATGAAAAGTTTATATTGTTCACACTTCCTGACACTTATTGACAGTTAATAATGAATCGAATGAAAAACACGACTTTAACACACTCAATCGGTATCTTTTCGTGTAGACTCTCACTATTTTGGTCCTTAACTCGAATAGAATCGGAGATGATGGAGTCCAACATCTTGCCCGATCATTAGAACACAACACAGTGAGTTTTATTTTGGATTTATTTCTTGAAAAACTGTTAAAATTTGTAAAAATCCAAACCTTGAGATCTTTTCATGACATCTAAGTGAATCAATTTTGAGTGTTCGAAGAAAATGTCGCATTCGACATAGTTTTACACTTGAGTAGTATTTTATGAAGACGTATTCGTGTGTCATTGTGTGAGATATTATCAAAATAGGAAATTTTTATCTAATAAATATTTTCCTTAGTTAAATAGAATTCAATTCTTTACAAAATCTCATTTCATTAATAAAACATCATTGAATTTACATACAATGATCGACAATTCATATCAAATGTCGAAATGAGAAGTATCTTATTACTGAATACTTCAATAAATTGTCGTCTTTTTTCATAACATTTTAAATCTTATTGTTAAATAATCAGACTAACTAGTTCATTTATAAATTAAATACTTTTTATCTAAATTTCGAATTAATTTCTTATATCTTTCTGACGAATAGATACTTACTCAATTGGGACTTTCTAAAAATGGAATTACTGACACAGGTGCGCAATACTTAGCTAATGTTCTTCGAACTAATCAGGTAATTATCTTTGATAGTCAGTTTTTGAATTATAAATATATCTTGAACTGTATCGAATAAGACAATTGAAAGTGAAGAACATTTTTCAATTTAGAAGAAGATCATCTAATAAGTTTAAATAAAATACAAATATTTCTCAGATTGAGACTTTGTGTATATCAATGTAAAGTCACAACATCACTTCAGAAATAATCGATTAAACAAATGTTTAATTTTCAAAACACAATTTCAATTTCCTTTTTCTTTCATCGATTGTTTCTTTATACTTTTCAGTACAACATCTGACATAAAATTATTTATATCGATACGTGATGTATTGAAAAAGTGCTGAGAACGAACAAGATAGTTTTTAATTTGAATTTTGATCTTCATTTCATCATAGTATCGTATTTATATCGATAACGAAAATTTAATTAAGCCATTTCCTGTAAAACACATTGTTTATAAGATAATTAAGTAATTTATCAGGAGATTAATTGTAAATTTGTGAAATTGTTTCTTATTGTAACAAAACAAGTGATTCTTTACTTGTTCAAATGTTTATATTGTCTTCGTCCTCCAATTTTACACTTTGCTTTATATTTCCTTTTGTTTTTACTTCTCCATCAAGTTCATTAAACTTGATATTCATGACTCTTGAAAGTGTTATCAAACCAAATCAAAAGAGTGATCTTATCTTGTATGTACGAAACAGAGCAATTTTCTCGAAAATAGATGACATTAATCATTTTCATTCAGTATTTATGCATCCCTCTTCATACTACCGTTTCATTGTAGACGTTAACTCACCTTAATTTGGGAGGAAACCAAATTAAAGATACTGGAGCACAGCATCTTGCCGAAGTATTGATAAGAAACCAGGTAAACTGTTCTCTCTAATTTGAAGTATTCTTCTGCTTTTACGAAAGAACTATCTGTCATAGTCTATCAAACTAATCGACGGATGTTGCTTGAAATTGAGATCATATCGACAGTTTGTACGATATATTGAGAATTAATCCTAAAAACATACGCTGAGATTTTTCAATAAATTTTGTCGAAGATTGATCAGAGCATCAATTTTGTGCAAAGGAAATACGATATTTCTCCGATTCTCTTTATAAAGGGCTCTACTTTCCTTGATGCAGATCTACATAATGATAAATATAAATCATTGATTAATTCAATTATCAAGAAGAGAAATTATCTCGTATCACTGGAAGAATGTTTTTCATCGATAAACAATGATTATTTGTGATTTATTCTTGTTATAATTAGTCTTATTAGCGAATAATAAATAGAAGATCGTGAAGGATTAGTTGAGAATATTTCATTAGTGCGTATGCGAGTTTTTGCTTTTCTGTTTTGATATATGGATGAATTTTGTATTTCACAGAAATCTCAATCCTAATCGAAAATATTTAATCTCATAATAATAAGAAAAAACTTCTGACAATGTGATCAATTGTGAGACGAGATGTATTTCTTTTTATTCATATCGATAATTCCACACTTTTTCAATCATTCGTCTGTGTCTTTTTATTTGAAAATAAGAAAATGAGTTAAATTATTTTAGTTAGACAAAGAATTGTAATTGAATTTTTGACTTTTACGAATAGATTCTTACTGGTCTGGATTTGAATGGAAATCAAATTACAAACACAGGAGCACAACAATTAGCCAATGCGCTGAATAACAATAGGGTAGGTGACTTTTCCAACTGAAAACATTCGTTAGTAGTGTAGAATTTGATTTAGCTGTAGTATAATGAAATAGAAGATGAACAGTTGAGTGTAATTCACATTTTTATCATTAATTATTCTCAAGTTTGATCAAGAAAATGAAATAATTAGACTTTAAGATTGAAGAGAATACACACACTAATAATAACAAGGTTTTCTATTTGTTAGTTCTAAGAGCAAATATTTCAATAAGATCATCTTATGCGAAATCGTGATTAAATTCGATATTACTCGTCGCCATAAAAATACGATCATTTCGAAAGAAATTTAATCATGAAAATTGGTAGTAGAATGAAAAGAACATATGACACGACATTTATGATTGTTTTGTAGTTACTTCGAGAACCGAAATGACACGAGAAACACAGTTAGGAAAATTTAACAATGACAGTGAACATCTTTGGTTATATTTTTCAATTGTATGTATAGACATTAACGCATCTATATCTACATGAAAATCAAATCAAGGATGAGGGCGCCCGACACCTCGCTGCTATGCTGACTCAGAATCAAGTAAGTTATCTATTCGGTCGATGAGTGTCCAGTGTGTTGATGAACGTTACGAATTGTAGAATATATTCTCTTAAGTAACAGAATATCGTGCATCGTAAATATAGAGGATTTATTTTGTTTCAATAAAGCATGTATTTATTGTGAAGATTGAGCTTTCGTCGTTTTACTTCACTTCAAAAATGTGTTATTTACGATGAGTTCTGATATAATAACGCACTAAAAGTTAATTTTCGAGAAAAACACTCTTACTTTGATTTTTAATCATTTCTGTATTTTTATCCAGGGACTCAAGGAGTTGTCTCTTTCTTATAATCAAATTGGAAATGACGGAGCACAACAGTTGGGCAACGCATTGGGGCAGAACAGAGTAAGCGACTTTGTTTAACTAACTTTCCAGATACAACAAAAGAGATCCTTATCCGATCATTTCTTTGTGTCTAAAAATAGTAAAATGTTTTCAAAAAAAAGTACCACATAAGGCAGAACAGACTGTAAATACTCTATAGTAGAGTTAAATAACTAAACTTATTTTGATGTAAAAAGGGAAGCGCATTAGTGAATATTGTATTTAAATAGTCAATAAAATCTTAGAGCACGAAGAGAAAGATTACACCAGTCATCATATTCTTGTTCTATTTTAAATATTCAAAGTTTGAATGAAATAACACATTCCTGTTGGATATGATGAGTTAAGACCAACACTCATAGGGTAACTTTTTTTATATAAAAACTGTTAGAGAAACGGTCGATCTTTTTTTGTAAAAAAGAAAGAGATAAAGAACATATTTGAGATGATGACAAGTCTAATAAAAAGTCACATAGAATAGTTACACTTGTACGGTGTCTGAAATACCCTTTTGAACTAAAGTTTAACACACTATTAGAATTATTTGTCAGCTCATGGACCTACTTAACTTTCGGGATCAATGAGAGATTGTCAATCAATGGACAATACACAGGTTTTACAAATGTTTGCACAGATGCTTACTACTTTAAGTCTTCAAAATAATTAGATCACAGATAATGGGACACAATCTCTTGTAGATTCAATACGAAGCCACATAGTGAATGACTAGGTCTATTTCATTTCGACGTCTGTCTTTTTGTTTTTAGACAATACAAGTCATATACCTAGTTAATAATAACGGTATCTCCAATGCAACGAGAACCAATATACAACAGCAACAACCACGAATCAAATTCTCTATTTGATTGTAATATTTTGTTTGTATAGAATAAAAAACCGTGTGTAATTTACTGATATGTCCGATAAATATTTGTTATAAAAAGGTATTCACAGTGAAAAGATTGATCAAAGGTAGGTTAAATATTCGAAAGGATGTTACGAACAATAATCTCTTTGTCTTGTATGTCATTCAAAGGATTATCATAAAGACAAGAATGAAAAAGAAACTTTTACCAAACGATCATATTTTTTATTCTTCAAGGCAAAATAGAGAATTCTCATAATCTTTAAAACTTTTTCCTCCTATACTCAGCTTCACGACAATGTAAAACATATCATCATCTTTCTCTATTAAATTTGTCATCGATTTGCAGATTCGATGTATATCTAGACCAGATGTCATGACAACATTCTGACTGTTACAAGCAATTTGTTCTACTAGTAAAATGATGATCTTTTCACTGCGTCTTCCACAATAGTATTCTTGTAACGACTCATCACACATTTGTTCGACTTGTAAAATCTATTTGAAATATACCTCAGAATACGTTTATATCTCATTGCATTGAGGAAAATCATTGACCACTATCTTATTCCTAGCAGAATTTATCAAGAAAACTCAATTATTAACATGAGAACTATGTACCAAATATAAATATTGACTTTCACGAGAACTCGTAGAATCTTTTTGAATTATAATCGTTGATGAACGTTTATATATCCGATGAGGTGATGTCATAGTTAATTATTCTATTTGTAAATAATTTTTAAATGTTTCTTGTATATTGTGCATCGATGAATTTTCAAGTGGAAGTGAAATAATCATCAAATCAATTGCTCCATGATGTCGATGATAACTTCTGCTAATTTTTTTTGTCGAATTTCAGATTTCTTCATTGTATACACGTTTTTAACACCAAGTTGGTGGTTTCATCAGACATCGACGTGGATGTTAGGTCTACCAGAAAACGCCCTGGATCATTTATGGAATAAAGGTTAGGATGTAATTGATGGGAATATCCTCGTCGCATTCTTTGATATTAAAGCAACAATGAATTCTCTCTAATTTTAATGTTTCTTTCAATTTGAGTCTATTTGCGTATATGGAATATTTTCATAGTAAACAACTTGTTCTATCGAGTTGATCAATGAACTGATCATCAGTACAACATTCTGTTGCTGCGCTTCAGTGAAATCCTTTATATATTAATGTTCCTTAAGAGAAAACGAAATGAATAACAATATGTATTGTGCCCAGAAAATTCGCTAAATAGAAGAATTCAATTAGACTTTGCATAACATATCAAAGTCTTTTTAAATAACTAATTACATCCGGATGCTTTTTCCAATCATCACAATCAAGTCGTTATTCGATAAACGATGATACACAATTGATTATGTGTATAACCATATCAACAGATTGAACTAAGAGGAATTGTAAATCTGAATGGAGATGCAATATAAAAGATGGTTTTCCATATCTTGAATAGTTTACACAATCATGTGAGAAGCAATTGAAGTGTGGGAAACGATTATAGAATAATTGCGAATGTTCCCATATTATCGTTTTCAATATAATTGTTAATTTAAAGCGTTCCTGGTCGGAGAATTCAGTCCAGATACAAAAGAAGATATCGTGTTTAGCAAAATAGTGGTTTTCTATTCAGTACGCAATTCAATTAAATCAAAACATACTGAAATATGATGCGTATATATTGAATTTTTTAAACTTAGATCATCAAAATCTGTAAAATTGAATATATATGTATCCTGATTGATAATTCATCGAAAAAGCAATATAAAAAATCGGTGCACTTTCAATTTTACAGGAATATTTCCGATCGGACAGGAATCACCGTTTGAAATAAATACAATGAACCTGTAAGACTATATATCGTTTTAATTTTAAAAATTACTAAGACATATGTTCATATGTCCTAAACACAATTTCATTTTGATAGTCATTTCTGTACGAATAACTGCGAAAACTGATGTTTTTTTTATCTCCCTATGTAAAAAGTTTGATTAGATCTACGAATTTTCTGTCTTTTCCACAAGCAACTGCCTTTCACTTTTACGATGCGTTCTCAATAGACATAATACCGAAATTTTCAATCTAGATGAACGATGGTAGACAAATTGACATTGAGCAAAGACGATGTTCTTCCTGCAAACAATTCATGCTCGTTATACACTGATTTATTGAAATTCTCTAAACAATATTGATGGTTCACAAACCTGAGATGTATCTATGCAACAACTAGAACAGTCGAAAGTTCTGCACAGAATGAAAAAAGATTCGTCTTTGATTGAAAGAAAAACAACATGAAAAATGATTTACTTTTCATACTAAACAAACAAAACAATGCATATTTGCAGATTATACCGTTCCCGATCGTACTTTCAACATAATCTCGATTGATTCACCATCTTTAAATAGCATCTAATCAATTTCAGTTTCGCATTGAATGATTGTTAAACCTACATTACACATCGAAGTAACCATAACAACATAATAGGAGTGATCGATTGCTTTAAAATTCAAGCGAAAAGAGAGAGAAAAAGTGCATGCATTTTTAATTATGCTTGAAATTATTTCGATGACATAATATGTTTCTTATGTTCGTTACTCCTATGCTAAATACGTGAAACAATTCCTGTAGATACGGTCGTGTCGATCTTTTTCCTTTTTTGGTTAATTGAAACAATATTTTCTGTTCTTATAAAATGCCCGGAAAAGAAACGTCTTGTTCTATTCTTTAATTTGAAAATAACCAATAAAAAAGCTTTGAACGTTTCTATGCCGTTAATGAAAGTACACAATTCATCGATTATAAATGACTGCGTTTTTTCTCTTCGGAAAAGAAATTTTAAAACGTGATACAAACAGTATTTACTTCGTTGTTAAAGAAAATTTTCTTTAAATACATCTCGCACCTTCCCAACATATTCTACCATTCAAGAGAACAAATATCTGTTGTCAAGTTGTACCGCCTTGTGTATTTATTCTTTTCGAATTTTAAACGTTTTTTCACCGTTCGATTGACAACACTCGGCAAAGAAAAGAAAGCAGACGATGAATGATCAATCAAAGTATTACCAGGTCAAAATGTTACTCTTACAGTTTCATAGAATAAACAGGAACATCGAAGCCGATCTATATTTAATTTGTTCTTCTATTCGATTCCTCTCTCTCTCCTTTTTCTGTTCTCTGATTCATACTGCGACAGCATGCGAGTTAAATGACAATTATTTTCGCGTTTGAAAAGTATTCACGCATTGATGAATATTTGTATTTGTTACATACAGCGCGAAGGCGCGTGTATACCTTGCCTTCATTCATTCTTTTCATCAAATATATTTTTTGACTAAATATTTGTAAGAAAAACAAAGTAGAACGCTTGCATTTGCTTTCATTACTTACAGATTTTTATTCATTAATCTTGCTTGTCTTCAATTAATTTTAGACGATAGGAGAAAATATTCGTTTTGTCTTGTTGTTTGAAAATCAAACACATTTAAATTGACAAACGCGTACTGAAGAATCGCATTTATTCGTATTTTGAAGGTCTATTACTCATTTGACGTCATCGTCAATTACTATCGCTACCAAATCAGTATTTATTCGCTATTCATAAACATATTTCACCCACGATTGCATCAAAAACATTGTTCGATGAATTTATTATTTCAATCAGAATTGTAACGGTATGTATGCATTATATTTTTCTATTCAAGGTTTCGAGTAATCTTGGATATTCTTCCGATTGATTTGATACATAAGATGCGAAAGCTGAGCTTCCGATTTTTTTTCCTGTCGTGAGCAATTGAACTACAATACCTGACCTATACGCTGCCAGATGAACTGATTTCTTTTTCTTTCATTCTTTTTCTTTTTTTTTTGTATATTTAACCATGTCTACCGGCATGTCTTAGTAGCCGCTAAAGAAGGTGAAGAGGAAGGAAAAAAAATAATAAGGAGGCACCGATGTTCGTTTTCAGCTCCCGATCGTGATTATGGGCGATGCATATGATTTGTGCTGAATATGATATTTATCCCATTCGAGACGGGCGGCCACTATAATGGCCACTGACTTGAGATCATTCCAATCGTTAACTATATATTATTTTTCTATTATTCTAGCTGATATTCCTCTAGTCTTCGATACCACTAATGAGCTTATGTGCCGTATTAGTCTCTCGACAGATGAAAATAATGAACTAAAAATGAAAATCTAGCGACTTTGATTAGTATCGTGTTTCGTTATTTGGTCTGTTAAAAAAGAACCCCGTCCCNGTCTTCGATACCACTAATGAGCTTATGTGCCGTATTAGTCTCTCGACAGATGAAAATAATGAACTAAAAATGAAAATCTAGCGACTTTGATTAGTATCGTGTTTCGTTATTTGGTCTGTTAAAAAAGAACCCCGTCCCGAAAAGATTATTGAAATAAAGATCAGATAAATAAAATCATAATAATCCTTTCAAGTAGAATATATAAAACTGAGAGGTAAAGTTCTGCCTGCCTTGATCATATGGTTTCTATGACAAGGACCGAACATCGAAGTTTATTTTTGTATGTGTAGGAAGAAAAATAAAACAGAATTTATTCGTATTTTTAAGTGCATAAATGAAATTTAACTTTTTCTTTCATCATTCATCGTTTCGTAGTAACCAACATTCTTTTCTTTGTCAACGTAACGCATAGAAATACTGCTCAATACAAAACAATGTAACTGCGTATGACGTTATTCATCAAATAGAAGAAAGAGAAAAATAAATGTAATGTAAAAAAAAAAGCTCCAATGCGTTTCTCCTGTTTCTCTCGAAACATCCAAGACAATATAAGTAGAAACATTCGCTTATAAGAGTGCAGTTATTCACCAACATGATTGTACATAGACCGTGTCTTTTCCTTCAGTATCTCAGTTCGTTTGATTTTTAGTAAAACAAACTAAACCAAGAGTAATATATTTCTACAGGTAAAAACTTCATTTCTTTTTGTAGACTTGACTAGTTTGACATCTTCGAGAGGACAGAGTGAAATCTGTTGTTGAGTATAGAAAAGGATCTCGTCTGTATGAAATCTACTCTATCAGGAGTAGAAATGAATAATAAAACACATGATAACGTTGTTATATGTTTTACAGAAATCCGATCTGATCGTATTTACACTCGAATTGAGAACTGAAGAACGGCAAACAGAAGAAAACAAATCGTTTGATATGTCAAATTGAAGATTTTTTGTTTTTTTTCTTCTTCTTCTTTACATCGTCCGTGCTCTAGGAAACATTTGCTCGTTAGTTAGAATTTGTTTTTACTAATAACTTCATATACACTTCGTTTCCGTATTCGTATTTGTTCTTGCTTTTTTTTTTTAAGCATATACTGTTGGTTCCTTCCTACCGATCGCTCGAACAAATGAATGTATACGAAGAAGAAAAAACGACAGAGAATGAGGAAAGAGGAAAAAAAAAACTTTTTTCTTAGGCTGTCCAACAGTTTTTTATGAAAAAAAAAAAGTCAATGCGTTTAATTTACATATGTTGATGTTAGGTGGTGCCGTTATAGAATGAAAGTTGTATAACGGCACATACACATGTACGCAGTAAATCATCATCTATGAATAGGAGGTAATAAAAGACATTTGAAGTTTATAGCCTTACAGGTTATCTTTCATAAAAAAACAGTTCAAACAGAAATTGACATAGTTTTTCTTTTTAGGTAACTAACTAGTCGAAAATTGTTGATAATATGGAATATGATAATGAAAAAGCGACATTTTTAAGTGATAATAATTCCACAAAAAAATATCGAAATGGTTTCGAAAGATGCGTTTCTAACGAATTGAAACGATTGAAATTAAATTGTGGAAAAACTGTAATTCTACGTATATTCTTCTGTCTGTTCATACTATTTATAATCTTATTTCGTGGATATATTTTATGTTTACTTGGTTTTTTAAATTGTTATATAACTTGGCCATTTAGTTCACCTCTCCATGTTAAAATTGATTTGTTAAATCTTTCCAATGAACCTAAAGGACGTGAATATATTCCCCGTCGAATGCATCATATTCTACTTGGACCGTTAAGTAAAGCACCACCTCAAAGTTGGGTAGCTGCACGAAACTCTTGCATTGAACTTCATTCAAAATTTGAAGAACACTATTATTGGACCGATGAAAATGGAGTCGAGTTTTTGAGAAAAAACTATCCATGGTTTGTTAAAACTTGGCAGTCGTATAAAACTAATGTGCAAAAAGCAGATGCATTACGATATTTTGTACTTCATCATTACGGTGGCATATTTCTTGATATGGATTTATACTGTCTACACAAATTAGATGGACTCTTTAACTATCTAGATAATCGTGTTTCACCAGAAGAACATATTTTTCTTGCTGTAAAGGCATTTCCCGTTGGAATATCGAATGGTTTCATGATTACAACTCGTCGACATCCACTCTTTCAACATGTGATTGAAAATCTTGAACTCTACAATCGAAATTTCCTATTACCACATGCAACAATCATCATTTCAACAGGACCTATGTGCATTTCGATACAAATTCAATTACATCGTTCATTATGGAATTCAATATTAGTCTTAGATGGGAAAGAAAATATGATCGGTGGAAAAACCAACACGCCGCTTTTTAAACATTTAGGAAGCGGATCATGGCATCAAGCAGATGATATGTTTTTTAAAAATATTCCTATGAATATTCAACATCAGAATCAAACGTTCTCAATTTCGATTATTGTTTTCATTAGTTTTATATTCGTATTCTTTATTGGAAGATATAGAAACTTTATCAAGGTAAGTTAGAATACACATTTTTCTTCATTGCGATTAATTAGAAAGGAGAATCTTCAATCTCATTTTGATATTCAATAGTGCGGACAATAGTTTCTATCATCTGTTAATCAATAATTGGAAGAAACTTTTACAAAACATTGTAGAGAGTAATCAAACATCTTACTAAAATATTAGAGAAGGTGTGACAAAATTAACCATTAGTTATACATATTAACTGAGGAAAAATATATAAAAATTACCGTACTCGCGCTAGAATTATTTGAAAATGTTTGTCCAAGTCGCTAATTGCCATTTTATAAAACCAATTCAATTGTAAAGAAAGTAATTTCGTTTAAGTTCTCTTATTGATTGGTGTACAGAAGAAATGTCGCTAGTAGTTTTAATCTTGTCATTGATCGAATGCAAAAAGTTCACTATTCATTGATTCTTTCTTCATTTTTTAGGGATCATTCCATCGGATGTTTTGATACAACAAGTACTGATATACAATTCTGATCAGGAATGAAAACACATTGGATAACCAAACTCGATTGTTCATTGATATTGGAAGATAATTAACTATTTTTCTGTTGACTCTTTATTAGTCGAATTTTTCAACATAAATAAATAGTTCACTTTCATATGATCTGCATTGATAAAATGAAAAGATAAATTAATGATTTGCAGATTAAAATAACTTGTTTTGTTCTTGTAAAAAATAGTATTTACAAAGAATTCGAAATTTGTTTTTTTAAAATAATTGTTTCTCAATTGAAATAAATATGTTTCTTCTATCTTTTCAGATATTTTTTGCTTTTATTCTCCAAATGAAGAAATGAAATTCATCGGAATGATGAAAAGTCTTTCACGAAATATAAAATATCGTCGTGATAAAAAAGACGAAGAAGATTCTGTCAATCTTGTTGATTCATCCGATGATAACCCCAGAGAATCTGCCATGATCATCTCGCGATTAACTCGACGAATACCTTACTTAATGATCATTCGTTACATGATCTTAATTCCATTAGTTATGTATTTCTTGATCATTTTGACTCCAGTTAAAACTCTTCAAGCATTTATTCCAACGGAAATTCAAACAAGCAAAAACTTTCTTGTTGTTGTGGCTCATCCTGATGATGAATGTTTATTTTTCAGTCCAACTATTGTTGGATTGGTAGCACGTGGAAAGATTGGACATATTCTTGTTTTTTCGAAAGGAAATAGTCTTGGATTAGGACCGATTCGAGAGAAAGAATTAAATGGAAGTTGTCAAAAATTGAATGTTGATCTTTCACGATGTTTCTCATTGAATTTAACTGATTTACAAGATGATCCTCATCGTTGGTGGCCGAAAGGAAACATATCTGAAATCGTCGAACAATTTGTTAAACGTTTCGATATTGATCTATTAATTACATTCGATCGCGGTGGAATATCCGGACATATTAATCATAAATCTGTTGCTCTTGGTATTGAATATTATCTTGAAAACTTTGATCGAACACCATTGGCTTATCGTTTATCAACTGTTGCATCACTATTTGAATATTCATCTATAATAGATCTACTTCGAACATTAATTAAATTTCTACCGCGTTTATTACGAAGCGTATTTTCCACACTTTTACCATTTTTATTTTCTCCACCGAATGACCAACGTGCACTATTTGTAAGCTCACCGTTTGGATATTATCAAGGTTTACAAGCATTTCATCAACATCGATCACAAATGCTTTGGTATCGACATATCTATACAACATTAAGTCGACATATGTTTATTAATGATCTAACTAAAGTTCCAAGAAAATGACACTTCTGATATTCTGTGTAGATTGTTTTGTTCCACAATCAAGTATTTGTTGTTTTTAATAAAAAAAAAAAGTAATTCAAACATACCACGAAAATAGACACTTTTCCAACTGTCAAATTAATCTCGACGATTTTCATATGCAGATACATCGGAAGATGAAATTTGTTATATAGTCATCAGATTCTGCTTAAGACGATAAAGCTCTTCTTCTAAAGAATCAATGCTAATAAACAAAACAGCATTGCTGTTGGTCACTGCAAACAAAGTAGAGTTCTCAATACGACATATGTACATAATTGTCACGTAAGATAACAAAATAGCCCATAGAAACGGCATCTAATGTTGTTTTAATAATGGAACAAGGAATGTTTTCTCACTCATTTGTAGAGGATTTGAATAAAAACTTTTACAAAAAATTTAAATAGATACAACCCAATCCACTGCCTACTAAAAGATACTGCGAAAACGCTCATGATTACATACAATCCAAGCCGTTGTTCCACAACATGAGAGATCAATGGGACCATCCTATGATCGCTCGATTACTACACAGTTTTCATTCTCGAATTCACAATGGCGCTTAGCAATTCACGAGAAAGTTTATGACTTCTTTATTCGCTTGTCGATTTACGACTTTACCATTAAAAAAATGAAGCAACTTTTTTGCGACTTTTATTTGTAAAAAAAAGTTTTAGAGTCAATCAGGTTGAACTTAGAGTAGAAGATTAAGTATAAGTCTGTATAAAGAATTTAAACTGGCTGAACCGCCAATCGTTCACTTGCGTCAATGAGTCGTGCCAATTTAAAAGCATATTTTACAATAATTACCTGCAAAAAATAATGACAAGATATCACAAATGCAAATAAACAAATTCCAAGCTTACAGTAAGAATGACATTCGCAGCGAGGAGTACAACGAAAAAGAAAACACCGATCGACGCTCCAAGTAAGAATCCGCGTTGCTCTTTGTCAAATTGACTTCCTACAGCGAGAGCACTAATTCCCAAAAATAGACAAATCACCACTACGATGCCCACGAAGCTCAAGATAATTACACCGAGATAAGCGAACTAAAGATCGAAAATGATGAATTAGAAAAATCGAGCTTTTCAGTACGTACAACACGTAATCCAGTTTGATAATAATTATAAGCAGCGAGTATTCCAAAAGTGTAAAACAGAGCCGCGACCAAATTTTCACCGACTTGTGAACTTCGTCGAGTTCTACCTGCTTCGCTTTCATAAGAAGATTCTGGTATAGAACTTAAAGCGCTAGCAACAGAAAGTGCCTATATGAAAAGTTTCAAAATTCGAATTTCTTTGCATTCGAAAACTTACAAGACAAACACCAAGAATAATGAGAAGAATTTTTCGCGTTCGTTGTACTTCTTCATTGTCCTTTAATCCCAATGGTCTTGGAGACAGTAGAGTAGGCGAATTCATCATTGCGACTTTTTCCACATCTTGCTTATACTGCATGTTGATGCGCTGTTCGAGTCTGTGTGTCTAGAAGCAAATCCAAATGACGCTGTCGATAATAGAGAGAGAGAGAACAAAGGTCTTACTATTTTATGTTACCGGATAGACACTATAAAAATGGGAAAAAACTTTTTCTCATTTGTATGCAACTATATCTATTTGCGACTCTCGTCGAGAAAGAACAGGAAAAATAACACTTCCTAGCGAGAGAAATGAATCATCTTTCCTTTCATCACATAGAGATTCTCGCTACTTTCGAATGGGAAATATGTAAATATTTGAATTAACACGATTTGTTATCGAATGTTCCAATACAACACAAGCAAAAGTCTAAATTGGAAATCAGGCATGTCAATGATTGTAATACAGACAGATGCCGTTATTTGAGTTGATTCTATTTTTACTTTGCTTAGTAATGAGGCACACAGCGTTCGCTATTAGCATTCATCGAGCATGAATCATAGAATTTTATTGTGGATCAACTTCAAGTGCTCAGTTATATTACTCAGTTGAGATATGAAGGCTACATGACATGACTAAAAGTTGATAGAACGCTTATAGTCATTCATAATGAAAACAGTTACCCACTGTGAGATCTCTGAATGATCAATATATCCGTCATCAAACAAAAAACAGAGATCCTTAACGAGAATAATCAATCTATTCAAATAGAGTACATGACATATATATACAGGGTGGCCCAAAAGTCACGCACCAAAGGAAAAAAAATTAAATATCTCCATCAAGGCTTGAGCAAATGAGCTGACTTTTTTATTGATAATAGGGGCATATACAAGCTTTTTATTCATGTAGATATCGCTAAGTATATCCTCTGTTAATTAGTCATATTGACTTCAAGAAAATGTACGTGCACTTTTGCTAATGCAATGAAATGAACAATATTAATAAAACGATTTATGTCGTGTGAACTATCACGTGGGTTATAGGAGAACAGAAAGAGAAAAGTACGAAAAGAATACATATGAATACAATATGCGTTGTTCATAAGTTCCTTCGCATGATCACCTTTTTCTCCAAACTATCCGATCTTTCTTTATATAAAATTTGTTTTTTTTTATAGATGAAAAATAAGATTTTTTTTTTCTTGAAGTCAATAGGACTAATTAACAGAGGGTATACTTAGCGATATCTATATGAATAAAAAGCTTGTATATGCCCCTACTATCAATAAAAGAATCAGCTCATTTGCTCAAGCCTTGATGAAGATATTTAATTTTTTTTTCCTTTGGTGCTTAACTTTTGGACCACCCTGTATCTATACATAGTCTCTCTCCGAAACGAAAGCAGAAAGAATGTTATGGTAGACAATATTCTTTCATACATACAAAACAGGAAAGAGAGAAAGAAGAGTAACGATGATGAGATGATCGCTGACAACTATATCTATACACTAAATGCCATCGTTTGAATTCAGTCTGTCAATGTTTCTCCAATGCATGATTATTGTTACGAATCATGACTATAGTACAATGTAGAGAAGAATTTGTCAATAATAAGATATTGAGCTAATGCAAGTCTATTGTTATTTTCGTGTGGTTCAAGGTTATCAATCAATTTATTTCTAATTTTTCACTAATGAAACAAGATCGAGTTTTTGAAATAAATCTACAAAACAATGATGTATGCCATCACACTTGATATTCACACCTGTTGATGTAAAAATTTATCCCTGGCATCAATAAGACGTGCCAATTTGAAGCATAGTTTAATCAAGATTATCTAAAGGAAAAACAATGCAGTCTTATGAGAAAATTAAATACATCATACGACTTACTTCTACGATAAAAACAATCAAACTAACAACAGCAACGACAGAGAGTAAAACTCCCCCAAAAACAGCCAAAGATTGAAATTCTCGAGGAAACTCCACACCTGCCATGATAACAATTAGTAGGATGAAGACTCCTATGGTAGTTAAGCAGAGAAACACCGCTGAGATAATCATAATCCATGCCACCTATAATAAAAACCAATTCGCTGATTTTTTAGTAGAAAAAATGATCGAGTATCGATGTTAAAAATTAACCTTTCAAGTTTTCGGAAGATAACAATCTCTATCATTCTTTGTTTTTTTTACTTCCGCTACACACTATTGAATTACTTTCACATTTATCTCAAAGCACTCGGGAAACAAGTCAATTCATCATTTCTTATCGATAGCTCTAATCTTTATTTGCATCTCCTTCGGATGTACATCTTATTTAACGATCGACACGAATCATAAATGCTATTTTTAGTTTACAATTGAAACATACCACCCGTAAGCCAATTGGATGATAATTATGCGCAACATAATAACCAAATGAGTAGAATGCAATTGAAAGAATACTTTGAACGAATTGCGGCGTATAGTTTCTTTCCAAACCATATGTTGCTGTTGAAACACCCATAAAGGGCATCGCCAATGAAAATATGCTCAAACCCTGGAAGATTCAAAAGTGAACTTGGATCAATGAAAAGAGAAATCAATTTACCAGAAAAATACCGAAGACTATGAGAAGAATTTTTCTAGTTCGTTGAAGTTGTCGATCATCGTTCGAAGAGGCTGTTGGAGCACTAGCCATGAATACTTTTTCAGTTCCTTGTTCGTATTGCATACTAAATGTGTGATGTTTTCGTTAATGTAAAGCTCGAAATGGAGGAAAGAGAAACAACACTGAATAGAATAAAATTTTTCTCGTCGCGAGAGATAAATAAGGACGACAGACCACGAGAGAGAGAAACATGTTCGACTAGCGTCAACGAACAAAATTGACGGGGAAATTCGCCTCACACAGGGAAACAAAACATTTCAATAGTGACAAAAGACGAAGAAATCAAATTAAAAGATAGTATCGATGATAATCTATGATGGAATAGTAATAGTTATCAGCGATAGATATGATGTTTTTTCTCATTAACTAGAAGACATTTCGTAGATAGAACATGTGGAAAAAAACATTTTTTCTTCCCATGATATTGTCGCCATATAATTTGACCTGACCTTTGGCCAACAAACAAAAACGACGTATATGTATATGAGTCATGCGACATTGTTATACAAAGCAAGTAAGCCCTTAGGGCAATATTGAAAAAGCTTACACAATCGATGATAAACCGAATTCTCACTTTGTATGGATAAATTGTTCTTGATGGGATGATCCGTTGTATTGTTGACGAATGGCGTACGTATAATTATCAGTTGTGATACTACGTGGGTAGATATAAAAGATCTATTGACTCTCTCGAAGTGAATGTCTGACTCTTTTGTCACACAATAAACAAAGTATATCACGAGGAAAAATAACTTGCGCTCTCCTCGAATTGCGATGTCAAATCAAGAGTTATAAGTATATATTTTCAAAACAGTTCATCCACAATAACTTTATTCTCTTAGTTTAAACTACAACGTTATCAAAAGAAAGACGTTTGGATAATGTTTGTGAATCTTGATAGTATCTGCGCATAATTAGATACTATGCTTTGGAAAACGGAATTTTCTTCTTGTCATTAATAAGACGTGCTAATTTGAAGCATAATTTAGCCACGATTTTCTACAATACAAGTGAAATTCCATCGGAAAATCAAACGGATTAATAGATTACTTGTAGCAGGACATCAATAATACAGAAAACACCAAGCAATGTCATAAGAACTCCTCCAAACGCGGTCATCTTTTTCCCTTTTTCCGATCCATCCACATATGACATTGCTACGATGAACACAATGAGAAATGTTATGAAAGTTAAGCACAACACGACTGCACAGATGATGTTAAGCCATGCAATCTAGAATCAGATCAAATAAACATGTTCTCATCTCTGATTGAAGCAACAACAAAGTATAAAAAAAAGTGTTATGGATATAATCTGTAATACTCTCCGATGACAACGATGTACATTATTACTCTCTTTCTTTCGCTGTGAACGATTGAATTATTGGTATGTTTACGACAATAAAATCTTTCGAGTGACATAAATCTATTGATACTTACCACACGCAAGCCTGTTGGATGATAAGCATATGTTACATAGTAAGCAAAACCATAGAGTAAAGTGATGAGAGCAGCTTCAACAATTTGTAAGATATAATTGACTGGTTTTGCATTTTCGATAACTGTGGTGGATGTTGATGATGTTGCCACTGTTGGTGTCGTTGCTGATGCTGCGGTCAAAACAGAAAGCACCAAAAAGAATATAGCCACTCCCTAGGAGATTTGACAATTATTGAACTAGTGAAAAGAAGGTTAATATACCAGAAAGATACCAAAGATAATGAGAAGTTTTTTTCGAATTCGTTGAACTTCTCGATCAGTAGCTAATGGAACTTGCGTAGCGTTTACCATTACTATTTGTACAGGTGGTTTATCGTATTGCATTATAATCGTGCGAACAAACTGGAAAAAACAATAGGAAAAACATTGTTTTCGTTTTTCGCAGTACATGCATGGACGATAGAAAGAAGGAAAACGAATGTTCTACTACGGTTGAGAATAGATGCATCCGAAAGTGATAAAGATGGAGAATTGTTCCTCCCTATCTAAGAAAAACAAACGAGTGAATGAGAATCTATCTTATGTGCAAAAGTAAGCTGATTGTCGACAAATTCTAATGATAGTGATAATCGCAAAGACTTTTACTATTTGAAACTAAGTCAAATGAATACAAAAACTGAGAGAAAAACATGAAAGTGATGTGGATTATTCGTTTTTCGCAGTTAAGATTTTCCTTCTTAATATTTCTCTCTTTCGTTCTTTGTACCTCGTCGGGGTCATGTGAATATGCGCTCGAATTTGTTTGTATTCGAAAAGATGTAAGAAAATACACGGAGCAGTATAGCTGATAAACGTGTCTTAAGTCCATATTTGAAACGAAAAATAAGCCAAAAAACGTTGTTAAGTCACTAAGAGAAACACACTGATGACTGGATATTAAATAATGAACGCAATAGAGAGAGAATATAACTACCAGAGATATATCGAACGAGGCCGGCAGGAGTATACACACTTCTTTTGATTTCGAACAAAACGTTTTTCTAATGCGAAATTTAAGCAAAAATAAGAGGTTTCTAACTATCAGATCTCGATACACGCTGGATAACCATATCTTTCTACTTTAATGAACGAGATTAGCAATGATAATTAATCTAACGATGGAATGAATCGATAGGAAAAGTTTAGATCATTTGAAAGATGCAGTTGATTTACCATGAAAAAGTCAATTAGAATGGAAAAGAATTTGTCAAACAGAAGAATATAAAACTACGAAGAAAGTCTAGTCAGGAAAACCAACAGAGAATTGTTAGGACGTTTTTATAGTCGGACGTGAAGGTATCCAACGATCAAATAAATGGAAATGTTCATTAAGATAACCAATCGCATAGGTAATGCACATGAACAAGCCCCATATCTGAGCATAGAATGATCCACCACAACCGGCTATTAACGCATAGATACTAATACCAATACCAACAAGCAATTGCCAGGCACCTAAGATAACCAATACTTTATGAACATTCCATAAGCCCGCAAAATGTGGATACATAAATGTATGCAGCAGCGTATTAGAAGCCAGGATTGGCCATTCGTAGGAAATATCACCACGTAAACCAGCTAATACAACTGATGGTGTAGTTTGATGATGCCAACGAAAATGAGGTAATACTGGCGTTTTATTTAAAATAACCAAATAGACATCCATGAATTCCCATAGTTTACTGAGATAAAAAATATACCAAACAAAAGCATACGTGCCGGTTGGAGTAGGTCTATGACAAACTAATCGATTCCAAGAGGAGAATCGACCATCACGATATGCTAGAACGTTAATGGCTAGAAAGGTTGTTGCTGAATAAATACCAATTATGTTGTTGTTGAAACGTTGAAATCTACGAACATTAATCGATTTACTACGACTAGACATATAGATTTCTAAGATGCGTGTAATAACAAAATGGGCGATTGAAATAAAAATGAGAAACGAGAGAGATGTCAACGGTGTTCTATCAGTCACGAACATAAAATCATCAGGATGCCACATCTATATTGGTTCAAAAAAGAAAAAGTACTGTCACAAGTCAAAAATAGCCCACTTACGTTTAACTTTGCAGATAAATGTCAAGCAGAGTTGATCGTTCTATTCTCTTTTATGCACATGTATAGAATGAGATATGATGCAATGATAGAGAAAAATCTGTCATCATACAAATGTGATGACGACATACATTTTCACATTCCTGTTCTGCATAACAAAGTTTAATCATAGTATCTTTTTATTTTTAAATAGAACTGAAAATCTCAAAATTGATAAAAGTTAGTTGCAATAAATCACTTTACGCCAAATTGAGTCGTTGGTTAGAAGACGCGTTGTACCTGCTCTATATCCTCCTGTATTTTGATCTAATATCCAACTAAGACGCAACGAACTACTTAAATCTTCATTATCACCTGAAGTCTGGCGAATGGTCGAAAGCGGTGAAAAGCCAAATGACTTGCCGTTCGTACGATACCAATAAACTTGACCGAATTGTTCCGGTCGATTCCATGTTGTATTTAAAGTTAAGATTTTTGCTGGACCAACAGCTGCTACACTGATCGTTTTATTGAAAGATGCAGCAACAAGAACGTCATTACGACAAATGCCAGCAATTTGATTGAGATCCTCCGTGCGAGTTCGATGGCTATACGGTTGATCAAAAACAAGTAACCAGCCGTTTAATTTAATCTGAAGATTCTCATAGATTTGCCAAGCTAATTGTATAGGTGGTGATGGTGAACCACTTGAACACGATAGTGCCGATAGACGTTCTTCAATAGCTTCTAATCTACCAGTTACTTGCCGAGAAATAGCCAAATAAATGGAATCAATGATTTCTCTCTTGGCAGCTTCCAACATATCGGGAGTAATACTTGGTGGACAGGTAGAACTAGTTGCGGTTGTTGTTGTTGTGACAGTGGATGTAAAATTTCTTTCTACCAATATTTCTTCTGTTGTTTGACCCTGCCACGAATGTGTTGCATCGGTATTAGTACTCAATTCTAATAATGGTTGTTCTGTTGTTTCTTGTTGCCAAACGTGTGTTGCAGCTGTATCAGTACCTAATTCGATGAGTGGTTGCTCAGTTGTATCCTGTTGCCATGACTGAGATGTGCTGATTTCAGGAATGAATATGCTTGTATCTTCTGTTGTTTGGCAAGATACAGGAAAACAAATTAGATTGACAAGAATAAGAAAACGAAACATTTTGTGTGAGAATTCAACATAAATGCTTCTCTTTCTCGTTGTCTGCGACGTTTTTAATAGATTCGATATCGATTACATATAAGCATCAGTATTATAATAGATGTCATTTGAAACCTAAAATCCTTTTTAAATTGAAAATAGAAATTTGAATGACGCAGTCGAGTGTGTGACAACCATTAATGTACTATTCTTTCTGAGAATCGCTGAAAAACTGATGTCGTTTGATAGTATTCCTTTCATAATTGCGCACCGCACAAAATAATCTGCGGATCAATCCCGTAGACGAAACAATAATTACGATCTATAGAAATTGTTCTTCTAAATGATTTTGAATCAAAAATTTTCTCAATATTCGTACGGATATTGAGAGTTGAGCATCTTGATGTTCTAATGAGTATCGCTAGGATGCCGCGAAGGATGTTTCCTTGAAGTTTGCCACTACTGCTTAGACATTAACTACAGAAAAACTCATTGAAAATGACCGTAGATAATAGTTAACACTGAACTGAGATGTGACACTATAGCGACCTCTTGTGTCTTGATTTTCGTTCGCTGTTTACAACGGTTATAATCATCGAGCCAACGAGCAACTCTTCAGTTGATGTGATTCATTACTGCTATAACAAGCCGAGTCAATGTACCGACAAGTATTGTCTGTTCGATCTCGTCTTTTATCAATACGAATTAATGAAAGGTCTCAAGTAATTAGTTCCTGATTATCGTTGATTGTCAAGATCGAATCTATTGTTCTATCTAGGTTGCTTGTCTCTCTTCATTACAAGCGGAATGGAGTAAAGCTGCTACGAAACAATTAAAGAAAACACCGTTAGATTCGCTCAATTGGACAACTTATGAAGATATTAAATTAAAACCGTTGTACACATCAGATGATGTCAAAAGTAAAGAAGAAATTCCCGGTGTATTTCCATATACTCGTGGTCCATATCCAACAATGTATGCTCAACGACCGTGGACCATTCGACAGTATGCTGGCTTTAGTACTGTCGAAGAATCGAATCGATTTTATCGAGCAAATTTAAAAGCTGGTCAGCAAGGTCTTTCGGTAGCTTTTGATTTAGCTACACATCGTGGCTATGATTCTGATAATGAACGTGTCAGTGGTGATGTTGGAATGGCTGGTGTTGCTATTGATACTGTTGAAGATATGAAACAATTATTCGATTCAATTCCTCTGTCGAAAATCTCTGTATCGATGACAATGAATGGTGCTGTCCTACCAGTTCTTGCTATGTATGTTGTTGCTGCTGAAGAACAGGGAGCTAAGCAAGCTGAGTTAAGTGGAACAATTCAAAATGATATTTTGAAAGAATTTATGGTTCGTAATACCTATATTTATCCACCGGAACCGTCGATGAAAATCATTGCTGATATTTTTCGATATACATCGAAGAATATGCCTCAATTTAATTCAATTTCCATCAGTGGTTATCACATGCAAGAAGCCGGTGCAACAGCAACACTTGAGTTAGCCTATACGATCGCTGATGGTTTGGAATACTGTCGAACTGGTTTGTTTTCATCGATAGGATTTCAATCATTGAATTGAGATTGATTCATTTTTACCTCCAGGTCTGAATGCTGGTTTGGCTATTGATGATTTTGCACCACGTCTTTCATTCTTCTGGGGTATCGGAATGAATTTCTATATGGTCAGTTTTGAATTCATTGTTGAACTTCTGGTTTTATGAACTTTCTTTCAAGGAAATTGCCAAACTTCGAGCAGCTCGTCGTCTTTGGGCAACTTTGATGAAAAAAAATTTCTCGCCAAAAAAAGCTCAATCAATGATGTTACGTTGCCATTGTCAAACATCTGGCTGGTCGCTAACAGCACAAGATCCATACAATAACATCATCCGTACAACATTAGAAGCTTTATCAGCTGTCTTTGGTGGTACTCAATCACTCCATACGAATTCATTCGACGAAGCACTTGCTCTTCCATCTGTACAAAGTGCACGCATTGCAAGAAATACTCAAATCATTCTACAAGAAGAAACGGGCATTCCAAAGGTTCGATTATTTGCACATATTTAATAAATAAAAACGTTTATTTTCACAAATAGATCATTGATCCATGGGCTGGTTCCTATATGATGGAAGCATTGACTGATGAAGTTTACAATAAAGCTCTTGAATTGATTAATGAGGTTGAAGAAATGGGTGGTATGGCAAAGGCTATTATTGCTGGCGTACCAAAATTAAAAATCGAAGAATGTGCTGCAAGACGACAAGCAATGATCGACGATGGAAAAGAAACAATTGTTGGCGTAAATAAATATAAATTAGAGAAAGAGGACGTTATTCAAGTTCTTCAAATTGATAATCGACAAGTTCGACAACAACAAATTGAGAAAATCAAGAAAGTTAAACAAGCACGTGATCAATCAAAAGCTAATCAATGTTTGGAAAAGATTCGAGAAGTTGCTCGGGACAAATCTGGGAAAGGAAATCTATTGGAAGTATCGATCGAAGCAGCACGTGCTCGATGTACATTGGGAGAAATTTCTCAAGCTTTGGAAGATGTTTTCTCGCGACATGTTGCTGATTCACGTCTTGTTAGCGGAGCATATCGAAAAACATTCAATGATGGCAAAGATAATAATGAACTTAAACAAGTAGCCGATCGAGTCGAGGTTTGCCTATTGCAATTTAGATTTTCTCCTAGATTAATTAAAACGTTTGTTATTTGAATAGAAATTCTCAAAAATCGATGGTCGACGTCCTCGAATTCTCGTAGCCAAAGTGGGTCAAGATGGACATGATCGCGGTGCAAAAGTTATTGCGTCAGCATTTAGTGATCTTGGATTTGATGTCGATATCGGACCTCTATTTGCGGTAAGTCCTCTTTCTTGAATAGATTCTATAGGACTGCATGTGTACGGATTATTTCTAGACTCCATCGGAAGTTGCCCTTCAAGCCATTGATGCTGATGTTCATGTTGTTGGCGTTAGCACATTAGGTGCAGGACACAAAACACTTGTACCTGAATTGATTAAAAAATTGGCAGAATTAGGTCGACGTGATATTGTGGTTACTGTTGGTGGTGTCATTCCACCTCAAGATTACCAACAATTGTATGATCAAGGCGTAAAACTTATCTTCGGACCGGGAACTCGTATTCCTGAAGCAGCTCTTCAAATTCTTGATCATGTCGAAAAGACATTCACTTCATCAACTAAATCGAAATGAGAGAAAGCTAGACTAGTTTTTTTCCGTAAAACACATTTGTAGTGCTTCATCAAACAATTGTAGAGTTTATTTTAGAACGACAGAAAAAAAGCGAACACATTGTGTAATTGTTTGATTTGTGCACCCGCAAGAATTATTATGATCTCTCTTTTAGTATTATCCTTGTCATATTTTCAACTTATAGAACTTATTTCATATTGAATAAATGATGATCTATTCATTTTTTGTTAAAATTTTTAATGATGAGCAATGTACATCCTATCCTGACGGATAGGTGAGCATATGTGAAATGTTTGCTAAATAACTGATCGCAAAGGCACACAAAAAGAAATCTGTATACACATTTTAGGATATGTAAGACAATAATAAGGCAATTATCGGTGTATAAATGTGATCTTCATGAAGTTGGACTTGGATTGCGAATTTTCGGGAAAATGAGAATCCTTGTAGCAGTATTTTTTGTCAAAAATGTGATTTTCATAGGAAATAGTAAAAACAACGGTATGCATGCTTTGAGCTGGGGGTACAGTTTGTTAATTTTTGTTTTCTTCATTTCACTTTTGATAGAATTAGCAGACACAATTGCATTTTATTATAAATTAATATTCCAAATAGCTATCGTCGAAAACGGTTGTTCAGTTTTTAAATAGCTAACACGAACTGAGACTTTTCAATTAATCAATACACAGCAGACAGAAGTAAAAGCAAACAAATCGCGTTTGCAAGAATCCTCTGGAGTCGAATGACGGAAAACGAAAAGGCAGTGAATCATGAAGTTTCATAAACAAAGACGATGGTACTAATTTTGCTTAATTTATTCTATCGCAATGTTATCGATTGCAAGTGAAAAAAAACCTTCTCTCCCTTCGATCTAAGTTTACCAAACTCAGCTGCCAAATTATGTTCTTGTGAAGTGACTTATACTCCTCTGCTTTTTTTGTAAATTATAGAATGAAATGAAAATACAGACTTTTCCAAAAACGTAAGGTTCGAGAACATAATCAGAATATCCCTTGGCATACGTAAGAGTCGATGCTTAAGAGCTTAGGTTCAAATAAATCAATAGCGCTAGCTACATTACGATATTTCTTTGAAATACAGCTGATCATACACGATTCATACTCTACGTACGATGTTCGGCATTCTCACTTTGCGTGTTAATGGGCTTTGAAGATACAAATAAGGATTAAATTTACTTTGAATAGTGTTTTGCAGCTGTGCAGTTCAAAAGAATTAGTCTGTATCGATTGCTGAAGATCCTTTTTTGTGTGGCATACGAGGTAAGTGATACAATGGTAGCTAGAGATAACAAAAGGTTAATGTACATGGAGATAAAAGTGACGTTGTACTATGCGCGTGTTCGCAGCGTGTTTCACACGTACATTGCACTAGTGATACGAAATGAAAAGAAGAACATTTCGCATATGATTCACTAAAGAAAGAAAGAAAGAACCAATTTTTATTCTATTCTTTCCTTTCCTTTTCTTGTATATATCGATGAAACGAAATCGATCCTTGATAGACGTACTTTTTATTCAAATAGATAGTTAGATAAGGCGTATATAATGGACATCTGTGACATAATAGATTTAAACTTTTTTTTTGTTTGTAGACTACAGAAATGGACTCTTACGATGATATGAACCGTGTTTTAATTACCGACGATGTTGATACACAATGTGTGGATATGTTAAAGGCAAATGGATTTTTAGTAGAAAAAGATATTAAATTAGCAAAACAACCAAAAGAGGAGCTGATTAAACGTGTTCAAGTACGATTGATTTCTTTTTCGAATTCTCATAAAATTTAATTTGTTCAACTCTATTAGGAAGTGGATATTTTAATAGTTCGAAGTGCAACAAAAGTAACAAGCGCCATCATTGAAGGATCACCTCGTTTGAAACTGATCGGTCGCGCTGGTACAGGTACAGATAATATCGATACCGACACAGCTACCCGTCATGGAATTCTAGTCATGAAGTTCGTATCATCGTTGTGCTTTTCGTCATTGCTTCATATAATTTCTTCATTTAGCACGCCTGGTGGAAATACTCTTTCAGCAGCTGAACACACTTGTGCTTTGATTTGTTCGTTAGCAAGGTAAACCACAAACAGATCGTTATTGCGTGATCGACGTTTATTGATTTCTTTGCAGGAGTATTCCAAATGCTTGTACTTCATTGAAATCAGGTGCTTGGCAACGATCAACATTTATGGGCGAAGAATTAAATGGAAAAACATTGGCGATTATTGGTCTAGGAAGAATTGGACGTGAAGTAGCTAAACGAATGCAATCGTTCAATATGAAGGTTGAATAACTAATAAATTCATATTGAAGATTACCTTGTTTATCCAACCATTTAGACTATTGGCTATGATCCAATTATCACTGCCGAACAAAGCTTAACATTTGGGGTAGAATTTTTTGAACTAAAAGATCTTTGGCCATTAGCAGATTATATAACCGTTCATGTTCCATTGATAACAGAAACACACCGTGAGTGATCTTGTTGAAAAAAATGATATTTCACTCGTATTCATTTCACTTATTAGATTTAATCAATAGTGAAGTATTATTATCGTGTAAGAAAGGTGTTAAACTAGTCAACGTTGCTCGCGGAGGAATCATCGATGAGAAGGCACTTCTCGATGCACTCAATGCTGGTCAATGTGGTGGTGCAGCTTTGGATGTCTTCGAAGAAGAACCACCTGTTGATTTAAAATTAGTTCAACATCCTGGTGTCATTTGTACACCACATTTAGGTGCAAATACACGTGAAGCACAAAAACGTGTTGCTATTGAATTAGCTCAACAAATCATTGATTTCAAACAAGGTCATTCATTAATTGGAGTAGTCAATGGATCAGCTGTGACATCACAATTCGGTCAAGGTAATCGACCTATTCTTTTACTTAGCAAACGATTAGGACAAATTATTGGTGCATCATCGTCGTCCACACCAACACATATATCACTGTCATTTAATCGTAAGTCAATTCTTATTTTGATTATACCATTGATCTTTTCTTTGCTCTAGATACCGTTTCAAGTCATTTATTTGAAGCACTCTCCATCTATTTCTCATACGGTTATTTACATGAACAAGGCAATAAACGTGTCAATTTTGTTAACGCTCGTCATTTATTCGAAGCAAAGGTATGTCAAATATCGAAGATTTTCTTTTCCAATTGGTTCTTTCGTTTTGTAGATAGAAATGGTTGTTGATAAAAATCAAGAACTGAATAATGTCTTAGTCATTCGTGTCACAGGTGATAGTGGAATTAAAGAATTATCCGGTATCGTTTGCGGTGATCATCTCTGGTTAAACAGTGTGAATCAATGTCGTTTCATCGCTCATGTTCCGCTTGACGATGAAAAAACACATGTTGTGGTTCAACCAATACAAGGATCATTTGTTGACCATCTTCGTGATAATACATCGAAGTATCAAAATCGTATATCAGCCGTATTTGACACAGTTTCTCAAACAGGAAGCAATCAGGATCAACGGTGGTGTGCATTACTTTTATAACCAATTGAGAAAGAATCTTTCCTTTTGAATAAGCATTCTTTAACAAAATAAAAGATAATAGAGATTAGTAGAATAGACTATTTGTTCGATGTTTCAGCTCAATCAATCACATCTTTGTACTCTCCCATACTGCTTAATTTAATTTTGTTTTCCTTACATGACGCAACACGATCGATCTTTGCCGAACAAGAACGGTTCCACTATCACACTCTATTTTGAACTGAAAAGCCTTCTGCTCATTGTAGTTTTTCTCGACGAAAGTCATTATTTAAAAAATATTGATGAAGTCGTCTATTTTCCACATATTTCACTTATTTAGGTACTTGCGCTTGGCCTTGATGGACGAAGAGATAACAAAGAGATTGTCGATGACTTCGTAGAAAACTCTTCATAGATAGGAACCAAAGCTGTTTAGATTGTATTGCATTGATTTGATGATGAGGATCTTTTTTTATAGATGGAGAAGGAAAAGAACAAAAGAAGAGAAAGGAAACGACCACCGAAGACAAGATGTCGCATGTCTGAATAGACATGTATATGTTTATTAACAACCAAGAAAAGTTAAGTGAAATGAACAAAAAAAGAGTTTTTGTTTTAAGTTTCCATTGTTCGTTGGAAATTTTTCAAACTATTTTGTAATTGAGTTAAAGCCAATTCTACTTGACCAAAAGCTGCTTTCATGTTTTGCTTGTATTCACCGTGTTTCTTCTCAAATGCAGAGCATCGGCAATTCACGTTCGAAATCAAGTTCTTCAATTGTGAAATCTCAGACTTGAGATCTTTTATTTCTTCCTTTGTTTCGAGTTTTTCCACATTTCGCAAGTTCAACGTTTGTTTAAGTTGTCGGTTTTCTTTCTGCAAAGCTTCAAGTTGTAAAGCCTGAAACAGAAAAGACAAAAGAAACAATTGCAAAAGAACCACAACATTTATCTAACAAGAAACAAGTCTTAATTGGCACTCACGAAAGCCGAAAGGTTTTAACACAGATGAATGGGTTAACGATTCTTTCTGACACATTTTGAAGAAGACAGTCGAAATAGAACGTTCACGGTGAAAAATAAGGAATGTGAATGAACAATGTTTTTTCTATTAACCTTTCCTCTTCCTTTTAGCTTGTCCTCGCAAATAAAGAGAAAGAAAAAACACCAGGTATGTACGATCGGCAAGAGGAAATCAGTACATGATGAGCGAAGACATGACTGCTTGTATCCAATCAATCAAAGTTGGTGCAGAAGAAATCGAACCAAAACTATCTGTATTCTCATACGCCACTACTATTCTCCAATTATCAACAATGAATGGATTGGAAAAAAACATCCCTTACCATTTGTTCTGGTACTGGTACATTTTCTGTTGGCTAGAAATCAGATAAAAAGACAAGAAATAAACTACAATCGAGTCGGTTGTTATTTTGTAATCAAATAACCTCAAGCGTCCCAGGTCGAACAATCCCATACACGGATCCCATTGGATTCCGACGGTCTCGGATCCCATGTCGGATCCGAAACATGGATTTCCTGGATTTTCTAAGGGTCATCATAGAATATAGCTAGAAAGATCGCCCATAAAATTTGCAACAACCGACGGGATTTTTCTAGTCGGATTCCAATGCAATTCCGTTTCCAGGAATCCGATCGGATTTTGTCAGATGGTCGGATCCAGCATCGGATTTGTTGACCTGGGGAAGAATAAACTACGATTAATCAATCGCTATTTTCAATGAACTAACCTCAAGTGTGTATTGATTATTTGACATATTCCCATTTTCAATTGTACCAATATTCTCTCCCATCGAAATCGAACGCATACCTAAACCCTGATCCATTCTAATAGCATTGTCTTGCATTGGAATCAAACGCATAACTGAACTCTGATCAGTTTGAATAACATTGTGAGGATTTAAACTTGAACTTGACCGATGACTTCCCAGGTTATTATGGCACGGTCGGTTCCGGCCGGTTAAGTTCGTTTTTCGACCATTTCCTTGCCGCCGGAAGTTCAAACGTAGGTTCCAGTCATTTCCCGACCGTTTCGTGCAAACTTCGAGCTTGAACCGGTCAGGAACTGATCGGATATTTCCTGTGCAATTCCGGCCGGAATCTGGCGGCAGGGGAGCTGCCGGAACTTGCTGGAATCGGCGAAAACTGTGCCGGAACCGACTCAGATTTCAACGGATCCAGTCGCCGGAATGATCGACCTGGGTTCGTTGTATTTTTCGAGAAATGAAAGCCTTCATACTAAAAAATGAAATCAGAGAGATTGTTCAAGACTAAGATATGTGTTTGGTTATTGACTCAGAAGTGGCGGCCCCAAAGGTAGACCAGAGTGGACAGGCCACCCTAGTGAAAAATTTTGGCACGGCTGCTATGACTCAGTTCGAGTTCCGTTTAAGTCTGCTATCAGTTCTAGACCAACATTCGAAAAACACCATGATTCGTGAAGCAGTACACTAAAGTATCTCTGATAAACAAAAGAATGTGTCCTATACTTTTCTCATAAAGGATGATGATTCACACTGAAGTACGACGAATCCCATTTAAAGAAATGGTGTGACCAATAAAACGCTTCAGTGATTTCTTCTATCAGTTTCTTACGATGCGGCTACGACCAGCATTTTTATGTGCTCCAAAAATAAAAAAATACTGCAGGAGGTATAATCGGATGATGAGGGAAATCAAAGAGTTATCTGGTATTGTTAGTGGTAATTATCTCTGGTTGAACAGCGTCAATCAATGTCGTTTTATTGCACATGTTCCACTCGATGACGAGAAAACTCACGTTGTTGTCCAACCAATCACAGGAGCATTTGTTGATCATCTTCGCGACAACACATCGAAATATCAGAATCGTATATCAGCTGTCTTTGACACAGTTTCTCAAACAGGAAGCAATCAGGATCAACGGTAGTGTGCATTACTTTTATAACGAAATAAAAGATAATAGAAATTAGCAGAATAGACTATTTGTTCGATGTTTCAGTTCAATCAATCAATCAAATCTTTGTACTATTCCATACTACTTAATTTAATTTTGTTTTCCTCACATGACGTAACACGATCGATCTTTGCTGAACAAGAATGGATCCACTCTTACACACTCTATCTTGAACTGAAAAACCTTCTGCTCATTGTTGTGTTTCTTGACAAAAAGAGATGATTATTTTTCAAAATAAAAAAGGAAATATTAATCAAATCGGCAATTCCGCCTGTAGACATATCTGTTTTACATACATTTGTTCGTGTTCACATTTAACCGAACCAAAACTGATAAGTTAAAAAAAAAGAAGCACTTCAATAGTTCAAAGAGATAATTATGTTTTACATGGCAGGATGCTCATTCCAATTCAATACCGTTTTCCATAAATATTTTTGTTAGATCTTTTCTAATCTATTGAATTACAGTCTCTAGTTATATATTTCATTCGGTTCATTTACGATAATTGAAAAATAGATAACACCAATAGTTAGACACAGAGAGCTTCATCTTGTTAAAGGAGTGTTTATGAGCAAATAATAACTCAGCATTCAAAGCATGAATATTTTACATGTTTCATTTTTTTGTGCGCTGGGGTTTTATTAAAGAGACATTTGTCTACAAAGGAGCAAAAAACGGAAGGTACGATTAAGTATTGTCTCGAAGGAACCCATTGTTGAATCGAGAATCTCTGGAATCGTGTTCGTGCATTGCTGCCCCTTGATTTAATTTTGACCAACAAATATTCCGATTAAAAAGTATAACACATTTAATTGGTATTCCTTGATATTGAAAAATGATCAGTTTAGAGAAAGTATGAAAAATTGAAAAAAAAAAGAAGAAGAAACGGAATACTAACTTTGTCGATATGATGGACATAGAGATGAATCGATGCAAGGCTCAGTGAAATGTCGTTTACCAATTCGAAGAAATGTGTGATATCGTGCAAGTTTCGGAATGTGAAAAGATGACGAGACGAATGGAATCGATATGAGTAAAACAAGAATAAGGAGCGACATGTCTTAGTATTAGTGATTCCAGGACGCATTCATTGATGCCGCTATTAGAATCATATATAGTCAATTATAAACGAACGCGAATCATACGACTAATCGAGTTTCAGAAAAAGAGACAGAGAAAGAGAGAGAGAGAAAGGAGAAGGAAACAAGTTTATACCCGATGAGTTGATCGATCATGGANTTCATTGCTGCCGCTATTAGAATCATAAATAGTCAATTATAAACGAACGCGAATCATACGACTAATCGAGTTTCAGAAAAAGAGACAGAGAAAGAGAGAGAGAGAAAGGAGAAGGAAACAAGTTTATACCCGATGAGTTGATCGATCATGGACGGACAAGTGGGCAGATGACATCATCAGTATGTTGTTCTGATCGAATAAAAAAGGATGAGAGCGAAACAGGCACAGAGAGAAATATACACATCCTTTTTTTTCATATCCGGCATTTCTCTTCTTTTCTTTTAGCCTCTAGCACGAGATTGGAACGATCAGATTTATTGATAAAGAAAAAAAGAACACAAAACAGAAACGTATTTATGTCTTGAATCGAACTTGTAATTGACGGCCATGGAATGGAGTCGCATTTAAACTTTGAACTGCCATTTGAGCTTCTTGATATTGTTCCATGGCAACAAAAGCGTATCTAAATCGAACAGTTTTTTTTCAAAGTGACAATCGACAACGAAAACAACAATTCTCACCCTTTGCATAAACCAGTATTAAAATCGATAATGATATCAACACGAAGAACACGTCCAAATGGTTGAAATAACGCATAGATTTCTTCTTGTGTAGCGCGTTGTCCAATACCATAAATATAAACGACATGGCCACCTTTAGGAGATTCTGGCGGAATAACCGCTTGACCATAGTCTCCATAAACAGCTTGCTGAGCACCCGGTGGTCCATATGATGATGGTTGGGGTGCGCCATAATAGCCCGCATACATATCCGCTTGCTGTTGATAGTGATGAGGCAAACCGAAAGGATTGCCAAACGGCCCATAGGTGGATTGAGCGGCAACAGCTACGCCATTATTCCATTGACCTTGAAGTTGAGAAGCAGTTCTCGCTTGGTAATTAGCTGATTGAGCACCCAATGGATCGTATCGATTAGTTCCGTAATTTCTCGGTTGTTTCAATTTAAATGTATTACTTCCTGTTTGATTTGAGTTCCCTCCATTTGAACTTATCGCTTGTCCACCTCCGTAACTATTCATTGATGGCCGATTAGTTGTAACAGTTGTTGAAATTTGATGTTGAGGGTAAGATGATTCATTTCTTTGTTCGTTATTTTGTTGCGATGAATATTCTCCTCCAGCATATTCATTTGAACCGCTTGCTTGCTGCTGCTGTTGTTGTTGTTGTTGAGGTTTAGTTCCACCGTTATCCCTTTAATTAGAAAAAAAGAACATATTTTACTCCGGATTTCGATTGTGCTGGAAGTTTTCAAGTAAAAAAATGAATGAGAGTTTGATTCGATTACAAAAAAAAGAATTCAACGCGATTTCGGAGAAAAAAAATAGAATAACATTCTCGTTCTCTCATATCATTTCTCTATTTTCTAACTCACATAATTAGGAGCGGCTTTGAAGACTCGCTTAGTCACAGCGAAAGTTTCGATAGAATAAAAGAGGAGACAAAAATCTAAAAATAGAGGAAAAAAAAGTCCCAAAAAAAAATTAAAAAAAAATTTCTTCATGAAAATCAAAAACAGGAATTATGTTGATTACCCGTCATGAATTTCATTAGTTGAGTAGAATCTAGAAAAAGAAAAGTTTCAAATAATTGCTTTTAATTTTGAAATCATTCATTTCGTTTTGACATTTTCGATCATCATTGATTAAAGCTGGATGTTCATGTTGTGCAAGAGAAACCTTGAAACGGTAAATAATAGACATCTTTTTTCATTTCACTTCTTTATCTCGAATTTTATCATCAAATGAATAATCATATTTCTCCACCGAATACTTTCGGTGAAAGAAAAACTGAAGTAGTATTCATGTCAATGACGACGAAAGTAAATAAACAACAACTTGGAAATATTTCACCATTTGTTTCGGTCACATGTTATAATGTCCGAGGAAGCGACGATTAATAACTAATGCATTTTGTTCATTTCATTACAACCAATAATTGACGATAAACAGACGAATGACGCGAATTGATCTCGTTGTAAAGTATCATTAAGGACGCGTTTTTTTAATCAATTGACTAAATAAATTCAACCATATTGATACATCACGGTGTGCCTTGTCCTCCTTTTATTCTTTGTCTTCTGATAGATGTCGCCACGTCACAACGAACTCTTTTTGTTTTGTTTACTGCACGACATAAGTCAGCTTGGATAGTTCGAAAGAGGTGACTTGTTTCTCATGGCAAAAAGGAGTTTCTTTATGCAATGAATAATTCCGTGAGAAAAAGAACATAGGATTATGTAAGTTGTTCACAGAAATATAGAATATTGATAATCTGTTTAACGAATTTTTCATACGCGAGTTCAAATTTATGTCTACCTTTCGTTTCATATCAAGATCATTATTTACTATTAGAATGTATATATGAATGCCGTAATAAAGAATCAACAGTTATAGAAACTTTGTAGAATTGAAAATAAAACTGTTTCCATAGTCAATAATAAGTATCTTTATATCAATCAATACTGTGTTATTACCTTTGGTTATATCAATATTTAATCATGAGTTGTGACCTATTTTTTTTCTTGTATAATGTGGGCATTATGTTAGTTGTAAGGGTTTGACTTCGAGGGCAAATCACAGCGAAAGGAGCAACTGGGATAAACCCTGGAGAAGAAATAAGCTGTGACAATTTTTCTCTCTAGAGGATTGTAACCTAAATTGTCGTTTAGTGTTATCATTAAAAGTGATAGATATTATAAAAGGAAACCTAGCACACTTATTCTTAAATTTGGAGTTTTAGAATGGCAAAATCACGTTAATAGTAACAGGCGATTGCTTTTACGTCAAGATCGTCCGACATTGAACTTATTAAAGTCTGCTCTCCATAGTTTTTAATATTTGTATGTACGTCTCTTTTGTTAGATAATCAAATTTGTTCTTATGTGATCATCTGAATCTATTGAATGCCTACACAATTGTGATAACTGTTAGTTTCAGCCAGCAAAACAACGTTTACTATATAACTTAAAGATTAATTGGAATTATATGAAAATATATCCTCGGTTCTTCAACAAGGTTGGTAAATTTTCTCAAATATTCCACGGAACGAACTAAGATCTTAAGTTCACTATAGTAGTTACCTTTTATTTTAGTAGCGATGATTTTGGTAATACTGAGATGTACTTTATGTTTTTCTAGAGATGAAATCATAGAATTTTGTCGTATCTCGAGGATACAATAAGGTATTCAACGATCTGAAATTGCTGAAGAAAATACTGCTGACCTATAATACATCCGATTTATCTAAATAAAACAATAATCATGAAAAGAGAAGATGAAATTGGTTTCTATCTATTGGTGACTTGGTCTTTTTCTTGGAAATTTGCTTTTTTTTTCAAATGAGAAAATAATCCTATAATTGTTTTCCTTCTCTACGACTATCTTCGTATAACAAATTATTGATTCATCAATCAGATGAAATTTTTTTGATAAACGTCATGAATGGAAGAATCATACGACAGAAATGAGTAATTAAATAAACATTTTGTCAGTGTGCAGACTGATCGTGTTTTGTGCAGGATGTATCTAAATCTGTTGAGGTTGTTGTTTATGGGCGTATCGTTTCAGTGAACGTTGAACATAACGTCGAGGACAAAGAAGTTTCATAAATGCCAAACGAAATTCCCTTGATGTTAATGCATAGAGAAGAAAATTCAGCTAAATGAATAGATGAGATGAGAAGTAGGTCAACAAAAGCAAACGATTAACACATACAGCTGAATTAGTGTAGCCGAGCCAAGTAAATAGACGAAAAAGTTGTTCTTTGGAATTTTCAAAATTTAAACGAAATACACCGGTAAGCACGAGAAAAACGAAAAATGGCAACCAGCATGCTATAAATACACCCATGACAACACCAAGTACTTTTGTTGCTTTGTGTTCACGCGAAAAACGTGACCAAGTTTGTGTACGACGAAGTTTACGTAAATGATGAACGAATAACACAGGAAACGAAACAGGTTCGAGTGCAGAGCGCACTGTCGGTGTAACACGAGGAAGAGATGGTGATCGAGAGTATTTTCCTCGATGTATTCGTAAAGTTATTTTTTCTGGTGTATTCGTTATTGCATTAATGTTTTCGAGCGTCGTTGCTGCTGAAATATTTCGACTTTTCGTAGATCCGAAACAAAATCGAGGTAAGATGGGCGATAATTGATATGTTTCACCGCTAGTTGTTTGTTTATAACCTTGCCGAAATGCAATCATTTGTCGACGAGCAAAAATCAAAATTCGTCCGTAAACAAACACCATGATCAATAATGGAATATAAAAAGAGACGGAAGATGAAACCAAAATAAACACGGGATCAGAAGGAAATTCACATCGTTCAGATATTGTTTCATTAGTCGCAGTTTTATTTGACACTAAAAAGTAAAATTCCTTCGATTCGTTCAGATGTTCAAAGAATTAATTACCTATTGAATTATTTTTTCCTCCAAGAACCATTACAGTTGGACCAGCAATGATTGCTGAGCAAAACCATATACCTGCAATAACAATTGACGAATGCCGAGCTATGAAGGATCGTGAATATCGAATCGGTGACGTGATTGCTATGTATCGATCAAGTGCAATAACACAGAGAGCAAGAATAGATGCGGTTGACGCGCCAACGTCAGATATATGCCATAGGTGACATAAGAAGCGAAAAGAAGATGGTGTGGTTAACTCAAAACAAATCGCTAATGGAATAACGATCATTCCCACGCAAAGATCAGCGACAGCTAATGAAACGATGTAATAATACGTTGCTGAATGTAACGTTGTTTCACGATAGACAGCCAAAATAACCAGAAGATTGCCCAATAAAGTTAAAAAGCATATGAAAATTAATAACCATATTGCTGGTAGAATCATTTTTTATTTTCTTAATATGTATTTCAATGTGAAGAGATCATTAATTGCAGTTGTCGAGTTGCATCTTAGTTTTCTTTGTGTATTAAGAGTAATTCTGTCTGTCTAATCATGAAAAGGGAAAAAGTTCGACGCCGTTCCAATATCATTGATTGTTCTCTTCTTTTTTGGTTCGTTTCTCTTGAATAAAATGATGATCTATAGAAAAACAAGTTGCTCTCGCTCGAGTGATCGATGATGACGAAGGCTGGTGGCAAGAAAAGCGACAACTCAGATTCAATTACTCGTAGAACGTGTGTGATCTATATACAACGCAATTAAACTGATGCAAGAGACGCTAGATATTGTTAACGTTCGTTTTTTTTTTCTGGGATATTTTCTTTTGTACAGAGCCACATATATCTTTATAATAACATTCTCAAGGTCATTGCATTGACATACAATTTCACTCTTGTGCTATCTGCTTTTTTTTCATACCAACTGGTATGTATATCAATAGGAAAAACATCTTCAATGACATTTATTGACGACCATTAATCTTTTTTCTACATCGATCTTATGTTTATTTGTCGACATTTACATCGAGCAAAAATATAATTACATCTTGTTTTGTTCTTATACAAATAATTAATTTAAACGAAAGTCAAAATGAGACATTCGATTTTAAAGAGCAACAGTTGCGAACTATGACTTGCATAGGTTGATTTTCGGTACTAAGGAAAATCAACAATAGTTCTAATTGATTAATTGATTTCTGCATGATTGAGATCAACAGATAGTTTTCCAGATAAATTTTATCGAGATAAACTAATAATGCTAATAGAGATGTAATATTCGACTTCCGATAACGATTATATTGAAGATGATTTTCTTGAGAAAAACGTCTTCATGTTTATTATCGTTACTAATAAATGTTTTCCTCAAAGAAGACTGTAGATCATTATAATACAAGAAATGATTAATATTCATGACGAAAAAAAACATATTCGTTTGAATGAACAATAATTAAAACTATTCTTTTCTTCAACAATCATCAGATATGCATGTCACGAATTCGATCTTGTCTTTTTCTTTAAAGGCTGTCAATGACACAAATAAATACGCAAATTTCGTTTTTTTGCGTAAATACTTTCCTTTTATTTTTAGAAACAAAAAGATGCGATCATCGTTGATCTGACGATTTCCTCTTTGTCAACGTCGCCATTATACCGAACAATGTTATAGAGTACTTAAAACGTGAGAACAGGGAAAAGGGAAAGAAAAGAAAGAAAGGAAAGAAAGAAAGAAAGAAAAAAATCCACCATTGTAATGCAACGGTAGTACGTTTCATAAAATATATTTGCCTTGCACTGACTGTCATGGGTCTTTTATCAGAAGGCCGTCCACTAAAGTGGACTGAAATAAAAGATGCATTAAAACAGATTCGAACTTATGGTGTTGATCAACTTATACAAGTTTATCACAAGTGTAAAAACCGTCAACGAGATGCGTTTACTTGGGGTGATGAAGTACGAAATTCAGTGTAAAATTCCTTCGTTCATATTGGATATTTTTTCTCATCAAGGTCGAATTAACGTTGGTAAGATTTGATCATGAAAATAAGAAGGTTCAATTGTTATTGAAAGCTCATAAATTATTACCAGCATTACGCAAATTAAACGAAGAAATTCAAGATGAGTAAGTCGGGTCATTTGGTATTTATAAAGTGTTATCTATCGAGATTTGTTTTATTCTTTGTAGGGCATGTCGTATAGCTTGGCATCCAGAAGCATGTGACTTCGTTGTCGAAGGTGTGCCATTCCAACCGTATGGATTTTTACCCTCGCATTTTAATACCGTTGAAGCAAATATGCGATTAAGACGAGAACAAGTTCAAAAGCTTCTAGCTGAACAATCGGATTGTGATTTCATTTTGAATATTGCGGCTTTTCCAAGGTAGGAAAGTTTTTT